CTTTTGCCTTTAGATATATTGTGTCGCACTCCACTAACTTCAATTTATTGACAACATTTTTTAAGCTTGTAAGATGAGTGTACATAGCTTTCATCCAAAAAAATAATTTGTTTTTGGAGTTCTTGAGGCAAATTTCTATTATGCATTATAATTTTTAAATATTGTTCCCTCTTTGCTGCTATATTACGCTTCTCCATTAGTGCCGATCTGTCTGTTTTACATTTTTTGTAAGAGAAACCCAGAGAATGTAATATCTTTCTTAGATGTTCACGGCTTCCATTAAATCCCAAATCTTCTTTACCTACAGGTAATAAATTTCGTAGTGTAAGCACCTGGGAAAAAAAATAAAAAGTTTTTATTTATTAATGAATACTGTTTTTTTATTGAAGAAAGTGGCATTAATATAAAATATAATACATGCCTGTTTTTTTACCGTGTAGAAGAAATGAACCTTTTGTCTAATTGCGCAGAGGTCAAAATCATCGAGATCTTTCTTTGGTCGACCTTTCCTATGTTTACCAGGTGTAGAAAACACACCATTATTTTTTTCACCTTCTTCAACAATATTTCTTATGGTATTGACAGATTTACCTAAAATAAATACCAAACATACACAAATATACAAAAACTCCAATTTATTTGAATTTTAAGTCTTGAAAGAATCAAAAATATTAAGTCAACTTATAAATGATACGTAAACATAACCTTAGTTACTATTTTGTCAACTAAACACAAAAACTCGTTAATTGTATATTATAAGTAATGCAAAGTGCGTAATTCGACATGTAGAACGTAATAATAATTGAATAATTTGCATAAATACCTGTCATATCGGCTGTTCTCTGATAAACATTGTTAATTTCAGACAAAATTTGTCCCGCTTGAGATTCAGCCAAACATCGTAAAAAAACTTGGTATATCACTGTTCTACCACTACTACGAATCGTTTTGTTCATTTTAAATAACAAAACAAGCAACAACCGTACGAGAATTTAATTTAATATGTTCAGTGTATGCGTGTATGCGTCATTTACAGAACTTCGTATAAAATTACTCAGCGCATACAGCAATAACACAAAAGCTACTGGTTATTTGACACCACTGAATTTTTTATTTTTTTATTAAGACTTTGGCAAAGCCATCAGCGTAAACATGAAGTTTAATTATACATATTTCTGTAATCATGGCCGTCACAAAGAGGATAGGCAATTTGAGGCGGCGTGCTTGGATTGACTCGGGATTCCTTAAAACGGGCCGATACGGGTATTTTAGTTCGAGATTCGTATAATTTCGCGTTTTAATCTTCGATTAAAGCACAATGGCGCTATCCTATTCCACTTTAAACTAGAATTCACAAAATAATTGAAAGTCAAAATAAAAACGACGCTTTTCCCTCCAAAAGGTCCAGAGCGAATTGACACCACTGACATTTTTAATAGTGTTGCCACAAATATCTTTTTTTAGTTCCAGTTTTCACCGCGTCATACTCTTTTTTGCCAAGGTGTACATTGCTAATATAAGGTATTCACTATGCTCCGACTAGCGCTATTACGATTAAAACAACACTGCAGACAACAAATCTTCACGGGACACTTACTTTTTGATTGACCTACTGTTGGGTAATTTTCCAAAAAATTTCAAATGGAAATTTTTCCGAAAAAGTTAATGAAAAATTGGATTACGTTTAGAAATATCTTTTGGAGTTTTATTTAGCGTGAATTAAAAAATAAGCTGGTTTAATAAAAAAAAAAAAAAAGAAAAACGAGATTTAAAATGATTTCACAACAGCGGAAAAAACCTCTAATAACCACACCCCACCTCTTGTTGGCTCCATCGTTTTCATTCAGTAACTTCAACTTTCGACAGGTGTCAACGTCAAATGTAGAAAAATATTGAAAAAACATTCAGAAAATATTTACTTTTCTGAAAAATATTATTTTTTTCAAAGTGGACATTTTTGCATGACCCAACGACAATTCCGTGCTCTTGACGTACCAATTTACTGACTGGTTAATACGCTTGATATTTTTTTGCCGTAACGTGATTTGGTTTTTATAATTTAGTCGTATATAAATCTCTTTTACAGTTACGTATACGATTTACAGGTAGAAATTATAATTAAAAACGAAAATGTAACTTTATTGGCAAAAATGTAATATTTCAGGTAACGAAACATAATTTTTGACTCAAGGGCACTGGCAAGTGCCGAATAGGAATTCGAACCGATGATGAATCGGCATAGGAACCGTTTCGATCTTTGAAAGACACGGAATAAAATGATCTGTACGAACGATTTATAGATTTAAATAGGAATGTTTTATTGTTTTCCCTCTTTGCTATTTTGTTATAGTTTTGTTTTATTTTCGAATAAAAATTTTTCATATTTTCAATTAATCAAATCTAATAATTCACACTATCTCACCTGGCGTCTGTGAACTGAAATGAAAGAACGAAAAAACTAAAAAAACAGGTGAAATAAATGGGGCCATTAATTATACTGCTGCAGTCCGCCGCGCAATGCAGGGTTAGGAATATAGTCGCAAGCTGTAATGCATTCTGCGAAACTTCTTACGTATATAATATTGTGTGACAATCTTCACTATTGAAGACACGTAAATTAGAAAGACCGTGCACAATGATCTAGTTCCTTTCGGTCAGTGTTAGGAATTCGTTCCTAATATTAGTTCTTAGTTCATGATCTACTCAAGCCTAGTGGCAGCACTGATTGTAGGCGTACGGTTTTGCTCAAAAGAGAAAAATCCCTAGAGTCCCAGAGCCATAAAAAAACATTTAAAAAAAGTTTACGGTTACGGTGTGCTTGCTTTCGTGTTTTTATTATATATATTTCCAACTAAAGTTTTGAAATGGGTAAAGTGAAACAAGAAACTGCCGATTCAGAAAATCAAGGAGACGTTTCCATTAAAAATGAACCACAGAGCTACGATGAAAAGGTAGACCACTGCAGTGTGATAGCAAAGCCGATGGCACCGAAGAAACTAAGCAAAAAGATCTACAAATTGATCAAAAAGTCCAGCAGTCATAAGAATTATATTAGGAATGGTCTAAAAATTGTGCAAAAGCAACTACGCCTAGGAGAGAAAGGGTAAATTAACTATTTGTTCGGTTAAATGTACATTTTGAGGTTATCTAAACATTGCGCACTTCGATGCGATTTTGTGATTGCGCTGGGTAAAAACTGAAACGAAAATGTAAATACGTCATCAACGCAACAAATTAATTAATTGTGCACAAATACTTCATATAGATATCGAAAGTTGTGCACTAGTTTTTTTGTAATTTTAACTATTTGTCTGTATACCCTATAATTACAACTTTCGTGTAAAGAAAAACGACCTCAAAAGTTAAACTTATCCACATTCGGTTGTTCGTTACCACGGTCTCTTCGACAAACCAATAACTGATGGAGATAAGAGAATGCAACACTTCCAACAATAGGTTAAAGTTAAATCCTTTGAAGGCATTACTGAAGCCAAGGAGTGTCAGCACAGTCAATTATTGATTTTCCATACCCAAACGGACGTAATTAGCGGTTTTCGTAAGTGCATAGTCATACTATGACCAATGCGGAAACCAGACTGGAGAGGATTGACAAGGTTGTCCCTGTTTAGGAAATTAGTTTTCTAGGAATTTCGACTGAAAATTATGAATTGAAATAGGATGGTAGTCTGAAGGGGTGCCTGGTTTTTTGGTAGTGGAATGATAAGCGTCTTTCCAGGCAGAGTGGAAAATACAAGTAGAGACAGATTTTTTAGCTAACACATATTACTTAACATCACAGTCACTAAATTGATTAAAAACGAAATAACTGCTCTTAAAACAGTAGTTCACCAGTTTATGGAAAATTCAAGTTATTGCCTATGCAAGTTAAACCCTTATATTGAATGTAATAATAATAGACTAATACACAGAGGTTTCTCTTGGAATAGATGGCATAACTGTTCTCCCTAATTTATAATTTCCTCAGTATTACAAACACATAATGTTTTCATATTTTATCTTTTTCAGAATAGTTGTATTTGCTGGTGATATTTCTCCCATAGAAATAATGTGCCACTTACCTGCCGTATGTGAAGAGAAGGACATACCATACTGTTACACACCTAGTCGTAAAGACATTGGTTCTGCCATGGGCACAATGAGGGGGTGCATCATGGTTATGGTGAAAGAACATGATGATTATAAGGAATTATTTGATGAGGTTAAAGGAGACATCAAAATGCTAGGACATCCTTTATAAAATAGTTTTAAGACTAAACATTTTAGGTTACGATAAAATTATAGTTGCTGCTGTTGTTAAGACAATCCATGGTATGTTCTGGACACTATGTTTTATACACTCAATTAGTATTTTTAACAAATCACGTCCATTCCTAATGTTGCTATGTCTATATTTTAATCTTGACTGCTCTTGAATGAAGTATGGTTGTCAAGCAATGCTACTACATGACACTGTTGCTATAGGTGTATCACTAACATTCCTTGTCAGTCAGGTACCTTGTTACAAAAAAAAAAAAAAAAAAAAAAAAAGGTACCTTGTTACAAATGATATGGCAGATTCTATTATTGGCCAATAACACACACTGAAATTGGAAAAACAAAATTTCCTTTATTGAACATGCTTTGGAATATAGCTTATTGGGTTTCAATAATTAAATAAAATGTCAAATATTTTACACATACATTTATTACACTTATTAAAATCTAAGGGTACGTAAAAAATGGCAGATTGTCAATTATCGACAGTGAAGATTGGCAAAATACAATTACTTTGTTGGGTATTCTTTAAAGTATGTTTAGTGTAACATTGTACTTAATAGTTCACATGCAGATTTAAACAGGTGATATTTCAATGTTTATAAGTAGGTAAGAGGGCAAGTAAGGGTTGGACACCACCTGTCACCATGCTGATCTGATTCAGGACTATAATATAATAATAATACACACACTCAACATAGCCCTGCACTATATTCATATATATATCCCTAGGGAAACCCTGTGTCGCGGGTGCCATAGACACACATAGACAACCACAAATTACACCCAAACTCACTAGAGAAATAAATGTAGGCCATACAAATATTTCTCCCGGCCCGGGAATCGAACCTGGGGCCACTGCGTGGCAGTCCGGCATGGTAACCATTCGGCCACGTAGGCAGAAAACAAGCAGGACATGTAATACTGTTGTAATTTACATTTTTACATATGATCCAATAGACATTAATATTACAATAACTTCATGTTACATGTCGATTCTATTGTTAAAATTATTACAAATAGTTAAAAAAATATAATGTTTCATGTCACAGGCAGTACCGAGCGGGCTGGTTACCTCAGTTCCACAATGTAGCATCTATTTTGCGTGTAGTTGGTACAGGTATGTAATCGTGCCACCTGAGTTCTTCCAGCAATCAAGAACAATATATGTATATAAATATGGACTACCATAACATACAAAGTTTCATATATCTGTGTCAAACCATGTCACAGGCATATAGAACATTGCACAGCACATGGAACAAGGCACGGGTGGATGTCCTCAAGTTTCTTGTAAATGGCCTGTAAAAACATCGCCTAAAGAATACCCGACATGATTACGCTCTATATCACTAGGACGCCTAAACTAAGAAACTAGGTTTTTTCAAACAGGTTTCAGTGGATTTACATGGCATAAAAAATATTGCACTTCTGACTTCTAAATGACTTATGTAAATGAAAAAGAAAATTGTTACTATGAAGAGTAATAAACAATTAAGTGTTAAATATTTATGTTTTTTTTATACAACCAAACACTATAATTTTGTCTAAATATAAAATGCCTAACTTTCTTTTAAATTTTTTAAAATGATTTATATAAGAATTTTTATTATTGATTTTCAAGTTAGAAGCGCTGCAGAGGCACACTACAGAGGTTAATTTTTAGTTCAGTTATTGTGACTGCAAAAGTGGCGTGCACGTGTTACGGCAGCGGCGCTGCAACTGCGCGTCTAAATATTGTATAAAAATTGTAGTAGCGCCGTAGCAGCGTCACAGTGGTGCCACTGCAGCGCTTTTATAAGCGTCTAATTCGAATGCGCCCTAGAGGTGTAAACACACTGAAATCTATTCAATTATTATGAACTAGTAATTGAAGCGATTTTACGTTAATTATAACCCTGCTTTAGAGAGTGCGGTTGATGAGAATCTCACAGTTAATATTAATTTAAAAACATATTAAAATAGTAATTTTTGTGTAGCTTTTACGTAGATTGGTGTATGATAGTTGGCGCAAATGTTTTCTGTGAATAATTTTCGCGGTACTTTACACTACATGTTGATTGATCTAAGTATTCTTACTGCCTTCGTTCACAGTAGATTACACGTGCAAAACATTTGCGCATACTAAGTACATAGATTTTTATTTAGTAGTTAAAAGGTACATTCATGATGCTCTGACGATTGTATCCATTTTGTACTTCAAATTCTTATGAAAAGCTACCTTATGTTTAGGATAATGTTTCAACACTGAAAGGACAATTTTTACGGATATAGATTTTTTTAACCATATCGAGCCTTTATAAAGTGAAATGACGAAACTATCTTTAATTAACAAAATATTTCTGATCACAATGCTTGTGCACTTAAGGCTCGATATACCTACAAAAATAAGTTTTTTTTTTAATTATTTTACTAAAGGTAGGTAGTACCATTGTGCGTACACCTTTATCCACTACTAAGAAAATTTCAAAGAGGGTTACTTCATAATGATACAAACCAATTAGTAAAACTTGCTTGCCCAATCTTTTACCATTGCATAATAAGTATCTAAAAATGTCAACAAAGTATATATAACATTAAACAAATAGACGGTAACATTGTCATACACTTTGCGATTAGGAAATTATGGTGGACACCTAACCAGTAAGTCAATAAACCGCGTTTCTAAAAGCGACTTGTACAAGTGTCATGCTAATGCGAGCTACAGTGAATGTCACGCAACGCCATTTGGCAATTAATAATTAGATCGGAGATGGCTATCCTATGGCAACCTTGTGTAATTGTGAAACACGAAAGTACATACGGATATCTAGTATAGAGCCCCGTTCATGGACAGTAACAACGTTTACCGTTGTGGCGGTGCTGACCCAGTAACGGATTTGCAATCTTGGCCGCCCTAGGCCCTGGCCATGTAGTCAGTATCAACCGCCCCTTTCTCAGCACTCATCATATACTGGTAGACTACATAGTGAAGTTACTTTATTGCCAACTTTTATCGAAATCTATTTTTTATATATTTCTATTTAATAATTTTAATATTTTTCTAGAACATTGATTTTATATATCTCTGTTAGTATACGGGGCGCACGCCAGTAAAGCGTCCAGCCGCCATGATTTTTTCCTTTTTACACATTGAACATTTATCGTCATATTTCAGCCAACTTACACAACACCTAAATAAATTATACCCTTAAACCTTCCTCACTCTGTCTATTGGTGGAAACCGCACGAAAATAAGTTTTGAGTTTATCGTGATCAGACAGACAGACAATATGTAGTGATGTAGCGATTATACATTACATTATAGATATGTAACATATCTATATTTTATACATAAAATGTACGGAAGTGATTTAGGATGATTATTGTTATACGATGCGGTGCAGTGCGGCCCGCCATAATGTGCGTGAGCCTTTAGAATACTTAGGTACTTTGAATTATTTCTTGTCATCAGTGAATTTTTTGTCACATTTGGCCGCCCTATTCCCGGGCCTACTGTGCTTTAGGGCAAATCCGCCACTGTGCTGACCTGTCTTTTCATCATCACATGCCTTTTATTACCCTCTGCCTACTGGTTCCTGGCCATTTAGGTACTTTTAAAAGTTTGAATCGTTCTCGATCCTTTTTTCTTTCCACTATTCTTAGGTTGGTTCTTTCCGTCATCACTCCCATCAAAATTCTGAAAACGAGAGGGAGTGCTCATAGAATCATCCTGATGAACAATTCAAATCTCACGTGACTTAATTTTTTTTAATAATTAGATATACGTATATACCTAGGCCCATTTGGGGTATCTGGACTGTTTAATAAGGAGTGTTTTATACTGATTTTACTTATTATATTATTTTATTACAGCCTTTTCGTTTTCTACTTGTTAATAAATTAATGTGGACCGGGACTTTTTTGTTTTCACTAAGGCTAGGCCACATTAGTGCCCGAATAGGGAATAAATTAAAATGAAATATTAGACTATGATAATACGGGATACTCCGTTTCGCTATATGGATCTCAAAAAAACCAACTACGGGCTTTACAGATTTCCAAGTGCTTTCTGTGTAGTTGTCGCCTACTGCTTTCCCATATAGAAAGTAACGTATGTACTGACAAAATTCAGTGATTTATTTATATTGAATCAATATACCTAAGCAGTACGGCAATAAAAATACTGACATTTTATGTACTATCCATGAAAGGGTTTGTAAACATTCAGTCCCGATATAAGTAGCGCCATCTAGCCTCTGCTATAAAGACCCACAGTTACAGTTGAAAATGTTATAATGAAATTTAAATACCGCAAAACGTATGACTCATACCGTCCACAATAACTTGAAATCTTAACGCGTGGTTTGACCATCAGATCACAGCTCATTAAGTCTATCACAGACTACGCTTCAATCGGTCAAAGATCCCACTGTTCTTACAAATGCCCCGTTTACTTACAATAGTTGAGATTTTTTTTTAAACAATCACAATTAATAAATAAATAATAACTTACGCGTATAGTTAAAATTTTTAATTAGTTGTTTAGACCACACCGCATCGCATGAAATCTCAAGTTCTATAAATTTCAAATCCCATTCATATTTCAACTTCCAAATCTAGAAATGTATTTTCCAAAAATGTGTAGCATTTGAAATTTCATGCTTTGAACTTTCAAGTTAGGCAGTAGATGGAGGGTTGGTCGCAAACCAAGAGTCTAGAATTAATTCCATAAATTACTTCTACTGCACTTTAAATTACTTGACCTACACTAACCAACAAAAGTGGAATCTTTAACCATTCAACATTCCTTTAACAAATAAAATAGGGTGTAACATTTTAACCTTAATAAATACGAAAGGAGTTATTTGGTTTAGCCAACATATGAATGTAAAATACGTACAAAATTAGATAGGTAAGTTATCATGAAAAGAATAGTGTAGATTCCAGGGTTTACAGGTTAAGGTTCAATTTACATCATCGCGGAATGGAATGGAAGCGAACATTTTTAACCATAATGAACTTTATGTCAATTGTGTAATGTACAAACAGAATGCAGTCTCGGCAATTCGCGCAGCACCGTATCATATCTAGTTTGTACGTCTCACGATCACATCGATATTAAGTTTATTTTGCTATGTACAATTTCGTTACAAAAATTGGCTTCCATTATAGATCGTACGTTCTGCATTTTAAAGTCTATAAATTGGTACATAATATTAATAGAGGTAGCTCTCTTTGATGCCTAGTAAATAGTTTCTTAGCAAAAATTATCAGATTTCATAATCTACAATAAATAACTTTTTGATGTTTTAAATCAGCGCCTTACATTAACACTTATGGTGGAACAAGAGACAATACAAAAATAGCTAATAGATTATATTTTCTTTCACTATCTTGTTAAGAACGAAATACGTAGGTACGTTTGGATAATGCTGAAAATACACTTAACCGTTCATACTTAAACCGTTTTACTAAAAATATGCAAGAGTGTTGTAGACAGATATACTTACGTAAAGCGATAGTAGATTTCTTAATAATTATTAAAATTAATTAAACTGGTGAGGCAAAAAAGTAAATTTTATTATTCAGCTCAATCCCAACTACTTTCAAAGTATAATGTGCATGGCTAAAATAATTCTATAAACTAATTTTGATTAATAAACTTAATATTTACATACGTTGGAACATAATTTTTAATCGAGTTTCGCGTAATGATACTAAACTCCTACATCTGACAATTCATTATCATTAAAATTAAAAATGCGAAAGAAAAGAAGTGTAACGACGACCTTACCGTCTGTATCGGTACGAATTAACCTATCTCTGAACTCGGTATCTTAATTTCATCAATTTCAAGTTATTTCGTCATCTAATATAAAAAATATCGAACTCCTGTTAAAGTTATTTAAATAGCATTACGCGCTCGAATTCAGTTTTCCTTGACGCTATGCGTACAGGACGGTCTGCACGCAGGGTAGCACACAATTTTATATAAAGATGAGTACAACCCATAGCCGGTGCGGGCACATTAGTTAAGTGCGCTTCCACCTTTATGCATGTACGCGAGTTAAGCAAAGAAGTGTCTCAAGTGAAATTTTTTTAATACTGTTGTTTCATTTCATTATACTTAATTTACTCATACGAGTATACCTACCAACATTCGAAGCACCAATCTAAAACTTATTCAAAATCTTTGTTTATTTTCGAAACACGTCGATTACGGTTATTAATTTTTGTTTTTTTTTTATCATTCTAGGCACCATTGCTCTACCTTATACGAAATATTAATTGGCAAGTTAATAGAGAACGTTATGTAATAAATGTCATATGGCTAGAGGCGCAAAATACGGACACGCTGAAAGTGGTTCTGTTATTAAAACGGAGATACAGAAATACATAATATATAGAAAATAAAATAACATATAGAAAGAACTTTGAATACAATATACGTACGACAGAAAAAAAATGCGACATAGCTTTGCTGTGCTTTTTATAGAAAACCGATTAACTGTCTTTGTTAACTTGCCAACAAATATTCCAATGTAAAAACAAGTTATATAGGAGAATTCAATGTTTACTTTTAAGAATAGTTACAATTAGAAGAACTTTTTGACGCTAGATAAAAGGCAATGGCAAACTTTACACATGCTTCAGACAAATACAAAGATATTGGCCACACGATCCGAACTTTTCTTAATAAAATAATTAATGCCATCAAAAAAATAACTCAATAATTAAAAAAATAACCCGGACTCAAACTAGATAAAAAATACTATGAATACCAGAACAATGAATGTACTATAAGTACCAAAACAATGAAAACGAACCCGGGACTTGCTCATCTAGCGCCCACAGTGCTTATCACTGGTCCACACAAGTCGTGTAACTGAATTTTTGTAAGAAACTTAATAGTAGCGACGTTAAGGCAATGAACGCTGGTTCGTGTCACACCAATAACTACAGTTGCGTCTGTGGTAGCGATTAGCTGTGCAATATATACCGTATCAATGACTTTCTAGAGTGGCGGCCCGTCTCATAATAACCTAATGCTTGTGGAATTCGGTTTAAAAAATAGAAGGGAAAATTGGCGCGCAAAGGCGATGAATCACCGACCCAGTGTGGTCACGTGATTATTTTAACCGAAAATGAAAAACTCGGTGTTCACAAGGAAATGTTGCAAACTCTGTATTTAGCTTTATAGTAAGAAACAAAAAACTATTTTGGTTACGGTCACTTTTCTTGAAAAGCAGCTATATTGCCCCCTATCATAACTCACGTAATCGACATTACTAGCGGAAAAAATGGCGGGCTTTTGAAGATACAAGTACAGTTTTTACAAAGATTATTTTTATTTTAAGTATATTATGAAGAAAATACGTAGAAAGAAATAGTGATGAAGTAAGTTAGAACTATATTCCTTATTTTAAACCAAACCACAACAGATTTTATCCTGAAAATTCCACTGATTACGAATGTAAAATTTTTGTTCAAAGTGACGTGATTTAAATGAGTAAATCCTGCCGCTTAAAAGACTATTTAGCAAACACAAACAAGGGACCTAAGAGATTTAATGGACAGTGAAAACATAATGTATTAGAACTACAATGGAATATATTTATCGAGAATCCCGATAATTAAACGAAGACATGGCTCCAAGGACTTGTATCCAAGCCATTATTAGCGAAATTGAGTTAATAACATATCTAGAATCCGCGAACCGAGGTTTACAATCCTCGGTTTTCTTATATATTATTTGGTTCCAGTTTTATTGTAAATCAAAATCAGCGTAATTGACATTTTTCCAAGAAAAAATAAATTTTGTATGGCAACATCTCGAAAATTACCAAAGTGCAAATCTATGTCTCCAATGCCAACTTTATTAAATTTATTGGTAATTTTCTGTTATTTTTGTATACAGCCATATTTGTTTAGTAATATTATGCTTCCAGAATTTTGTGAAAAAACAAGAAAAACAAAATAAAAACAGAACTGATCCAAAAATTAAGGGCGTAGTAATAATAATGCACGCCCGGGAATCGAACCTGGGACCTCTGCGTGGCAGTCCGGCATGGTAACCGTTCGGCCACGGAGACAGTTAAAGTATTCATTGGAGATATGGAAATGCGTTAGTTATGACAAGGAGACAGTACATATTAATGACGTCAGCTTATTGCTACCGCATACATGATCGCACATGCAGCTGGGCGCGATCAAATACAAAGTGTACGGAGTAATAACGACAACAACATCCCTTCAGTTTTAATTAATAATTGATAAAAAGATTTACGAATTTAGAAATGATTCTAATGAGCTAAATATTCTGAAATACCGACTTCTTAACGTGACGTAAAAATAGCAGTCAAGTGTTTACTATCAAATTACAATTAACATTACGAGAGTGCAACACTATAAATAATTAGAAATTATTATAATCCATAGTTAGTGGTAATTAATTCGAATTATAATTACTATTTAGGTGTAAACGTGGAACAGTACGAGTATAGTCAGTATCGTGCTCATGAAACACATTGACACTGGCAGGAGCACCGCGAAACGGAGAGATCTGGAGAGAAATTGTTCGTATTAAATGAAGTAGAATAAAATCTGTGTATCAGGATTACGCTCATAAAAACAGTATGTAAAGGACCTATACGGGGTGATAAAAAAACTACGTTTTTTACTAATAAAACATATCTGTAATTATTTTTTGTTATTGTTATAATTGTCACGATCATTTTAGCGTATGAGTAACGTAAAATAATAATATTAATTATTGGACTCCACATCCGAATTGCTCTCTTTAGCACCGGGACGCGTTGTCAATCAAATTCGGTGTTTTTAGGAAAACCGTCAGAACTTGTTTAATTGTTAAATATTAAAAAGAAAAATAGTTTTTTTTTTATTATAGAGCAAACTCTCTTATGTTTTCATCACCCTGTATATCAAATAGGTACAAACTCATTACTGATAATCTCAGTACAGAGTACTAAAAAAACCGACCTCAAAAGTACGTGGAATTACATCTGTTTGCCAAGTTTTATTGAAATCGGTTACCGGAAAGTGCGCAAACCCGGATTCATCCCCTAGTTCGCCACTATACGGACCTTGATACAGGAGATAATAAAAATCGGTTCTCAATACTCAAAGTATATTGAGAGAGAAAAACGCCTTGAATTGGGGAATAGCAACATCAACCATTAAAATAATTGCTCCTTATAATAAAATTTAGGCGCTATTTATAAAAATGAATCTTAAAGCGTGAACAGCCACCCTTAGAGGTGGATAATTTTGTTCAAAATTAAATGGGATCACTATGGAGGTACCCTCTTTCCAACTAAAAAGAATCATCAAAATCGGTTCACAGATACCGGAGTTATCGCGTAACATACACACAAAAAACCTCCTCCTTTTTTTGTCGGTGAAAAATCAGAGGAAAATAAGTTCGGTAGACATAAAGCGGTTAGTGGAGAACGTTCGCTTCGAGGAGAGGGTTCTCAAAGTAAAGCAAAATATTTATTTACGTTCAATTTACATTGCTCCGGAGCGGAATGGAAGCGATTGTTTGTACCCATAGCATAATGAACTTTATGTGTGAGCCAAAAAACAGGTCGCACGTCTTCCGAAGGGTCCTCGCGCAGTCTCGGAAATTCCCGCATCTACCGCAAGTTCATTGTGCTATGTACAATTTGGCGCCTTATGGCGCCACCACGTGTAAACGGCGAGTCGACTGTCTTCGGCAAGACGAAGTAGTCTGCCGAAGGCAGACGACCCGGTGTGAATGCTCCATTAGCCGCCCAACAGCTATTAAGTGTTATTATTTATAGTATAAAGACTAGTCTTAATCCGATTTTAAATCATAAGTAGGATTAGGCAAAATTTAAAAAGCAGACCGACCTCCAGTAAGGCAGGTGTCAGAGCGGCGGGTGAGGTACATCAGCGCTACGGCATAGCGCCGTCGTTGCGTCAGGGCCCGGCTCGCTCTCGCGACGCACTTTGCCTACAACATACACAACACAAAGGAAGGTAACATAAAGTATATTGTTTTATTAGGACAGAAAATAGGTTAGTGTAAACGAATTAACGGCTTGAAACGGTCAGAAAAAAAAATTGTACGTAGTCGAAAACGAACGACACGCAGGCGAAACGAACGAAGTCTATTTCACTCTTATTTCATAGACATAAAGCTATTTCTGAGCGACCCAAGCCAATTTCGTATCGATAAGTGTAGGTCACTCTCTTAGGCGTTATCTAAATATAAAAAATGCTAACTTTTAAACAGAATTATAAAAAAGAAAATAATTTGTACACTATGCCCGAAAATATAATTGATGCATAGTTCATCGCTGTAGGAAGTAAAATTTTTCATTAGCACTCACATTCTCTAGTAGGTACTCTGAATTAGTTTTGCAACGTAATTCAGATCACCACTATGTATATTTAATTATCTGCATGTATTTTTGTAACACCGATCAGTGAAGCAATAAGTAAAGAAAGTTCTCATGTGGTACCCGATTTTAAAGTAAAGTCCCATACTAAGTGCCATTTAACAGCCGTCAAACATTTCTACAATCTAATTAATAATACACTTGACTCTACCGTTCCATATAAGATCAACACATATCACAAAATTTCTCATTATCCTGATTGGTATAGCTCGGAGCTAATTAATTTATTGAAAATAAAAAATCACTACCATACTGTATTCAAAAGTACTAAGTATATATTACTATATTACGGGTTTTTCTATTTTTATCGCAAACGATGCAAGTTGCTGACGGCTGAATGTTACTGTGCTCATATAAATAAAATAGAAAACAATATCAAGTTTAGCCCAAGAGCATTTTGGTCGCATGTTAAATCGATTAGACAATCAAACGATCCGTCTTTGTTCGGGAGATCCAATTCACAGGAAGTCGCAGACGATTTCGCAACATTTTTCAAAAACGTCTATCCGACATAGGCTCCCATATTGAATCCCAGTGATGCTTTTGCTGTTGCAGCTGCGCCAATTCGCTCATCATACCAGCTGTTGTCCGATCGACATATTATTGTAGACCAAATAACGAAATTTGATATTTATAGCGCTATGAAACAACTCAAGCCTAAACTGACCCAAGGCCCGGACGGTATTCCACAGTCAAAGATTATTTATTCCATAGGTAAAATAAATTTATACTTGAAAACGTCACATTTAAGCTACTGCTCGTTCACTACGCTGACCTCCCTGAGAAGAACGAGCAAGAAACTCTAGGGATTGCTCTTTTCAAATAAACTTAAATGCTATGGAATACACTTTGAATCAAATTTGTGTGGATTCTGGAGCCATGTCGTCTTTCCATACATCTTTATCTAACACGTAGTCTTCAATTTTGTAATATGATTTTTCGATCAAAATATTTTTAATGTAGTTTTTAAACTTAGGAAATGATAAACTTAATATATGCTCCGGAATCTCATTGTAAAAACGTATAAATACAGTTCCCCATAAAAGAGTTGTTTACCTTGGTTAAACGAAATCGTGGTACCATGAGTTTGGAGCTCTAAGGTTAATATTATGGATATCTTCTTTCTTATTGAGTGTGTGCGTTATTATTATTATTGAAATTATGTATATTTTTACGGGCATATAAAATATTTGAGTAAATTTACTGTGATGCCATAGTCATGATACCAGTCTCCTTAAGTGCTGAGTGCATCAATCTGCGGTATGCGTAATTTATTAAAAGTGTGTGAGGGGTATGCGATAGACCACGGACTTAAATATAATACACGTAAAAGCCAATACATGGTATTTGGGAACGGGCGTAAGTATAACTCTGAGCTACCTCAAATCAAACTTAATGGTATAGACCTTCAGAGGGTAAATCAATTTAAATATCTAGGGCATATACTTACGCCTGATCTCAATGACAATAAGGACATGGAAAGGGAACGTAGGGCTTTGTCGGTCAGGGCGAATATGATCGCACGCAGATTCGCAAGGTGTTCGGGAGAGGTAAAAGTAACGATCTTTAGAGCGTACTGTACCTCCTTTTATACCTGTAGTCTGTGGCGAGAGTTTACGAACCGGGCCTACAGGGCCCTACGGACTCAATACAATAACGCGTTCCGGGTGTTGATGGGGCTGCCCCGCTTCTGTAGCGCATCAGGGATGTTCGCCGACGCGCGCGTGGACGGCATGGACGCCACTGTGCGCAAGAGGTGTGCGTCCCTGGTGTGCCGCGTGCGGGCCAGCCCCAACTCCGCTCTCCGTGTCATAGGGGACAGGGATGACTGCCCCTATATTAGGCATTGCTGCGGGTTACATGCTCCCAAGCATGTAATCAGATTTTAATTTAAGTTCAATTTTAATTTTAATTTTATTTCAATATTAATTTTATTTCAATTTTAATTTATTTTCAATTTTAATTTAACTTAAATTTTCATTTAAATTCAATTTTAATTTCATTTTAATTTAAATTCAATTTTAATTTTTAATTTTAAGTTTTACTAACTTTAGATTAAGTTCACATGTATGTACTAACAAGTGAGTCTATTGTTACTCGAAATAAAAAGTTATTATTATTATTATTATTAAACTTTTCTCTGAGAGATACCCGAGAGCCTAGACGGTACACAGAACGAATCGCTCGTTTTTGCAATACAAATATGGTTTGAATATCTGCCGCTTTACCCCACATGAGAATCCCGTAGGACATTATACCATGGAAGTAACTAAAGTAAACTAGTCTAGCAGTACTAACATCGGTAAGCTCACGTATTCTGCGGACTGCGTATGCAGCGGAGCTTAATCTGCTGGCCAGGGATGATATATGTGGAAACCACTGAACTTTACTATCTAAGGTCACTCCCAAGAAGACTGCTTTATTAACAAGGTCTAACTTTTCTCCGTTTATTTTTATGCTTGGACTAGTCGATTTTACGTTAGGTAATTCAAATTTAACACATTTTGTCTTCTTGGCATTAAGCAATAAATTGTTAGCATTAAACCAATAAACTACCTAGGATAATAAAGGATTGCAGGGAAGCATTCACTAACCCCCTATGCCATATCATTAATTTGTCCCTAAAATGCAATACATATCCCAATGTTTGGAAAACGTCAAAAGTCCTACCAATACGTAAATCGGGTCACAAACCTGAAATAAGGAATTATTGCGCCGTGGCTGTTTTATCTGTTTTTGCAAAAGTTATGGAAACCGTTTTGTACAAGTATATTTATGAACAACTTAAGGGGTGGTTCTGTGATTAACAGCACGGATTTCTTACAGGTCGCTCTACTGCCTCCAATCTTATGAATATTACCACGACCATCTCTGACGAGCTAGACTCCAGAAAGCAAGTTGACGTAGTTTACTTGGACTTCCAGAAAGCATTTGATCAAATTGATTGTTATTGTTCTACTAAGGAAATTAATACTTACCGGTTTCTCAAAAAACCTAACCGCATTTTTCGCGGGACTACTTGGCAAACAGTCACCAATATGTATATTACAATAGATGCTTATCTCTACCTTATCAAGTAAACTCTGGTGTAGGTCAAGGTAGTTGCCTTGGACCACTCCTGTTTTTAATTGTAATAAATGATTTGCCACTGACTATCCGACACAGCGAGTGTCTCATGTTCGCAGATGACGTTAAATTGGCCAGGACGATTAAGTCTGATGCAGATTGTGTGTTCTTGCAAAGGGACATTGATAACGTGAACAGGCGGGGAAGATATAATAGTTTACAGTTGAATGTTGAGAAATGTACAGTTGTGTCTTTTTCTCGTGCTCGCAAACAGGTAACTAGTAATTATAAAATAAATGATACTCGGATTAGTCGATCTAAATCAGTCAAAGACTTAGGCACATGGTTCGACACTGAGCTCACTTTCCGAGAACATATCACAAAAATTTCCCCCAAGTGCCTCGGTTTCGTCTTAAAACAATCATAGTCGTAAAAACCAACCTCACGTCGTGTCTTTTGTATAACTCTTTAGTTCGAAGCAAATTGGAATGTAACGCTATCATTTGGAACCCCGTCCATCACAACCACACACAAACATTAGAGAAAATTCAGCAGACATTTGCTCGAAACTTATACAAGAAGATGTACGGATATTACCCCTACTTTATCCCACAGCATTTATTTTAGGCATGGTAAATTACAGAATGCGTCTCACTTCTAAGACGCAATCTGGCTCTGGTAACTTATGTGTTTCGTCTGGTACAGGGAATAATATACAACCCATTTTTGTTGTCCAAGGTAGGCTTTGTGGTACCTAGAACTAATCTGGTACGATTTCATAGAATGAGGTTATTTGCAGTACCTACCACACGATGTAGAGTGAGTGAGATGGCCCCCCTGCCCCGAGCACTTAGGTATCTAAATCAGTTGCTTAACTTCGACTCCTCATTGGACCTTTTTGCATGCTCAGAAACAAAATTCATATTTTCCGCAGGACGCTAACTGGAGTCCTTGACCGGAGACAGCAGTATTAAGTGTTAGTTTAAAATGTAATAACAAATGGATTTTATCGCTTTTTGTCATTAATGTTAATCTGTAATAATTTATTGTTTATGGTATTGTATTTATAATTTTATCTATTTTCATATTTTATACACTTTTGTAATTGACTTAAGATTGATTGTACATTTAGCTTTAAGTCTTACTATTGCGTTTGGGTTGACTGTAAGCAATATGTAATAAATAAATAAATAAATTTAGCATTAGTTTATCGCCATTTTTCAATATGGCTGCCATAGAAGTATTTTTTGGCGGTAGATGACGATTTGCTCTAATTCACTTGAAAATAGGCAGGGTCTCTATGGGTGTTTAATTATAATTTCCGGTCAAAATTTATTTTTCGCCATTTTTTAATATGCCTAAGGCTGCCTAACAAACTTTTTTTAGCGTTGGTAAAATTTTGCTCTAATTCTACTGAAAATCGTGATGAGGGGTTCTCTATGGGTGTTTAATAATAATTTGCATTCAAAATTTACTTTTTACCGTTTATCAAGGCCGTAGGCCGAGGTCTAGAGGAGGGCGAAGCCCGAAGCGTCCGCACGCCACCTTACGTAGATAGTATACGGGGACTAGATTTCACAATTGTTCAAAATGTAAGGCATACTTCCCGATGTAGTGGAAATAATATCTTATTTACTTATACAACTTATAGCGTCGTTGTATCTCGACTGTCTCTCTGTTAGATTCTTTTTTAATGGAAGATATACCCAAAAGAGAAGTATTTAAGGAAAATATGCCAGACAATCACTCCAAATTTCTGGTCTCAAACTAGGGAATTTGCTGTACTATGAGTACCAGAGTAACGATAATTCTGAAAGCAATACCCAGAATACCCTGACCAGGACCAACTTAAAAATATTTTTTTCATAAATTGGCTCAAATAAGGGATCGAATCTGGAACCTCCACATCAAGCGCCCATAGTACTAATCACTGTGCCACCGAAGAGCATAAGCACACCCCGTAATCCGAAAGCGACCACGCGCCGCAGGCCGAGCCCGACCCCACCGTGGCTCGTAGGTGGGGTACAGGGCTCGTATCAATAATGTACAGATGACCCCGGGAGTTGTAAAGTTTTAAATAGTTTCATAGTAATTAAAACATAAGTAATAGTTAAATATTTTGCCTTTATTTTTTCAAAGAACATTTAAAAATAAAAAGCGTAACGAAATAAACATTTTCGAAATCGTATACAAGCCTAAGTCAGTCAGTCAAACCTAAAAGTGGTATCTAAATATCGAGTTCTTAGGTTTTCGTGATTGTTACACATAGGAAATGAAACTATTTTTCCGGATTTAAATCGCGCATATTTGTTTTTTCAAACAAACCGACCAATCAACTCGAAGACTGTACCACCTCAGTCAACCGTGACCATGGGACCTGTAAAGGGCCCAAAACGTCGGTTTGTTTGAGAAAACAAATATACGCGATTTAAATCCGGAAAAATAGTTGCATTTCCTATGGTATCTAAATGTTATTTCTTGTAAAAAAAAAACAAAGTAAATTACAAATAACCATCAAAATTAGCGGAGATACTTTTGTAAGTCAATGGGAGATACGTTAAATTTGCTCGGGCAAGCAATTTTAAACTCTTTTCTGTGCAGGTCATGATCTTCAGCTTAATAAAGTTAGGATTATGAATACAAAGATGGAACACAGAAACATTTTTTCGTCGACCCGTTGGGACTTGAACCCACGTCCATGTTGCATTGCTCTTACCAACTGAGCTATGGGTCCAGTTACCGAGCCGTCGAAATTCTCTTATGTGTTTTTGTTATAGATTGTTTGTACTGGCTTTCGCCATTCGTCGCCGTTAGTGACATAGTGAGAGATTTTTAAATAATCTTCTCACCAATGTAATAGACTTATTCAATAATAATAAAGCGCCAGACAACTACACCAATTACCTGGGGATTCCCGATGCTATGAGTACCAGAACAACAGAATTCACTTCGGGGCGCTACCCAGAACATCAGATTAGAAACAAGTTAGAAAATTACATCTTCTTAAGATTAACTTACTAGCGAAACAGAGACAGCCAGTCTGCTGACTAGCCTGCACCGATGTATTGGGACGAATATCCTTCATCTCCTTACTTTGTTCCGTCAGGCACTTCTGGTAATAGTCGTATTCTTTCACATACCTAGAAATAGAAAGTTATTATAAAATTTTGTTTTTCTATTAAAGTGGCAAGACCTCGTCTAAGCTATCACATCATTACGCAGCGTGTATTGACGCTTGCATATGACGCGTAACAGAGATAATTGATCTCTGTTACGCGTCATATGCAAGCGTTTTTTACAGAGGCACACACTCGTAGCCCCGCACTAGGGAAACCCTGTATCGCGGGTGCCATGGACACACAATATTTCTCCGGCCACGGGACCTCTTATCACCTGAAGAGGATGTCGAAGAGTATGAAAAATAATATGTTTCAGAGATTGTCACGGAGGAGTGGCATAAATGTTTTCAAAATTGGTTCATTCGTATGAAAAAGTGCATTAACGCTAACGGAGAATATTTTGAGAAACAATAAATTCATTTCTGACCATTCATAGTACTTTTTTTTTTATTCATTCCGGAAACTTATAGTGCGCCTCACGTATCAAGGTTATTTGTTAAATACTAACAACCTCAAAGGACTATCTATATTACTAATAGGTTTCATAAACAACTTTTCTTCCATGACTTTTTACAAAACATATACCGCAGTTTGCGGATACTGCTACGCTTTGCAGTGGGCGGTCGTTAGGAGACGACTTCTTCCATCAGCTGCCTGAGGTCAGAGACCTATCTGCTAATATTCTTGAAATCGATGGTCAATGTAATTCCAGCGAAACTCCACTGAGACTTAATTGCTTCCGTGACCGAACGGTTACCATGCCACGGACCGCCACGCAGAGGTCACAGGTTCGATTCCCGGGCCGGGAGAAATATTTGTATGGCCTACATTTATTTCTTTCGTGACTTTGGGTGTCATTTTGGTTGTCTGTGTGTGTCCACGGCACCCGCGATACAGGGTTTCCCTAGTGCGGGGCTATGTTGAGTGTGTGCGTTATTATTATTATTATTATCATATTTATTTTAAACTCTCGCCTCTCCCAAGGCCTAAAAAATTAATTATTAATTATTAATTATTAAAATTAAAAAAATTAAAATTAAAATTATTAAAATTAAAATTATTAAAATTAAATTAATTATTATTAATTAATTATTATTATATTGCAATTATGACAATATTTGTTATTCTGCTAAAATCTAGTTGCAATGACAGTTGAATCTCAATAGATTGTCAGTGGAAAGGTAGTGATGGCATTTAATCATTCAATCACTAATAATCGAAATTACTACGCAAATCTTAATTTTTATTTCGTTTAATCAGCAATTTAGTCTTCAAATTAAAACTTTTGAAATAAGTTGATCGTGACATTGGTGTTTTAGTCCTCGTGCTCCTACAGTAGGAGCATGAGGAAACAGAAAAATTCTTTCACTTCAAATCGACCAGTTGAACTTGAACTTTGCTGTAATGAGAATTGATATTTAAAAGTGATATAAGACCCATTTGCCTGATGAGTTGCCAGGGATGGATGGCCCTTATTTCGTCTTTATATCTGGTTATATACTCGATGTCTCCGCCTAACATTTGCTCATTAAATAGCTTTAGGTGCCCAAAAGCTCACAGATTCATATGACATTCGCACATGGAAGAAACGCTCAAGACTAGTTAAAGTAAGTTCTCTTCCACGCATCGCAGACCATATCTCCCTTTAATATTTTTTTTTATAATATCAAGTGACGGGACGAACACGTCGTGCGCCTAATGATCAGCTGCTACACGCCTGTCCATAACACTTGCAGTGCCACTCAGAACTTTAAATCGCAAAGATTTGAAGGGCACTGCCACTGTTCCCGTCACCCTGAGACATAAGTTGACAAGTCTCATCTGCCTGAAATTTCACCAGCACCCTTACCCTTCAAGACTGGAACACAGTAATGCTGACATTACTGCTTGGCGGCTGAAATAGGAAAGGTGGGTACTTCCCTGGACGAACTCTCTCACGAGGAGCTCTACTGCCACCAGTTTAGCCTCTAAGACTTTTCCCGCACTCCGCAGACCAAAGGGAACTCAAACTTTTAACTGTTTTGGATAATATACGTAGTAATTACCAATTACCAGACAAATATGGTCATGATAATTACAAAACCTATGTCTATGAATATGGTAATTACAAGACAAAAATGCTTATGAATATGGTAATTACCAGACAGGCGGCCATCGATTGTCGGATAGGTAGTCCCTGGTGGCGGGGCTGAGATGTTTCGCGCGACAGGCGCGGTCATATGCGCCGCACAAACGCCACTGGCACCACTCCCATAGCGTATTTGCATTGTGCAACTGCAATGCACGCAGACAGTTATTTCATAAAACGGCCACTGATACCGATTCCGGTTAGTACTTGATCAATCTTAACATCATGTTAATGGCGTCTGAATTCATCGCTCAACAAAAACTTACCTTGACAGGCTCTAGTAATGACAAAGCTATCTCGACCACTTGATCGTCATCGCCACAGACTCTGTTATTAAAGAAACACGATTAATATTACGTAATCACTTAAAACAGGAGGGGAATACACAATCACTGTCTACCGCGCCGCGCGCCGCGAATCACGGAGGGCTGACTGATGGAAAGCGTTCATTTTTAGGATATTAAAAAAATCGATCGTATAGAGATAAAGCTAAAGTTTACTTTAGCATAAATATCTTATTTATAGCACATGGACTCATTGAAGATCGTACTCATGTTCATGCCAATGTTGCTTCATTCCCTTTCTAACCCACACATCTTCCCTAACACATTCAATCATTTTCATTCTACTGCCAGAGGGGTCGCTAAAACACCTAAAATTCTTATTGGTCATGCTCATTGGCACCACTCCCAGCCAGAGTAACTCTGACCCGGACAAGCCGGATATACCAGGGGGCACAGTTTAAGGAAGTGACACGCCCGTCATTGTGGAGGGGGAGACTAATCAGCCACAGCCGACGGCCAGATTCCTGCCAGCTATGAAACGCGTGACAGAAAGTAGGTAGTAAGAGTAGTTAGTTATTTGGGTAGGTAGTCGGGTATTGTTATTAGAAATTAGCATTGATGGTAATGAGGTCGCCATAACACCTAAAATTTTAAGTACTAAATTTAAACTTAACGTCCATAAGCCTACTTTTAAAAACAACATTATTTTGAAATCTGTCCCATGTTATAATATTCACGGAAGAGAGCTGATATCTGAAATACAGATAATTAATTATTATATAACTCAGACACAAACGTCTTACCCTAATGCAATGTTGCAAGTTTGACACTATTAATGTCAAATTTGTCTAAAAAAAATCAATGTCAAAAACCAAAATGGACCTGTCAAAGAAGGCTATGAAGTAAGCCTTTGATGTGATAATTAAAGTAGGAACTTACCTATCTTGATGCTGTAACTGATCTATAACCCTGGCCTCGACCAGTGTGACCAATCTATTCATGCAGAGACGGTTGGCAAGCTCGAGGAGCTCGAGGCATCGAGTCGGTTCAACCATTGGTATCTTATCTGAGTAGATATAGCATAGGAGTATGTGGAACGCGTACATCTTTACCCCGGGGAAGGAGATCTGATAAAAAAGAGTAAGTACATCAAATGATTGTATCTTTACAACGGACCAATATGTCGCACACTGAGTATGACAGTGACAATGCAAAATTTTTGATTTTGAGTAATGAACAATTAAAGTTCTGAAAATTATGATGACTCCAATTCCTTACTCAACGAATATTTTTGAATGTGGTTTTAGTTAAAATAAAGGGGAACCTACATAGTTTTTAGAAGTATTATACAAATTTTCACCTACCACAACAAATAAAGGTATTTTTGAGAATTTCCTTTAGTATCACTATTCCTCATAATCTTTTCATGTATAAAATGTTTCGGAGTAAAATAACATTTGTACAATAACATTATTAATATTTTATTCTTATTTAATATTTTGATAATAATAGCCGGATTTGATTATCTTTATTGAATTAAAATGAAAAACTTTAAAATATGGCTCCTCTTGGTATTTTTCATAAACATAGTTCTAAACACAGTGTATGTATATACGTAATTTAAAAAATTTGACAATTGAAATGAACTTGAGCTGTACAGTAATTGAACAGTAATTGTGATGAACAATGGGTCGAGGATGATTGAAATGAAACAAGTTCGACTATTTATTCCATAAGCGTGACCAATGTTCAGCCGTTAGTCGATAGAATATTTATCAACTGCAATCACTAGCTGCTCGCAAGCGGGCAACACTTTTGCGCTGTGAACTGTCATTTTACTCAGTAAAAAGGCAGACTATAAATTATTATTTTTTTATTATGCAATATCGTCACAAAGGATTCATAACAACAAATTGTGCCATTAAATTTAATATTAAACTTCGAAAAGAAAGGGATAAATTACTCTATAACTCATCCACTACCAGAATAGATCTGGTTCAGCAACCTTGTACCATATTACACTTAATGCAAAACGACACTATCCAAAAAACTCTCGTCTCCTACGCCCCGTTCCCCTTATACAGCATTACGTCATGTAGTAAATTCTAGGCAAACAACGTACGTTATACGGGGGTTTTTGAATTATAAAGTTCATACTCTAAATCCAAGATGACGTTAAAAATAAAAATAAATAGTTTTTTATATAGTGTTCGTTCTCAGTGTGCGATATTACTCTACGTAATATGACGTTCTGCTTCACTTTTCGACTTACCACTCTAGAAGTGCTTTCCCTAAAGTGGCCCTGGAACATTGCCTTCATAGGATCGCAGCGGGCCATTAATAAAGCTCTGTGTGCGAGGTGGATTCCATCATCCAGATCAAATGTCACATCGGCGAAGAGATTGCGCTCTACATACATTTCGCGTAGTCTTTGAGGTAAAGGCTGAAAGAATACTTTTGTTAATATTTACTTATTAGGTCTTAGTGTATGTTTTTTAACTGGAACATTATAGAGTACCTACTCCGAAACCACAGCAGATGCAGGGGAACTATCATGAGCAGCATTAAATATTTTTTATTTATTCATTATTTGGGAAACGTATAGTTTACAATTGGTATACATAATTATAGTATAAAAAACGTATTTCTTAAATCAGCAATTTATTTATAGTTTCCACTAATAAATAAAATATTTGTAATTTTTATGGAGATAGCTTCGGTAGCTCACAAGTAGTTCATAATTTATCAGGTTAGTTTTTTAAATATGAATAAAAGTAATTTTTTTTTTTATATCTATCGAATCAGTTTTATGTTAGTTTAATTTTATTAAATTGCAAGAAAAAACTGAAGAGCAGAAGTTAAATAAAAACTTTTTCTCGCTTTATGAACCTGATGAATTTATAAGATACCATTGTAAGAAAGTCGGTATACGTATGTATAACCATGGACCAATAAGTCAAGAGGACTGCTAATGGCTATACAAAGCAGAGTAGTCGAGTATTTAGTATCTATTGGTACTCCAGATGTCGCTACCATTACCAAATACCTTTTTTTGTAATAACATAATTTCTATTGATAACAAACAAATCAACCAGATGGCGCCATTTGGTTGATTTATTGCACTAATTTTATGGTAAGTGCCGCCGGCTATTCTTTTATTTTGTTTAGGATTAGCGCCATCTACCCATATTAGGAAGCATTTATAAATTAGTTGGTAAATCAAAACAAATCTTTATGAGTAGGTAATAAAACTATTCCATAAAAAATATATAAATACAGTGGTGGTCATAGAATTAGAAAAATCGGCTCTTGCTTCTATTGTTATTACAAATTATCTTAATAACTAAATTTTAACGTGTATAGAGAGAGCATCGACGTATTTACGAGGTTGTATCGGCACATAAAATGTATTATTATACCAGTTTAGCGATAATAAACAACGGTAATTTTACAAAATTAAAACATTTAACATTAAAATACAATGAGAGAATGAGAATTAAAATACAATGGATTGTGCCGGAAAACTTTTTAGAAACAAAAAAAATCAACAGTAAAATCACGAGCAAAGTGAAGAAAACCTCAAATAATTTGCATAAATACTTCATCCAAAAGTGATTAATATTTGGTAGGGTAGCCTCTGTTGTCGATTACAGATTTACAACGACGCGGCATTGATTCTATAAATTTTCACATGTTTCCAAAGAAATACATCTCCATGATTCTACAAAAGCATAGTAAAGTTCGATAATAGTGTCGAATGTAACATACTATGTTTATGCAACAATGTTTTCTTATAGTGTGCCACAAATGTTCTTTTGGGTTTAAGTCCGGGTTATTGGCAGACCACTCTAATACTGTCACAACACTGAGAAACGCTTTAACGCTTTGTGCTGTATGCTTTGAGTCATTATTGTGTTAAAATAGCCAAGTCACTGGCAAATATTCGTTGGAATATGGGATCATTGTCTCCTCTAAGATACTGATACTGATCCATCAGACCTTCAATCTTTCTCACGGTACCGATCCCGTTTCCCGAAAAACATCTCCACACTTTAACAATTCCACCACCGTGCTTAACTGTCTTTTTAGTGTACTTGTTATTCAAAACCTCGCTGATTGGTCTTTGTACATATCGTTTTCCGTCGGAAATTACCAAATTTTGTTTTAGTTTCACCTGAAAATAAAACTTTTTTCCATTTATGAACAGTCCAACGGCCATATTTTCTAGTGAAAGCTTTTCTCTATGTTGCCTGCAAAGAAGTGGTACTTTCCTGGCAACCCTTCCAAACAATTTTCCTTCAACCAGCTGTCTACGGACTAGTCTTGCGGACACGTTTCGAATGTCGTCTTGTGAAAGTACTTCTTTTTTTTTATAACATTAGAACCTTTAAAGGGGCCTTTAAAAGGAGCCTTAGCTAAACAAATCATAAGCATGTCTTCTTGAACAGTGGTCTTCCTTGGACCATCTTTACGGAACACTCTAAACGATCGGCAATTTTTCGATGCGTCCATTTTCGTTTTAAATGTAAATTCACTATAATATTTCTTGGTAGCAGTACCAAGAGTAATCACAGCTCTACTTTTTACACGTTTCTAATAATTTCGCCAGATCTAAGGTAACCGAACTAAACAAGTAAGAAAAGGCGGCAAAATGCATAATATGACGTCCTTGTGAAAAGTGTATTTTAGTTATAAAATTCAAGTTTCGAACACAAGTCATACTTGGTTTCTAATTAGTTGTCCAATTGTCAGTAGGTACTAAGGATATTGACAGTTTTTTTTTAAAAGAATACAAGAATCATCGAGTATATAACTAGAAATAGAGACGAAATGTCATTTAATTTGTTTGAAAACTATTCTGCCAAATCATCACGGAGACAACTGGGCTCCGATTGACGGGCATCGTCAATTGTTTCACTTCAAATCGACCAGTTTAACTTGAGCTTTGCTGTAATGGACGAAAATTGAAAAATTACTTATTAAATATTTAATTACCGATGAAATTATTCATTTTGCTGTTTTTCCCACACCACTGAATGGAACAGCCCCCCATAGTTAGAGATATCTTTATTACCATATTACAATAAATACAGACTATTTTTGGATTATACGGAGACGTACACACACACACAGGTCAGTTGTTGGCGCTGTACTACTTCAGCTTTCTAATTTGTGCTTTCAGCGCAAACGAGAGTTGATATTTAAAAGTAATATCAGTACCATTTGACTGATGAGTTGCCAGGGTGGATGACCCTTATTTCGTCTCTATTTCTGGTTATATACTCGATGACAAGAATACAAGATATTTATTCGCTGAAAAATGTAGTTAACAGTTTTTGTTTCATTGTTTTTTTTTTAATTTTTGTCTCAATTGTCTAAATATTATAACGTATTTTTAAACTAGTATGCGAATGTATATCGTAATGTAGTCAATTAATATTTGACGTCCAATTAATTGCGTTACATGAAAAGACTACCAAGTGACTAAAGGTTCCTAATTATATGACCACCACTGTATATTCATTATTAGTGTCTTCGTTGGTTTAAGAAATACGTCTTATTTATGAAAATTCCTGAAACGTATCGTGGTAATTCCTGGTATGGTGTAAACTGTTTGAATGTCCAGCTTTTTTTATGATACCAAGTGATAGGCCGAACAAGTGTGATCATAATAGTTACAGTGCCATGCAGTGCTTTAAATCAAAAAGATCTGAGGGGCACTGCCACTGCGCCTGCCACCCTGAAACATAAGTTGACAAGTCCCATCTGTTTATAATTTCACCAGCACCCTTACCCTTCAAAATCGAAACTCAGTAATGCTCACATTACTGTTTGGTGACAGAAATAGGTAAGGTTAGGCAGTACTTCCCTTAACGAACTCATTCGCAAGGAACTGTACTGCTACTAAAAATTTCAAATTTTAATGAACAGATGCCACATTAAACTTACCGTATGAAATTGATGCATAAACGCCTTATCGAATAACAGGTGTTGGTCCAAAATGAATTGACTGAGCTTCGTCAATTCGTGGAAGCCTAATAACTCGGCGGCTTGACGAATCTCCTATAGCAAACAAATTGGGAATTTAAATTTCGTTCCAAAAGTCAAAATATAAAATTTTGACGGCAAGTTATAAGCTCCATACGGAGCTTATAAAATTGATAACACTCAACCGCGTGTGGTCAAATTTGTTCGTCAAACCGCGCCGCTCCCGGTATAATGATGACCTCCGTTGAACGGCTTGCGCGTCGGTTTTCATGATATCGCCATCTCTGAGGTCCCGGGTTCGATCCCCTGCCGGGTCAATGTAGAAACTAACTTTTCTTTATTGTCCCGGGTCTGGGTGGTTGTGGTACCATCGTTCTTTCCAATTTCCATAAAACAAGTGTTTTAGTTACTTATTTTGGGATCGGAGCAATGATGTGATGTTGTCTAATATTTCTTTATGATATCTGGAGGTCCTAAGATTAGGAGACAATACGAACATTGATATTAACAAGTTATTTTTGATCGTGAGCGACTTCTTGAACATTACTTGAAAAAAAGACGGTAATACAGGGAGTGTGAATTTTTTTTAGAACATTCTGATCTTAGTGTCTGTACATAAACCGTGTACTGTGTTTCTAATACCTTACAGAAATAATTCTCAGTTATAAAAGTGCATGAATATTTATGTACAGGGAATGTGCGTTAAGTAAAACATTCGTATCTTTAAAAACACTTTTCTCATTCCAAAACTATTAGTTAACCAGTTCGGATAGAAAAATCTTAAATTAGCAATCAGCCACAGTATGGCGAAGTTCGAGTCCAGACGTATCGAATGAATCTTTCTTTGTGTTCCATCTTTGTATTATAATAATAGTGATATTCAATAAAATAAGTTTTTTTTAACTTGTAAATGAAGGTAGTACGTTCTTAATAGGAAAAATCTTGTCAGTGCACTGTTAATCGACCCTTAAAATGTTTAAGATATAAGGGCGCCTTGAAATTAGATGCTGATAGAAGCTCTGCAAAATTTCATATAATGTCTAGTCTGCAAAAATGGCTCGTGTGTGGCGCAAAGGAGGCGCGCCAGCTGCGCTTCTAAACATTGTATGCAAATTAGTAGTGGCGCTTCTATCAGCGTGTAATGTGTAGGCGCCCTAACAAGATATTTTTCACTTTAAACTGGCAATAATTATCGGATTTTGAAAATAACAACATTTCGTTTGACTATAATAGCTACAAGTCGCTGTGTTTTGATTACACTAAAATGTTAAATAATTTGATACACAAACAAATTATAAACATGGGTGATATAATTAGCGTTAATTATAAAACAAAAAAAGGGCTAATTTTTATATTTTTTCTACAATTTAAAAACAAAAATTATAAACATCTAAACGAGCATACAGAGTGTTGCAATAAAAGAATTATAATGATAGAAATTAATAATGATTTTATGTATTATTTATTAATATAATTTACCAGTAGTAATCCAATAGCAGCCGACTGCAGAAGACAATTTTATTATTTAAAAAAATAAATACGTTACTTGCTAATTTATTTTTTAACTTTAGTTTACACATATTATAAATAATAAAAAAAAGAAAGTAATTGAGTGTAATTATAATAAATAATATAATTATTAAGTGTATAAATGATACTCAGGTAAAAACGTTATACAGTCAAGGAATATTAAGACTTCATTTATTTAGATTGTTTTAAAAATTGACCAAAGAATATATACTTGTATTCTTTTTTAGACAAAAACAACAGTGCCCAATAATACTAAGATATGAAAGTGTCCAGACACTTCAGATGTATTCCGTAAATATATGAGATATCAAAAAACTTTAAAACTGATATTGAAAGTACGTTACCTCACGAGTAAAACGACACTAATATCGATGTCGTTTTACTCATTATTAGGTAACGTGCTTTCTTTCTTTTTCTTTCTTACTTCTTTTAAGTTTTTGATAGCTCTTATAAAGTGTACACCTGTATAAAAACATCCGAGTAAATCTATAGTGGCCTCTTCTAATATCGTTCCCTTTATCACGATTGGACATAGCTTGCCATTTTGAGGGAAAAAGTTATTTGCATTCCAAAATGTCACACTGCGTGTCACAACATTGATGTAAATAATTAATTTTGTTTTTAAACGGAGATTGTAGCTAGCCTCGTCCCTTATATCGTTCATACAACAAGCGAGGAAGGCCACTTGCGACAACCGTTGACTGCACGCAAAAAGAACCCTGGAGGTGGTAAAGCGTTTTTTTTTTTAATTAAAAAGATAAAACTTTTGCTACAAATTATTTTTTTATAGTCACAAAAGTATTACTGCGTCTTTATATTCTTGACAATATTACGTATTAAAATATAAGTATAGGATATAGAACCAAAGGTAAGATAATATCACTAAAGAAAGCTTTAAGCCAGTTCAACGGTTACTGCAAATTAAATTGAAATTAATTTATTTCTCAAATAAAAAAATTGTGCTTATAAGGCAAGCAGTCTTCCAAATACGAATCACTGCTTACATTACGTGTAATTAAAATCAGTTGTAGTTATAAACAAATAATAATACTAAACAAAACAAAATAACAACTCACTTGTTGTTTAAAGGCACTGTTGTCCAAAGCCCCGGTGTAAATAAAGTTGATAATCTCCTGCATCACGATTTGGGATATTAACTTGCTCATGGTTACAATGGTTTGCGTCTGTGACGTCGCGTGTTGCACTTTGTCGCACTGGAAATTAGGTATAATCTCTTTGACAAACTGTTTTAACAAGTTCATAGACAATCTCTAAAGTCGGAAAAATCATAGCTGCCTGAACACCTATACACATATACAAATTAAAATTATATTAATATTCGTAAAGATAATTGATTATAAAGCCTACCAACGCCATCTGTCCTAACGTGAATCAGAGAAAAGCCTTAAACTTACTTTGACAACTCGAATAGAGTAAATAGCGGGATGGTTGACCTCTCTGTAGAGATCCGGCGGCTTTTTGCAGCTATCGCTAAGCGGCAGGATCTGACATGACGATCGCCGCTTTATTTGATCCCACACTCTGAAAGTTAATAATTATTTTTTTAGGATACCAAGTGACGCGACGAACGTGTCGTGCGCCTGGTGTTAAGCGACACTCCTGTCCATAGCAGTTGCACTCAAGAGCTTTAAATCGCAAAGATCTGAGGGCCAGTGCCACTGCGCACAGGGTGACCCCTGAGACATAAGTTGACAAGTCCCATGTGCCTATAATTTCCTCAGCGCCCTTACCGGACCGCAGTACGTAAGTATCACGTTAATGTGTTTAGCGGCAAAAATAGGCAAGGGAGCTCTACTGCTACTAAGAGTCGTATTCTAGAACTCTATTCAATGCTCAAGTCAGGATTGCACTGGCAACACAAGCACTGGAAATACGAACCTAATGGCAGGGACTTGAGTATGATTTCGAGTGCTTTAAACCATACTCAAATCCTGACTTGAGCATTGAGTAGAGTTTTAGAATACGACCCTTAGACATTGTATAATCACACCAATTGGATGGTACAATGTGCCCATTATTACTGATATTATAGTCCATTTGTTTAGGTACTTAACTAAATATAAACAATCTTGATACATCTTTTTATTGAAACATATTTTGCAAATCAATAGGTATAAAATTAGGCAGGCCATTTCATATAAAGCTAAATATTTGCATTTTGTATTTGAAGGTAATTAAAAATCATTTTATAAATGTATATTTCATTAAATAGATATACATATCAACATTAAGTAGGGGCACACTGTTTTTGACTTAATTTAGAAAAGTTAGTTTCTTAATTGGTGTACGTAGATAAATAGGTAAACTCTGTATTCACTTCCGTGACAAGAAGATAGTGCTACTTAGTCAAATTTAGAAATCCTATGGAAATATCTAATAAGTGTAATAAATTTTGTATTATTCATTACCTCATCTGTTTAGCTTGGTCTTGTCTGATCAAGTATTCAGTATCTTCATTGAAGTCTCCCGTAGTTGCCTCACCCATGCTGCTAACCTACAAAAGATAATTTTGAAAATTCAACACGTTAATCAATAAATCAAATATATAGCACCACACCATGCCCTGTGGAAATAATCAAATAATCTCACCATACTGCTTTCACTGGAAGATCTAGCCAGTTCAGTGGATAAATGCACAGAGTCTGTGGTGAAGAGGCGGTGGAAGGCCTCGCAGGCGGCTGCCATCATGAAACGATGCACTGGGAAGCCTTTAGCGCCGCAAATTATTACCATGTCAGAGAAATACTGCAACAAATATGAATTTGGATCTAACTATTTTTTACTTTATATTTATGTACAGAGAGAGGAAAACTTGTAGGCTGTTTAAGTTTTTTATTAAGTTTATTCAATTCCAACACCCTGGTATATGACAATTAAACAGGTGCAATGTCTCATTGCTTAAAATATTGCAAGAAACTTAAGCTAACTTCAGTTCTTGAGCTAAAAATATCTGTTTGAATAAAAATTAAGACTATACTAAGCTTAAACTCACTTGTTGACGCAACAATATCGCCATGTTTTCCAAATACGTGCTGTTTGCAATCGACACTTCTGGTTCCATCGGTCTGGGAGGTCTGAAAGGAGCCTGGAAAAGTCATAAATTTTAAACAACATAAGTATCAGGATCGTGCCCTGATGAACCTTATTTGTAATGAATCACATGCATCTACATTATGCCTAAAGGAACCCATATTAGAATAATTTAAAGAGTATTCCAATCTTACTGTTAATAATTGACAACAATTAAAACACAATTACTAATACTTTACCTGCAGCAAAGGCCTCTGTACTCTTTTTAAATTTGTCATCCAGAACCTTTGTTGCCTCCTAGCAATCAAAGCAGCTCGTATAGCATTCTCAAACACTTCGTTTACGCCGTAGTAAGTGAATACTGATGTCTCATAATAGTAAATTCCGAGTTCATGAGCTAATGCACGGCCTTGATCGGGCATTACTAAGTCGCTTTTTCTTGGTGCTCTGAAAATAAGATTAGAAAGAACGTTGTTGAACCATTGGTAAAAAAGATTAGTAGCGTTGATCAATAATTACCTTACAAAGGGACTCCGATCTTTACAGAAGTTCAGATACTTTTCGTCCCTGTACATGTATCGTAGATCGTTTTTACATCCGACTAGTAAAATTGGTGTGTTTGGGCAAAATCGCCTGAAAACAAACATGCACATTATAAGGTATGCTACACACTTAGCTTATGTGAATGGATACCTTATTTACTTTACCTTATTTCTGGATACCACATAGCCCCACAGTTCCTCAATGAAATTGGGTTTGTTATGGAGAAACATAAAAGCACCACATCAGACCTACAATTGATAGGCATAACAACAGAACAACATTCATACCTTCATGTAAGTAGAAATATAACTATGAGCATATTGTCAATGCAAAGTCTTTTTTAAAATTTTGTTCATTTAGTAGCCATTATTAGTGTTAAATATCATTCCTTATTGCTGATTTTTTATTTTTTTAAGGACATCTTTATTTTCAAAATAGCCTTATAATTATTAATAGCACAGACAAGCAAAACAATATAGAAAAATGTAGTTACAAAATAAATTGTAAGAGGTTCTGGCTCCTAAACTAGACAAGTGTCTGTATCTTCTGTTCACTTAAGTAGAACCAAAATGATTCTTACCTTCCATAAGCAAACCTTCTGTCCTTCTCATGGTCACCAAATGTATCCCACAATCTGAGAGAAACATTTACTCCATCTACCACTTCCCAAGATCTTTCTAACACCTATGAGGCAAAAATTAAATTTATTTTACTACAAAATGATATACATTTATTTGTTTATGACATAAATGTAATGTATCCCCGAGAACTTCAAGAATGGTTAGTAGCTGGTGAATTTATCAGTAGCTATTATTATATATAAGATTGTTCATACCAACATACATTGTCAGCATGTCTTAGGGTATGTATGTAGGATAAAGTAGGAATTATGATAAACCCTCTTTCGGAAGATAATCACAATCTAGTGAAGCCAATAAATTCACTCTCTTTTTTTATAATATCAAGTGACGGGTTGAACAAGTTGTGTGCCTGATGGTAAGCTACACACCATCCATAACAGTTGCAGTGTCACTCAGATCTTTAAATTGCAAAGATCTGAGGGGCATTGCCACTGCACCCACCCTGAGATATAAATTGACATGTCCCATGTGCCTGTAATTTCACCAAGACCCTTAGCCTTCACAGCTGGAACACAGTAGTACTCACATTACTGCTTGGCGGCAAAAATAGGTAAGGTAGACTCTTTCACAAGGAGCTCTACTGCTACGCTATAGAATCAATAGATAGTACTATAAACTATTGTAATATTTTTTTGGTATACCACAGTACAGGTATAAGTATAAGGTAAGGTAAGGTATAACTGCCTCCGTGGCCGAACGGTTACCATGCCGGACTGCCACGCAGAGGTCCCAGGTTCGATTCCCGGGCCGGGAGAAATAGTTGTATGGCCTACAATTATTTCTCTCATGAGTTTGGGTGTAATTTGTGGTTGTCTATGTGTGTGTCCATGGCACCCGCGACCCAGGGTTTCCCTAGTGCAGGGCTATGTTGAGTGTGTGCGTTATTTATTTATTATTTATTAAGTAGTAGTCTTTAATTTATATACTCACATCTTTATATATCCGGTACTGATCTATAGCCCATACAGTAGGAACATGTGTAGTTAGCAGCTGTGATAGAGACACATGCTTGTTGCATGCACGAGCACAGATCAACCTAGTCTTGCCCACAGCAGTGTCACCCACTACGACACATTTCACCAGCTCTTGATGAGGCTGCTCGTTATCCATTGTCTGAAAAATATTCCTCATTATTAAAACTCAGTTAAAGTTTTGGTAAAATTTGGTTTCCTATCTTATTTTGTATATACAATGCTTTTATTTACTATAACAAAAAATTTTTAATGGAATTTTGCAGACACAAACGTGGAAGATATTCAGTGGATATTTTATTTAAAACTACTCAAACAAAAATACGTTTTCTTAAATCATACTAGGCGGTCCCGATAAACGCCATATAAGTGACAGTTTCTTCAATTTTTTTTATTAACCCAGTTTATTTTTTTTTATTACCACGTATTTCAGCATGGGTATGCTATTGGAGAACAGAATTAAAACAAAAATAAATTATTTTTCAACAACAATTACCGTAATTCTCCTTGTAGTAAACGGAACCGTTTATCGAAATCAAATCACACCATTTTGTTCACATAAAATTAAACAAAACAAAACAAAACACTGTCGCAAAATTTCAAAAAATTATTTGAGTAAAAATCGATTGTTTTGAATTTTCCCAAAATGTCAAATCGAACATCAAACATCTGTAGGGCTTCTCGTTTCATTATAAAATTAATATAATTCTTATTGTTAATCAAACTAAAAAATTGTTTCTATTAACTGCAATATAAAAAATTATCGTCAATTCTCTAAATCATTTACTTATAAACATAAATACATATGTGTATTTGTTTTTCTACCTTGTTATTTATTTGGCAAAAAGAAAGTAAAATTGTCATTTTATTTATAAATCGAACAATCCCCGACACAATAAACAAAATGAGGACGATTAGTGTGGGACATAGCGTGGACTCACAAAATTAAAAATCTTGGTTTATCAATGTAAAAATTTAACTAAACCATTATACTTACTTATGTATGTACTTAAAAAACAGTCTCTATTAACATTTTTGCAAGTCACTCCCACGTGTGACAATATAATAAACTAGATACTTTTATAGCATTCACCGATTCACTTTTCCAAAAAAATTATAAAAATATTTTTAAGCTTTCTGCTGCATTAAAGTAAGTACAAGCATTGAAATGTGAAGGAGAAATGACAAAGACGCTTTAGGAATATGAACAACAATGTAGGTAAAAAAATATCCCTTACGCTGTCTTCAATGAAACACTTATAATTGATTACAACACTATTTTCCACGAATCCACATTGATCATCTGTGCATTTTCGCAGCGATTGGTAGCGATGATGTTACAACAACCGTACGTTTACTTCCTACAAGTATAGCTGCATTATGTCCCGAAAGGAATTGAAAAATTATTTTAGAGCATCGAGAACTGTTACTGTGCAAACTTCATTTTGTAGCAATGCAGTGTTCTGCGCATGTTTTATGGATGAAACCGTTGCGCAGACACGCGAGCCAACTGAGCGGGGCGCTCTCATTTTAATTTTGTTATTGACAAATTTTGCCAGTCAATGAACTCGAGAAATACTGGATAGACGGTCTCCGGGACCCCTGCCTTAACTGAAGATACGTGTATCCATCGCATACAACATTATAATTATGTTTTAAATTGGGAAATACTCTTCATCCTGTTTAGGAGTTAAGGGTGCGTTCACATGAGGAACTTTATTGAAAACGCCTAGTTCGAGGTCGTTAACAGCGAGAATGTCGATTGTATGTTGAAACTAAAATAAACTTGGCTTCACAAAAGGACAATGAACGTTAAGGCGTCTATCTATGTGCGTTTATAGTCGTTTAGATGTTCTGAGCGCCTGTACATTTGCAATAAATACGAGTTGTTTTCAAGAAACAAGAGTACTTTTATGACAGGCGTTAATAAAGTATGTATTGAGGGAAGACTTTGTGCTGGAGTCTAAAATGCCTTGCTTAAAGTTTGTTAAGTTAGAACGTAATAAATCCATAAATAAAAAGGAAAGAAAAAGTTTTTTATAACCAAAAACAATTGTTTTTACTTTACATTAAAAGACCATAAAAAGGTACATACAAAAAAAATTACATCTGGTTACAAGTGTTTGTAACCAGTGTCAAAAAATCATCTTGCCATCCATTGCATTTCCTTTTATTACTATAATCGATGCACCCTAGGTGTAATCACATAACTGCGGAAAATTTCAATTTCAATAATAATTTCAAGATAGCGTAACAATGTTACAAACCTGAAAATTGCCCTGATCTTGAAATCTTAAGAGTTTTATTTACAAAGTTATCTATAGTATTTCAATAGCTTTTAAACTCATTTACATACGTGTTTATACGTCTATTATTAGACTTGCAAACAAAAATGTTAAAAGGGAATCATAATATGCTTAGTTTTAAAAAATCATAACCACTTATTTTACAATTTTAGATAGGAACGAAAAACAATCTGTCTTTAATCAATGGGACCTACAGAGCTAACATCCTACACTAGTAGGTATCTTATTCAAGTACCTATCTTGAACGTTTCCGAGTTTATATCATAGTTATAGTTAATTAAAGCATATAAATCTTAAACACAGGATTCGTACAGTATATCGTAACGTGGTATCAGATAACGTAAATCGTTGAGGTGGCTGAAGAAGTATTTATACGGCCAAACAGGAACTTAACTGTCTCTATTAATTAACGAGCTAGAGAAGCCCTAAGAAGTACCTATCATTTCGGTATCACGTGAATACCACTTACATTTTTGTGGCGGAAGTGATAATTTAATTTATTGTTCCGACCATTTCGAAGGAGGCTGATTAATTCTCCCAAGCTAAACTTTGTTTTCTGAGTATCCTTTGTACTACATATACTATAAACAACAATAAACATAAACTGCCTTCATGGCCGAACGGTTACCATGCCGGACTGCCACGCAAAGGTCCCATGTTCGATTCTCGGGCCGGGAGAAATATTTGTATGTTCTACATTTATTTCTCTCGTGAGTTTGAGTGTAATTTGTGGTTGTCTGTGTATGTCCATGGCACCCGCGACACAGGGTTTCCCTAGTGCGGGGCTATCTTGAGTCTGTGCGTTATTATTATTATTATATACATGTTATTGGTCAAATGGCAAAATTTTATTGAAGTTCTATCTGTTAAGTATGTAATCATATGATTATTATTATTTCATGATTTTGTTGTGTGTGTGTTTCTATATGCCTGAAATAAATGTATATTTAATTTTTTATTGAATTGAAATTAAATTATTTTTTATGTGAAATTATTCCACTAGTTTGTTTTAATTATTAATACAAAGATCGAAGGAATGTTTTGTAAGTGTTCGATCGTTGTGTTAATATAAAAGTCGATTATTATAATACGTGATTTTACTACTATAGGAAGCCGTTTGTTAGGGTGTGTACCTCCTGTTTTGCAGCTGACGTATAAACAGGGTTTGTTGTATAAATGAGTAATGTTTAGGAATATACCTATTTTGTTGCTAGCTTAGTATATAAGCAACGACACGTGGTGGATACTTACTTATACATAGTTTAGAATGTAGTGTAATTACGTTTATATATAAATATATACTAAAATTTGCGGAAGACCTCTAAAAATAATAGATTAGGTTATAGAGAGTACGAAAATTGCAAAGGTGTATAAGGGTGAATATCTCATGCGTAAATTTTGCGAGTCCAGGCTGAGAAACCAGGAGTAAAGTGAAATAATATTAATGATTTATTTTTTATAGGTTAATTAGACGTAAAATGCGTTTAGGGCAAGAATTTCAGAAAATTCATTGTACAATAATAATTAATAAAAAATATTAATGTCCCGATTTTCAATTTTGCTGGTGTGTCCACTTTCTGTTTCATTGTATAAAATAGTCGTTCTGGTAAAATGTGTCCGCTTTTAAGAAAAACAATTCCATGTATGTTATTCACTATTAGAAGCACTAACTAAAATCATTGAAAGTATTGCAATTAACAGTATGTGGGAGACTGGGTACTTGATCAAACTTTGTCCACGCGAAAATTGTAGTTTTGGTGGCAAATATTCAACTGGTGCAACTGGTAAGTAGTTTAACTAAAAACCATTACGTTCTTGCCCCGCGCAAGCCTCAGTTGTGTATTAGGAGCTGGCGGCGAAAAACATGGGCACTGTGTTCCATTTCCCGCCAAAAAATTAATTATATAGTTATATACCCTTTGGTGGCACGTGGGACAAAAAATATTCCGCTTTCCTGCCTCCATCCAATTTTTGTTTTATCCTAAGGTCGTATTCCGAAACGAAATTAAGAGACTAATTTTGTCATTATTTTATCACAATTTAATCGTCTCGGTTTGATTTTTAAGCTTTTACTTTTTTTTCTCGTAATTTATTTTTTGAGATTTCATCTTACGTGACTCAAATTTGGTGGTTTTGGTGGCGTTTGTGTTACCACCTAACTTAAAAACGCCACCAAATTTTAAATTGCTATGATGTTTTTGAATATAACTTTTGTTACTGACGATCATAGTTATCCCTTGACATTGTATTTCCAATTGTAATATTGTGACATTGATAACATGAAATAAACGATTCTATTCTATTCTATTCTAACGTTCACTTCCGAAAATTGTTTTAAAGTATTGTGGTTTATTTGTCCCAATAAACTTAAGAAAGATAGTGTTTTTCATAATTTTTCAGATAACCAAAAATTACTTAAGTGCTTTTTGATCTATTTGTACCTTAGCGATCTTTTAAATTTGTAGTTTACTTAAATTAACGGTGATATCATTGATTAAATGATTTTATTGAGAACGTCAAACACGAAAATTTAGTTGATTGTTGTTTTCATTGGCAGTTGAATAACTACGATACACTACGCTATCTCCAGATATGTTTTCTGAAGATAAATTGTAGAAACTCAAATGTTTACCATTACGACATGCTATGAGTTTATCGAGACATTGAGACACAGAATGCTAATTTAGAGTTGTTACTTTTTTCCAAATAACTTGAAGAAATAACACTTGGTACAATTATAACTAACTAGTGGAGTAATTTCACAAAAAATAATTGAATATCATAGTGGTGAAACATCGTGACATTCAATAAAATTTATTTACAACTTGAAGAAAATCCATATTACCAGGATCAGGCCAGTCTTTTTCTACAATTTCGTAATTTTCTACAGGTTTAATTTTAATATTAGGGGTTAAAGTACGAAATTGCCGTTTTATTGCAATAGGTTCTTTGAATTTTCATAGAATCTTCATGGTTTGAGGTTTTCGAATGAAACTTTTTTCAAATGGTTTCTGTGATTTTTTTTTTTTAATTTGAAACATTTGAATATCGACTTTCAATTGTTTTTGTTATTCAATTTAGACAAGAAAGATGGATACTGCGAAAATTCGAGTGATTTTTGAATACGAGTTCCGACGCGGAACTAACGCGGCAGAAACAGCCCGCAATATCAATGCTGCGTTTGGAGAGGGGTCTACTAATGAACGCACCGTGCGATTTTGGTTTAAACGCTTTCGTGATGGAAATTTCGACTTAAAGAACGAGCCACGAGGAAGACCGCCCACACAGGTGAATAACGATGAATTAAGAGAGATAGTGGAAGCCGATCCTAGTCAAACTACCCAGGAATTAGCGGCATGGTTTAACGTTACCTTACCCACAATATTGACTCACTTGCGTCAAATCAATAAAATAAAAAAATACGAAAAATGGGTGCCTCATGATTTGACTGATCTGCAGAAAGAAACGCGTGTTGAAACTTGTGTTGCCTTGTTGAACCGGTACAGAAATGAAGGAATATTGGATCGAATTGTAACATGTGATGAAAAGTGGATTCTTTATGATAACCGGAAAAGAAAAATGCAATGGCTGACCCCAGGTCAAATACCACAACAGTGTCCTAAAGCAAAACTTACCAATAAAAAGGTAATGGTAACTGTTTGGTGGTCTCAGCATGGTGTTATTCACTATAGTTTTCTCCGATCTGGTCAAGCAATAACGGCAGATGTCTATTGTGCCGAACTCCGAACCATGTTGACAAAACTAGCAGTAAAACAGCCCCGACTCATGAATCGATCTTCACCATTATTGCTCCACGGCAACGCGAGACCTCACACAGCACGAGAAACCATTTTGACCCTTCAGGAACTGCAGTTAGAAACCATTCGTCATCCTCCGTATTCACCAGACCTTGCTCCAACGGACTACCATTTTTTTCGTGATTTGGACAATTATCTACGTGACAAGAAGTTTTCTTCCCAGGAGGCAGTACAAAATGCTTTCACACAGTTTGTGCAGTCTAGATCGTCGGAGTTCTATCGCAAAGGCATTAATAACCTTCCCATTAGATGGCAGCAATGTATAGATAATAATGGCAACTATTTTGATTAAATAAATTTGTTAAAAATTTAAAAAATAAACAATTTAGATTTTCAGTACAAATCGGCAATTTCATACTTTAACCCCTATTATTATCAATGGTAGGTTTCAATGCCAGATAAACGAATCAATATCAGTAATGTTGTTCCCAAGTGACACTAAGATCTGCAGTTCTATTTAATAATCCTTTAACTCCTGGGCACCCTTGCCATGGCCACACACGCATTAATCGCGGGTGCCCCAGGTGGAGTGATGATCGACCATATCCACACGGTCAATCAGATGATGGGGAAATGTCTCGAATTTAACCGGCCCTTTTTTTTTTTTTTTTTATTATACGTGACAGGCAAATGACTCCACTCCACCTGATGTTAAGTGGAGATGGCGTGTATCATAGTTGTTCAGCTGCCAATTAAAGCAACAATGAACTCATTCCCTAAAATCCAGGGAAGTACTGCCACCATACCTTTTTCTGCTGCCAAGCAGTAATGTTAGCGTAGTTAGGTTTGGAAGAGTAAGGGTGCTGGTGAAGTTACAGGCACATGGGACTTGCCAACTTACGTCTCAGGGTGACGGGCGCAGTGGCAGTGCTCCTCAGATCTTTGCTTATTTAAAGCTCTGAGTGGCACTGCCACTGTTATGGACAGCTTACCATCAGGCGCATGACTCGTTCGTCTCGTCATATGATATTAAAAAGAAAAAGCAGAAGAAAATTCCAACTGTGTGTTATTTTAAAGGGGCAAACAAATTTTTATCACAATAAAATTTAAAGAAACAATTAAATTTACTTAATTGTCTTTGTTTAATATATATGCCAACTTTGGTGGCAATATTAAATTCTGGTGCAACAGATAAGCGTTTTGGTGGCGTTTGTAAGTATTGGTGGCGAGAAAAATTTTTAATTGCTTATATTTCTGAAATTACCATTAATTTCAGAAATATAAGCAATTAAAAATTGGTTATGTCCCGGTCACGCATATATAAATGAAATGTTTCATTTTATTGCAAACGAGTCTCGGAAACTGAAAATCAAAAAAAATTGCGCCACCAAAATTTACACTAAAATGCATTTGTTGATTCACTTATAATTGTAAGTCAATGTATTCACCCATAAACGACACGACATACTGTTCCTAATTGGCAGAAATGCGGTTTTATTCGTAGGGTACCAAAACATATCATGACAGGGAGCTTCATTTGATGTTATTCATTATTTGAAAAACTCTGACAGATGACAAAAAAACGAAGTGTGGATTTGTCATTCGAGATAGATTCCAAGAAAGAATGAAGTAACGAAATTGTTTTTCAAAAGGAAATAAATGTTCGATTCAGAAGATGAATTATGTCGAATGTAACATCAGTTCGCATACGAAGATTCACAAACTAAATTTAGTTTGAGCTATGGCTTTCCTCGCCTTACTATGGAAAGCTCGAACAATAGAACAATGTCGATTGAAATATGAGAAAGAGAAGCTGAACTCTATTCAAATTACTAATACATTAAATCCAAAAAAATCTTTATACGAAAGATGGAAACTTGTGAATTTCCAAACAAAACAACGGCTAACGCATGTGTTTGGCAAAATGTATCCAGAAGGATCGACTATGCATAACTACTTTTACTATCTGAATACAGATTTGACATTTCCAAATTTTGTTCTGAAAAGTGTGATTGGATTCGTGGGAGGGATTATACTGACTTACCTTTGCTTCTTGTTTTTTGTCTTCCAACTGTCAATATCTTTGATACATGCTACTTTTATGAGCTCTATCATCGGTGTTTTACTAACTTTGGGATTAGCTTTCAGTTATAGGATAAGGTAATTTGTAGACTTTCATACTTTTATTAATGATTGTACAAATTCCACTACTAGTTCAAGAACTTTGATTTTACCTTATTGTGTATACCTATGCCTTATTGTATTGTTTTCACTATGATTGTGTAAATCAATTAAAGCACAAACTCTCGGAAACTTTTCAAAATCTTGCCGATAAGAATGTTCCTCAAAGGACCAGTTCAAAGGACCATAAATGAGTGCATCGTTTAATGGGCACTCTATAGTATACAAGTACTTGTACATTTATTTTCAGATGTCTAGTCATGCTTCTAATACCCCAATGCTTCTCCCGTGTTGGGCGATACACCATCACTTGCTACGCCCTGGTTCTTATTCTAACTGGCCCTGCGACCAACACCTTGAAGAACTCTGAAGTTTTGTCAGAATCTATGGCTTGTGGACAGGTAAGGCTTATTGACAACGATGTGTTTATTTGTGTGGAACTTCTTGTAAATGTGTTCCTATTGATATGTTGGCTATGGACTGTAAGACTGTTTGTACTGTAATTTATGCCTATACGCCCCCATCCTGGGCACGAATCTCTTCTATGAAGAGAGTTGAGGCCATGTATCACGCTGTCACAATGTGGATTGGAGACTTCATTTTGTATCCCATTAGTAGAATCTTCACTGCCCTGCAAGATCGTAGAAAAGCCAAACTAGCTCCTAATTGATGCAATAATAACGTGACCATTATTTTTTCCACTAGCAGCGGGAAACCTGTAAAGTTATTATTGTTTTAAATAAAAACACATTTTAATGAGTGAGTTACGTAATGTTTATTGATAAAAAAAACTAATCTTGTCTAGTCTTGTGGGCTAGCTTTGTATATTTTTCGGATGAGCAATAATTGCTTTGAGGTGCGGACGACAAGGCTTTTTTGCTGTTACGTTTTCGCGCCATTTTTTAAATTTATTATCCCGTGTGTCCTGTTTTGTCAAAACGGGACATTTTTAAGTATTTTGGGGACACCAAGCTTAAAACCGGGACTGTCCCGCTCAAAGCGTACGGACGTATGGTCACGTTATGTAATAATAACTTCATTAATAATAACAATCAGTTCTACTTCTCTAGTGTCCAGTTTTTGAAATCGGGACAGTAGAATCTACATAATTGCCAACCTAAAAATAGTACCTGCACGTAAATATACTATGTATCACTTGCCATAACACCTCTGACAAATATTTATACGTTTTTGGTTGGGTAAACCTTTAAACAGGCAAACAACTCGTAAAGCTTCTATTGATCTTCTTCGAGGCATTAAACTTTTGGTCTATTCGCTAATGTAATGTATAGTGTAGATATACTTATGCTGAATCTAGAAGACAAGCCAATCTCAATTGGTGGAAATAGTTCAAGATATATTTGTTTTTATTGTCTCGTATTTTATTTCAGGAACAAATAAAAACAACATTGAATCTGTTAAACAAATTTGAAGAGAGACCTCTCGATTCTATTAAAGACAATCTGAATAAACTCATTGACATGTTGACAGATTTAACTAACAAGACTAAAAATGTTCTTGTTAGGGTGCAACGATTAGTGATGACTTTAGGTGAGCAATGTAATGATATATTTTCCTACAGGACACCAGAAGTGGTACAGACCAGATAATTTACATAAAGTGGCTTAAAAAGAAAAATACAACAGCAAGGATGAACCTACTACCTACCCAATAATTAGCTTCAGATAGTGCCTTTCAAAAATATAACCAAAAGCAACTGACTCAAGTAATGGTTTAACCATTTTTCTTGTCGGACTCTCTTGATAGAGTTATCGTAGTCTTAGAGGGGCCTATTCAACGTGTTTTTAGGATTAACTCCAGTTCTATTTCTAACATTATAGACAAACTATCATTCTGGTTGACAATATGATCTGACCTAGTTAGGTATGTGCTATACAAACTTCATAAAAAAAAAATACTACACTGATACGGAATTACTTTTCAAATTTCATATATTTTATCATTTATCGCAGCTCATAGTCTCCAATCCGGTGCTGCCTGGTTAGAGTCAGTACGAAGAACTTGCGACCATAGAGTTGGAGATTCTCATAAAGTTTGCATCAATGCCCTGAAATTCTCAGTTCTGGATTGTAATGCCAATTTAGGGCCTAGATTCAATTGGCTGTGTAATTTAGATTATGTGGCTGAAGCAGCCTGCTCGTCAGCTAAAAAGGGCAATCATTTCTGCGTGCCTCTGTATTTTGTGGACAACAATATCTTAGCCACTGTAACAGAAAGTAAGTGCTTTCAATTATCTGAGCATACCGTAGAATGAATAAAAAATGAACGACTCTTTACAAGTTTATGGTTAAGTGAGAATATCAAATAATATAATTGGAAGGATATAGGATACCGGCTATTGTAAAATAGGCCATAATGAAAACGCTGATGGCGACACGGCGAATGGCGTCATCATAAGTGAAGGAGACTTGCAAAGACCAACGACTATAAATTGTGAATTCAAATGAAAAAAGGGAATAACCAAAATATAAAGTGGGGTCGGTAGCTTGTAAAACCTGACGCGCACAACCGTGAACGAATGTTTTTACCCCAATTTAAAAACAAACAACCGCAACCAATTATAATTAATTTTCAAAAATGTTACATCCAAAACATTACCTCCTAAGTAGGAGTAACATACAGTTGTACCATAAATAATACTGCACACAAAAATGTTCGTACTTTTCTTGCCGTAGTGTTTATAAATGTATTGAGTCAATATAAAATGTGCAATGTATGTACATCATTGAATTTTGTCAGTACATTGTTGATATTCTCTTCGGTAGAGCAGTACACCGGAACTACAGAGATAGCACCTGAGAAAGCTTGCAGTTGGTTTTTGAAATCCCTTTTATTTATTTTATTTAATTTTAAACCCTGTTACTGTCCACGAACGGGTTACAATGATATCGCACTAAGTTGGGTGTTACTTATTTAGGTTACAAGTAGAGATGGCAAAAACTGCTTATTTTTATAAACGTTTAAGCGTTGTAGCTTTTTTTAAAAAGCGTGCTTTTTAGAGGCTTTTCACCTATACGTTTTTTAGTTTGAAGCTTAAAAAATGTTTAGAAAAACATTTAAGCGCATAGATATTTATGTTAATAACAAACAGTACAGAATACTAAAAAAACCAACCTCAAAAGTCATTCATCCCCTAATTTGCCACCCTTAGCGGTGGAATATTTTCTTCAAATTTAAATGGGACCACTTCTGAGGTACCCTCTTTCCAACAAAAAAGAATCATCAAAATCGGTCATAAATGTTATACTATACCGGATATACTATACCTACCTAAAAATATAAATATTATACCGGGGTTATCGCGTAACATACATACAAAAAAACAGTCGAATTGAGAACCTCCTCCTTTTATTGAAGTCAGTTAAAAATAGCTTGCAACGTTGTGTTGATGGAGAAAACCAAAAGTAGACCACTGAAGGTGTAAGTTTATTTGTAAAACACGCGTTTTATTTTTATTTATAAAATTAATATTCACATTGACGAAGTAATTTGTTTAGGAAACATAAATGGCGGGACTTAATACTTAGGCACGTTGTAAAAAATAAAATTGTTGACTAAAGACCTCATAAAACCAAACTTTTTAAGTGCTTTTCGTTTAAATTCTCACCTCTAGTTCCAAGTACAACTGCACCGATGTGGCAGGTTAGGTTAATACCAGGGTTCCATCACTCGCTCAAGGTTACACGATATGTGACTACCGCTGAGTGCGCCGACGTCGGCGCAAGCGCTCATACACGTCTTTCATTTATGAGCATACGGCTCCGCACGAACTGCACACGGCGGGCAACCTTATTTTCACCTCTCTAAGCGCGTGCTAAGGTTCCTTTTTCCTCGTAGTCAGCACATGGTGTCGGTAGTCAGATTTAGTAGGCTGTTATAGCGTCGGTATTTTCGATTTTGTATAAGAGTGATGTATCCTTTACATAGTAACTATTAAGTAATTTTTTATGTACCGCCAAAATAGTGTTTATCTTAGTCTATAATTGTGTAGGAATTTATTTCGTTGTTTGAGAGTCCACAAACAAATCCTGAACGTCACGTCCGTGAATTAATTAATATTATAATATTTCAGAACTGAAATTATTTACCGAACGCGTTAAGTCTTTGCTGAACCTGCAGGTCAAAGTCCACCGTTCCTATACATTTAGCAGCAACGCCAGCAAATCTGCAAGTCAAGTAGCTGCGGGAATTGTTACTGAGATCAGGAACAGAGCTGATCCGTTACTGACTTGGTTATCTTGGAGTCCTTGTGTCACTAGTTTATTCTTGCTGCTTATAATCTTCCGGTAAATACATTCTTTATTCTTGTTATGAAAGACATTTTTTGTATCACTGTTTGATACTTGCAAGGGACCTTAACAGGTTCTCTCTGAGGATATTAATATACCCAGACACTTGAAAATGACAAAATTATATAATTTTGACATTTTTAAAAATAAAAAGCTACCTTACTATTAGTTCTACAGAATTTAAGACTTTTTAGAGCTAAAGAATACCAGAACATGTTCGAAACAAGATCTCGATTTGATAATCGCTATATGACAAAGGAATTAAGAGCTATAGACTTGAAACGTCAAAAGCAAGGCAGAGATACGGTGCTGCCTTTGAACAGAAGGGAAAAAGTCAAGTACATTCACGTAAGTGGACTAATAACAATGAACCTTACCTTCGTTTTTGTTTGAAGTATTTTGTATTAGGAATAAGGAGCAGGAACATTCGATATCCTAAGATACCTGACACCCCAGTCGGTCTTTCCGTTTTGGAAGCCTTCTTACGCATTCAACAGAAAAGTGTAAAGATATTCCATATTTTTGGTTGAAATTTGTAATTATGTAATGTAATTTAAAAATGTCAAAGATTAAATTAGCTTAAAAAGTTTCTTACAACGACATTCACTAACGATACAATAAGGAAGACCAAAATGAATTTTACGGCTTATAGGTTAAAGGATAATTAAGTTTGTTGAACCCGAAAGGTGTTCACACTGATCTATTAACCAAATAGGGGGTCTGGAATTTTAGGGCACCCAGTGTACCTATAAAACTGCATGTTTTCTGATCATTACGTTTTTGATACCTACACACAGACAACATCGTTTCGCCTGGTCTCATCAGAAAAATTCAATTTGTCTCGCTCAGTAGTATTCATGACTTTAACAACTTTCAAATTGATGATCCACATGGTCGCCGATTATAGTCTTTATTGGGTTTTGATGACTATTCGATACCATGGAAGGTTCCAGTCGCCTATAAACCGTAAGAAATTTATTTAGGTAAATCTCTTTACCAAAATTTTCATCTTCAAGTTTGTATTGATGATTTTACTTCTGTTTAAGCGGGAAATCCACAACCGAGTTTGAGAATCAGTAATTTAGGGCTCGTTTCTAAAATCTACATTGCAATATTAGACGCTCTGCGTGCACCCATAATTTTTGCCTCTGCGTCTCCTGTAACTTGTCTACCTGATCCGTCGCCACCTGATTTCAAGAGATATTCACAAATTGGTAAGGTCTCTTACACAACCCTAAGGCTATTTTTTTATATAGTACAATGAGATGTTTTATAATCCAATTATATAATCAAATTAGCAAAGAACGCACATGACCATTTGCAGATTCAGGTTTCTCAAAAACTTCAATGCCATCAATGACTTGGTAGTGGGATCTAATTAAACAGTGTTTGATTAGTTTTTCATATCTTGTGAGGCTGCATTTAAAATCGAGAATCATTTTTAAGAGCACTGAGTTGTGTATTATAATTTCAATTTCTCAGGTATCTTAATCGTTATGCTTTGGTTCTTCTCCCTTTTCGAACCATATGGACTGCGATTGCGGCATTTGATAATGGGCCTTTATAGACCAGAAAGAGCTAAGACGCGCGCTGTATGGTTATACAACCATATTCTAAGAGCAAGAGGTTGTATCTTTCACTGTTACTGAATGTCCTATTATTATTATATTACATATATTTCATACAATTATGGACCCTAATAAATTTGTGTCTTACATTTTATTTAGGGACTAATTTGGTAAATAAAACACTGAAGTTTGTTGCTTTGGTCCTTGTCAGTAAAAATATATTTTGCTAACAACCGAATCTTTGAGGGAATCATATATCCCCGCTACGTTCTTCAGGATGGAGTTAGTGCTACCCCACAATCTACAGGGCCGTCTTTTTGCGCATGATAGCGTAATAGTTATCAGTACGCACCTGCGCAAACATTCCACCATATCCTGAAGCCGTTATTGTATTAAATACGAAAGGCGCTAACGGCCTTCAGCGTGAAATTACACCATAGATTACACGTGTAGTGTACTTGGCAATAGGCTTGAAATCTGAGTCTCTAAAGAATAAATTAAGCCATTTGCGCCATGTGTAATTTTGTATTCATATTCTTTTAGGGTGCTTTATGAAATGTGCCCGGCGATTATTGCATCGGGAATACAAATATCACACTGAAGAAAGACATACGTTCCAACGGTGGTTGGACAGGCATCTCCCGTAAGTTTATGGTTAACTAACTACAACTCGACTAAGTGCAAGTTTGGAAGGCACTTCGTTAACTTCGGTAACTTTTGAAATGTCTTAGAGATAATGGACGGTAAGATTCGAAACCCGCTTCTGAATCATGGATTGTAACTTGGATGTCCTCAATTTTTCGACAAGGATTATTCAATTTTAATTGCTTGAGGTTGAAGCGCATGATTAGTCATTGTTGCTACAAAATCGTTGCTTTCAAACGAAAATATTGCTGCAGACAGCCATTTCATACAATTGATATTTTGAATTGACATGTGACAAGTTAACATTGTCAGGTGAAAATTGTTACATTTTTCCATCGAGTATATAACCAGAAATAGAAACAAAATAACGGCCATCCATATCTGGCATTCCATCAGATAAATGGTCCTTATATCACTTTTAAATATTAACTCACGTTTGCGCTGAAATCAAAATTAGAAAGCTGAAGTACTAAAGCGCCAACAACTGACCTGTGTGTAGGTACGTCTCCGTATATTTTTTCATAAATATTCTGTATTTATTGTAATAAAGATGGGGGGCAACATCTACTTACAAAATAAACGGAACCACATGACATCGGTAATTAAATATGTAATTTTTCAATTTTCGTCCGTTATAGCAAAGCTCAAGTTAAACTGGTCGATTGGAAATGAAACAATTGACGACACAGTAATTATATTTATGGTAATTAGATATTAAATATGTAATTTTGAAATTTCCGTCCGTTATAGCAAAGCTCAAGTTAAACTGGTCGATTGGAAGTGAAACAATTGACGACACCCGTCAATTGTTTCGAATTCGGGCTGGCCAATCGGAGCGCAGTAGTCACCGTAATGATATAGCAGAATAGTTTTTAAGCAAATTAAATGACATTTCGTCTCTATTTCGAGTTAAAAAAATGGCGGGCTTTTGAAGTTACGAGTACAGTTTTTACAAAGATTAATTTTGTTTTAAGTATATTATGAAGAAAATACGAGGAAAGAAATAGTGATTAAGAAAGTTACAACTGTATTCCTTATTTTAAACCAAATCACAAAAGAGTTTATCCTGAAAATTCCAATAATCACGAATTCAAAGTTTTTGTTCAAAGATGGTTCAAAGTCATAGAAGATGCTGAGATTTAAGTGAAAGTGAAAACATAAATATTGACTCCCGCCGCTTAAGACTACTTAAAAAACCCAAATAAGTGAACCGACATGTGTACAGACATGTCCTGAAGTGAACTAAGTTATTTAAGAGAAAGTGAAAACATAATGTATTAGAATCGCAATGGAAAATATTAATGAGGATCTCGATAATTAAACGAAGACATGGCTCAAAAGACTTGTATACAAGCCAAAACTCTTAAAAAAATATTTCTGGTTAAATACTCGACGGCTGTAGCCGACACGGTAATCTTTGCAAAATTCATATTCAAATTTATTGCATTGCCATTGTTGTCTTAGATCTGTTTACATGATTTTGCGCTTTATACACGTACCTATAATAGCACCCCTTGGGGCACTGCAACTGAAAATGTAGATTATTAGAATCTGTTGACAGTTATGACAGGCGTTGTGCCTTGTAAACATTCTTGTAAACCATTATTTTCTGGTATTAGTCACCATTGCTCTGTCAATAACGACAGTACAGTAAAAAAACCAAACCTGAGAAGAGTAAAATTAATTTCTCAGATTCTGGTGGCTTCGAATGTTACTTGGTACGTCGCCAAAAATAATGCGTTGCTTACTTTGCGGTACCACAGAACTTCATGGCGATCCCGATACAAAACTTATTAGGTGAGATTTATTATATATATTACAAAACAGAAAATAATATGGGTAGGGATATTTAATTCTTCTACTTTTTTTATTACAAACACTGAGTACGCTGAACTACTGGGAATACTAAACTAAACTATTTCTGTCTTTCTGATAACGCACTAAGGCTCAATTTACATTGCCACGTAATGGAATGGAAGTGATTTTTTGTAAAAAAAGTAGTACCTAGCATAATGAACTTTACGTCAAGTATGTAACTACGAGCCCATAAATCATATTGCAATTCCGGAGAATTCTCACACAGTTTCGGGAACTCCTGCAGCTGCCGTATCGTATTTAGTTTGTATATTACACAATTGACATTAAGTTCGTTATACTGTATACAATATTGTTATAAAAGTTTACTTCCATTCCGTTCCGCAGTAATGTGAATTGAGCCTAAAGCACGAGACACAACGATACGAATTGTATTAAAATTATACTTTGTACCTAGATGTCAAATACCGCAGTGCCCAGGCATATATTGTAGGCACTGCTTTTTCGACATCGGCGAACTGTGCACCATTTGTCTGTCTCCCTCTGATTATGGTGACATGAGTGACGTTAGTATTGAAAAGTAAGTAACACTGCATCACACAAAATCAACATCTTTTAAGGAAATTCTTTGTACAGAACTGGAGGCCATCCGAAAAATTAAGACAATTTAATTAACCAATTCCAGTAATTTGCACCCTTGGTGTAACAAGCCGCAACTGCAAAATTTCAACCTTTCAGGAGAGAGGTTCGAAGATTCTACGAATTAAATTAGTCCATAACTTTTTATACTCAAGTAGGAGAGTTATAAAATTTCACATATACGTAATTTGTTTCATATACTTCTTATTATGACTTTCTACTTAAAAGCACTTTTGACGTATAATCACATGTGACTTTATTGTACCAAGGGTACTAATTTCTGGCTATTACATTTTTTCTTTTCTTTTATTTTCTTTACAACACTAGCATTGTTAAAATCGTCGCCTTACTTCTTCAAACCTGTACTGTATCTTAAAGCACAAAGTTACTGAAATGCAAATATGGATTGTACATACAAATTTTGCAGGCTGGTTTCACATCACATATCCTTCATATTCACACACTGGCTTTTATTTATTCTTAAAGTAATGCATCCAAATTAACGCCCTTCATAAAAAAATTAAAATAATAGAAAGTTTTGCCATCCACTCTTTATAAGGTACGAGTTAGAGAAAGTAAGGCGGAATGTTATTGCGAATTCGTTACGTCACTATGATGCATTGTCAAAAAAAATTACAGAGGTTCCTCAGACGACGACAGTGACAGCGATGACTGTGATTTCGAACCCCAAAGAAAAAGAACGCTGAATAACGATGAGGTCATTTCTTATACACGTACTAGTAGTTATCTTGTACATTAACTGTGCTTTGGCAACATCACCTGAAACGTCTAATTCATATTATATCTTGCGCTCGCACATATTCTTCCCAATCATTAACCTAGCAACAAATGGACGGTCCGAACCAAAAGGGCCATTCAATCCCAAAAAGAGCATCAATCGCGCATCAGTCTTCGATTGGTCGACCATCAATGCGTGTGTCAATCATACTACGGTATGATAAAAACTTGTAAAAACGTAAACTGAAAAAACAGGATAGTGTATCATATTTTCATTACGTAGTATATTATGTAATCCTAGTTATCGTTCAAAAGTGTTATTTCGTACATTAGTACAGTATTTTATTTATATTTAAATTAATCGTAAATAGAAATTACTGAAGCAATAAAAGTAGTCACATAATAGTTAACTGTCTTTTCCTATACATTGCATGCACAAAAGACAGAAAGAGACCCAGTATGTTATTGTTTATATAGGTTAATTCCGGACACTTTTTGTCGTCCATTTGTTGGTATGTCAAAGTTCCCAATGTTAGGGTTTTTAGGTATTCGCGGTTACTACACATTGGATATGAAACTATTTTTTCCGGATAAATGCCGAGTATTTGTTTTTTCCAACAAAGCAACAGGTTTTTACACTACAGCCAGTCAGCCACGACAACGGGACTTGAAAGAGTGCGAAACGTTAGTTTGTTAGAAAAAAAACAAATATACGCGATTTAGATCCGGAAAAACTAGTTTCATTTAATCATAATTTTGCTTTTGACTTACATTTTTTGTTTTAAGTAGTTTACAACGGAAACTAATGAAAAACAGTCATCTTACGATAAACGATCTAAGAAAAGATGGTGGGCCTGGCCTTTGGAGCAAGAGACACGATTTACTAACCAGTTTGAAGAAATATCCTCATTTGATACGTTTAAAGATGAAACTATATGTGACAATGGAGTTTGTAATGAATTTGGGGATATATGGAATAAAGCTTTGAAAGTACGACGTAAAATATACGAACAGGACATTAAACAAAGAGAAACAATAAATTGTATACAAGTAAAACGCATTGACAATATGATGCAGTCATTGAAACCTGAAAGTATTGATATAGCTAACAAATCTATAGACAACAAAACCAAAAAATTCTCAACATTATCTAAAAGAATACAAAGGGATAGACAACACTGTAATGATGGAGATTTTCAAAATCATATAAAAAATGATGATAAAGAGAATAAAATCGCAACACTGTATGCGTCATTGAAAAGGTTTTTGAAAAATTTCGAAGCTCATTTATATAAAGAATGTTCTCTGGATGGTTACACCAAACAAAGTGAAACTACAAATTCTCTATTCCCATTCAAATATACTTTCTTCAATTTTAGAAAGCGAAGAAAAAAAGAGATGTCTGCCAACAACCTCGAAAACAAAAAGGCAACTAATTTTACATTAGATTCTCCAGAAATAAATATTGAAAGAAAAATAAATTGTATAGATATATGCAATAGTGAATTTGGCACACACAAAAGGCTGTCTGAAGGTTTTTATAACGGAAGTTGTTATACAAATAAAGCTATTGTGAATTGGAATAAATTGGAAGATGAATATAACCGAAAAGATAAAACGAGTGTAAAGTATTACGGTCACAGAAATACTGATCTAACTTATAACATAACATACTATACTGGTTTGACTGTCGATCGACATGAGAACAACAAGCATATACATGAAAATAAAGATTGCAATCAACAAAATTGTAATAAATCTATTTTCAACACATCTTTATGCTACTTATTTCATACTTTTATACATTACTTTGGATCCAGAAATAAAATTGCATCTAATTCTAATGGTAGAAACCAAAATTACATGATTATGAATTTGGAACAATCTGGTTGTAAACCTGATTACAATATGAAACCTATCATAGCAAGTGACATAAGTGCTAACCTAGCAAACTCGCATCTCAAAGAAATGGAAAATTCCAGAAAATATAGACTGGCAACATATCTCGCAGAATACGACTGGAAAGAGAACCATATTGAGTGCAGAAATTGTTTAAGAACTGGTTTGCAGGGGCTATTATCTATTTCGGAGTGTGAAATCTCTATTCCATGCGTCGTACGTTTTATATACATTTAACTAGCTTTATATAATTAATTCGGCCTTTACGGCAGATAGACAGATATTTAATACATAGTTTGCATAACGACTTAGACTATGATTTTTGCGCGTCTTCTCGTTGTGCGTCTCACCAAAAGTGTCCAATGAAATTCCGCTTTATTTGCTTGTTTTGTTTGCTGTCGACGATTAAATTGTTTTCGTGCAGCGAGGCGTAGTACGGACGACACATCTCTCTTTGGACATCTGATATTAAAATCTATTTAATAACTTACGTGGTATTGCACCCTTGTATTGGTGTAATGAGGCCACATCTGCAAAATGACAACTTTTCAAGATAGAGACTAAAGAGTCTACTGAGGAAATTAGTCGATAACTTTTTAATGCTTTTAATAGGAACGTTATAAAATTTCACATAAACATATGCAGTTCGTGCTATTTTAACATTATTTTAATGACTTTAATGCGATAAAGGCACTTTTGACGTATGATGACATGTGGTTTTATATACCAAACAAGGGTAACGTTATGATGATCCAAAAATTAAAAATCATCTTTCCTATTAACTGTATTCAATACTTTTCATTAAATGCATTGTATAAATGACTAATCATTGCATTATTCGCGTACAGAAATAAATAAATTTTTATTGTATTACCTATCTTAATCAATTTTTATTGTATTACTATATGTTAACGAGAATGAAAATTCATTATAATGGATATGTTAGATTTGAAATAATATTTACAATTTGTAATTCTATTTGTGAATTTTAGGACAAGTATAATAATACGTCCACTAATGCAATAATTGGATTTCATAATGATGGTCCTAACGATACCGTACTGGAAATATTGAGCCCTTTGCGTAAAGTAGACAAAAAAATTTCTTCATATAGATGTAAGTAACAATTACGGTACACTACGTTACAAGGCCATACCTATTGTTTAGCTGGACTACGATGGTACATAAAATAAGTACTATCTAAAACGCGGCTGAGTGACAAATGGTCAAATAACCATTTAAATGTCTACATTTATTTCTCTCGTGAGTTTGGGTGTAATTTGTGGTTGTCTATGTATGTGTCCATGGCACCCGCGACACAGGATTTCCCTAGTGCGGGGCTATGTTGAGTGTGTGTGTTATTATTAATAAAAAAAAGCAAAAGATAGAGCTCAAAATTCTCTTTTAAAAACAGTTAGAATTAGTTAACGTGTTCGACTTATCGGAACTTACCCTAACGTTGCATAGCTGAAATATCTATTTTATTAATAATAAATATCTAGTTCATTAATAATTATACTATCTATAATATAATTAATTATCTAAACTAATTAACTACGTTCAAGCTTGCAATGTATTTAAATTTCATTGTAACTTTGCTACATCCTTACAGGGTATCACATGTTTAAGTTTATCATCTATGTGAAATGCAAATAAATGAATATGAATGAATCTAAAACGGGTTATGGGTTTTATGATATGTCAAAACAATATTTTGTCATCTAACCGCGATTTGGTTTGCTGACGTCAGTATTGTGAATATACCCACAAGATTGTTTTGTTTCCATCTTTATATGTGTAGTGCTTTAGAGAGTCCCTGCTTGCAGTTTTTTTCTGTACGCTAAACTTAGGCTTTTCCAATGTTTTCAATAAGTGAATAGGTATGTTTACACGCTCCATCATCGACCTCATCGTCACTTTCCATATGAGATACGAGGTCAAATGCACACTTATTTTTATGTATAAAAAACTTGAAACTTATTTTATCTAAAAAAGGAGGCATTTTAGGAAAAGAGGAAACTGTTTTAACCAAAATGAAAAAAAGTCATAGATGTAGTAGAATTCTTATTCCCTGAGTAGAATAATCATATATAATATTTCTACATGCAGGTAGTTCGATTGCGATGACAAGGAGCATGAAATACTTCAAGTCACTTGGACTCGTTTCTTTCGATGAAGACCGGCTTGATAAATTGAGCTTTGAAAACAAAGACCTTTCGGTTAAATGTTTGAGGTATTTGAATTTTTTTTCTTCACTAAAAGTACGGTGAGATCATGTAAGAAGAACATACTTTATTTGAGCTCTTGGAAGAACAAATAGACTTATTTATTGAGTTTTTTTGTGAATTAACTCCACTAGTTTTGTTATGATTATGATGAAGTCGACGAAGAAGAGAAAAATTCTGTGTATTCGATCTTCGTATTCATAAAGATAAAATCTTATAATTTTGAAGTATACACTTAATAATCATTACCTACTCTAAATTCTATACTTACAATGTATTTGCCGAAAACGTGCTTATTGTGTTAACATTTTCTCTTCCCCCAAAACATGGGGTAAGAAAAACAGCAATTGTATTTCTTATAAAGGTAATATACCTATACCTAACGTGACTATTATTTTTTTCCGTCAGAGCGGGACGCCTGTAAATTTATTATTGTTTTAAAAATAAAACACACGTTTATGATAGTTACGAAATATGTAATATATAATTAAAAAACTTAAAAATAAAAGAACTATTCTTGTGTAGTCTGGTGGGCTGGCTATTTAAATCTTTCACGTGTGTCCTATTTTGCCAAAGCGGGACATTGTTCGGTATTTTTGGGACAGCGGGACACAAAGTTTAAAAGCGGGACATATGGTCACGTTATCGTTTTTTTTTCCCACCTTTTGGATTTGGAACATCGAACCTAGCGACATCTGTTTAAAATCGTTTATACTAATTTGTCAGTTTTATAGACTGATAGGGTATGAGTTAAGGTTTCAAGTCCCTCTTCCTCTAGTGTTCTTCTTACTCCACCTGACCTTATACGATACTTACTTACTTCGCTTGCTCAGATACCTTATTGGCCTTCGACACCAAAGTAAGCCATTTCTGTCGGTCCTTATATGGATAAGTTTGTAATTATCACACTTATGCAAAGATGAAAAGCTTATGACAAATCCTACATTTCTTACACGCAAAGTACAGCACGTCGTTTCTTCAAGAAAAACCTTCGCCTGCAACCCTACCCGAAGTTACAGCAGTTATCGAGACATAATTGCAATCAGAAAAGGCTTCATGTCCATGCAATAACAGCGATAAAGACATTGTGCGTTTAGCTTTAGCTCGAATTGCCGAAAGGATCCGTAATAGGTAATAAGGTAATCCGTAACAATCCGTAACGTGAAATTACAAGCACTTGGGATTTGCCAACTTATGTCTCCTCCTCCTAAGCCTTTGGTGTCCTTCGTGGTCGAGTGGCTTGCACTCCGGTTTTCGTAGTGTCGCCAACTCTGAGGTCCCAGGTTCGGTCTCCGGCCGGGGCAATGTGTCTCTGGTCTGGGTGTTTGTGGTACCATCGTTGTTTCCGATTTTCGACGTTGTAAGTGCTTTAGTTACTTACTTTGAGAACAGAGTAACGTATGTGATGTTGTCTAATATATCTTAGAAAATAATTATGTAATCATATAGCCTCAGGGTGACGGGCGCACTAGGAGTGCCCCTCACATCTTTGCAATTTAAAGCTAGGAGTGGCACTGCAATTGTCATAGACAGGCGTATCGCTTAAAAGTCTATGCTACCTTAGCTCGAATTCAAACTTTTCCCATACTAATCGTGTTCAACAGTAGGATGTACAAAATTTTAAGTTTATTGACACCCTATATTACCGAACTCACGCACACAATGAAATGTCAACACGAAGGAGTACGAACGCGCACACTACACAGAAATATTTTTGTACGACGAATGAGCGGTATGCAGAAAAACTTAGTTAAGTTTATGTTATACTGGAATGTTTTGTTTTTTAATACTTTTAAATGTAATAAATACAATAAATAAATAAAATAATAGGGTTCATTTAGCTTGGGTCAAGCGGCATACGGGATTTATTTCAGAATTTTTTTTTCACAAAAGAAATCAAAGCCACTTGAAAAATGTATATAGTATAGTATGCGTGTTATACTTATTTAGTTCAGTTGATGTTAAAAAAATCTTTGGTATGTCAAGTACCTATTGAATACAGCGGTTTTCTTGTAAAATTTCGAGGTAACTTTGTGTTTTATTCTATCGTGAAAACTTTTAGGAATCGTGTTTTCACACCGTATAGTGTAATCAGTGTATATCATTGACTATGGTGTATAACACCAAATTTACTGTATTATATTTTGTCCAAAGTGATCGATTCAACACTTTCACTGTCATGCGGAATCAACCGAAGCCACTTGAAGTCTCTTAACACAAAACTCACGTTAGTTCGTTCCGTTTCATGATATCTTAAAAACGTACATATACGCAGAACCTCTTTCTCGCTCTTATTGGTGGTTTAGGTTAATTATTCGAAGAATTTTGTTATTATTATAGTGGCTTCTACGTCGCTTCTATGACCTACATTATGTAATAAACAAGTAAGAAACTAATACAAATAGAATACAAATAGAACAATGCATGTTTTTTTACAGTAAAGTAGCAATCAAGGAAACACAAACTCTGAAACTTGACGTGCAACATAGAACAACTTCGACTTTGGTAAGTAGGTATACTTGTCTAATAAAAATGAAATTTTGTCGCACCCTGGGTGTAATAAGGCCTTAAACGTTCTACAAACGAAATTAGTCAATAACTTTTAGGCTTAAATGGAAAAAAGGAGTTATAAAACATCCTAATATGTCGTCTTCGAGTGACTACCTCTGAATACTATGCGTTATGAACTTGGATGATGAATGAAAAATTCTCGACAACCTCGTTTGTGATTTCTATGTAATTTGTCAAGACGACGATAAGGTAAATATGGCGTAAAATGTAGTAGACGCAATAATGTTTATAGTTAGCATTTTAATCAGTTCTTTCAGTCACTACCTACCTACATAACTTTAATAATATGTATATTTCTCATTACAAATCTCCGCGCAAAAGCTAGCAAGCGTGGAAAAGGTTTTTGAAAATCGAACTTGACGATGGACTGTAGTGCACCCAATATGGGTGAAAAAGTTCAAAATGCACTATCATAGTGCACCTAACGTTTTCTTTCGTTGAAAATGAAAACAATGACACGAACTACGCGATTTGTTGTACATTATTTATGTAATATGAATCCGGTAGTATATTTTATTCTTATTGCTGTTGACATTATTATAGACAACGATAACTAATTTTGTTTATTAAAACTGATTCGCTCATAGTTCAAATCTTTTTCTTTCATCTACCATGTTCCTCGCTATAGTGAGGTGAAAAGTTGTGTGTTTCGCTCGGCAGCAAAGTTGTTTTGCGTCTTGTGCCTTAAAACCCTCGCTACGCTCAGGATTAATTTTTTTTACTTGAACCCTTCGCTTGCTCATTGTTCAATACAAGCACTCGCGTCAAACAAAACTTTGCAGCCTTGCATAACATATAACTATTACCTATGAAATAAATTATTTTTTTACTCCGTCTTTGATACACCGCGCGCCTTCGCGTCACGCAGCGCCCCGATGATTTTACGATCGATTGGCGCACTTCTTTAGTTCGTAATAAAAAAAGTTTTATCAAGCATGGATACATGCGTTTTGTGTGTATAAAGTAATAAGCTGATTGAACTACCATCAGCATCGCACGAATTAAGCTAGACGGTTTTGTCATAAGCGTCTTGTTGCAGCCGGCGAGGCGTTCAACGATGGTAGAAAATAACAACCCTGGTTATTGCCAATATAAAAATATTTTTTTAAAACTAAATCGTTCAAACTCAGATATCCATTCGCCGTTGCTTAACCCAATACATGAGAGGCCATCCAATTCATCAAAATCAACAGGTAAGTTAAGTCAATGGTAATAATAAAGTTATTTGTACAGAAGTGTAGAGCGGTTATTGAATATCGATGCCATCACCAAGTTCGGTAAAACTTCAAATATGTTATTCCAAGGAGTTTACAAAGTGCCAGGTTCCGTGCAATCGACGGTAAAGTGTCAGGTTAAGTGTAATCGGCGGTACTAACTGTACAATACAAAAATAAATATTTTTATTATTAATATATTATTTTAATCTAAGGCCATGTGTTCATTATCTGCTGGCAGTGCCGGCGGCGGTTCGCACTGTCTCACAGTAAATCACCGCTTATTTACGTATCTGCACCAGACTGCGATATGTTTTTGCAAGTAGTGTGTGCATGAATGTTTGAGGTTTTGGGAGAGGATGGATGAGTGTATCTTCTGTGAATTACTAATATTATCTAGTTATGAATTTCACAGTACCTTGGTAATTTACTGTAAGTAAAGCTGTGTAATTGTATGAACGTAAAATTAAAATAAATAATAATAATAATAATAATAACGCTCACACTCAACAAAAATAAATAAAATAAGTAACTATCATTAGATCCAGGTAGCCGTTCCCATTGACACTCGACTTCTAAGAGACAAGTCGATAGTACAAAATGTTTGTCTCCCATAATCAAAATTTAATCGACACAGTCATGAAACGATCCAATGCCATCTAGCGGGTTTTTAGGGAACTATACATATGATGAATAAAGTGGCTTAAAAAATCTATTATATCGAATATTTGTAGTAATTAGTGTAATAATTTCTTTTCTCATAACTGTAATAACCCATCTGTCGGTTCATGCAAGTCGAAGCTGATATACTCGTGCTCAATAGAGGTACATCATGACGAAGATATGTAATGTTTACGACTACCCTATGTATTTACAATTTTTTTTTCCAGAAGCAAATTTACGGCATACCAGCTTGAACCAGAATTCAAGCTCACAAAGTTATAATGGTAATTGTTCGCCAAAGTGAGTAAGCTCAGGGTAATTTTTTAAATATTAATTATGATTATAAAATGTAAACATTAACTAACATATTTTTATATATTGAAGTGGAGGAATGATAATAATAAAGCATAACAAATAATGGGTATAAATTGTACTCTGTGCGACCCTCTAGGAACGGTAACCTATCACAAACTCGAATTTCATTACTCCGAATACGGTTCAACTTTTTTTCACTAGTGCGAATACAGCTTTAGTATAAATTTGTATCTAACACAGAAATGTCTTACAGCAGAAGTATCGTTTGTCCGAAAACCTATTATTACAATAATGATTACGCATATTTTATGTATTCTTTGAGCAGAAGTTTGTTTGCTGATGTTGTTGATGCTGAATATTCGATTCGACAAAATTATTGTACTTGGATAAAATTGTATCGCCGTACAATTTTACGGTACAGCTCCAAAATTCTGGTCTGTACTTTGCTGGTGCACTGCAAGTCCCACTTACGTAGGTAATTCTCGTCAAACCATTGTGCTATGTTTTTGCTGTAATCTGAAATGTAATATAAACACACAAAGTATCCACTATGAAGCTTCATTCGCATCACGCGTCTTTTCATTTGGTCAAGTATTGCTTATTTGGCAGTAATTGTTTCGGACGGAGATCGAGAGTAGACCCCCAGATTCGAATTTGTTTTCATTACCTAATTGGTACGATATCCTCCTGTAGGTTTAGTTTAGGTTTGTATATGAGAAAGTCGCAGTAGGTTAGATATGAAGCGAGCTAATATAACTCGTTCAAATTAACTTGCACCTCGTTTACTATATTATTACACCCACTCTAAAGACGCGAGGTAATGCTATGTTAATTTGACGGGTTGTAATGTGCGACACGTTCTATATCGATAACAAGAAATAATATTTAAAAAATATATTATGGATATCGTTTTTTTTTTACAGAAACGAAATATTATATACATTGGTCAAACGGTATACTGAGTGAAACGTTAAATGGTGTAATGAAAACAAATTTTCGAACAAATGAAACTAAATCTATTCAATAAAAGTCTAAAGGTTTTTGGAGAAACAAAATTCTGTAAATCATGTTTCTAGCTTGTGACAGCTAATCCCTAGGAGCACATATGCAATCTGAATTATACAACACAAATCCGAATTCTAGAAAACGTAAAAAAATAGTTGAAACTATAAACACATTTACCACGAACTTTCCTAATTTATTAAATTATGCACTTTGTCAAACGCTTTATCTAAATCGTCGAATTAGTTCGTTTAGTCGCACGCTTGTTTTAATAAGGCCACATAATTTAAGGATTCTACAAACTAAATTAGTCCGTAACGTTTTGATGCTTAAATATGAAAGTTATAAAATTCATTCGTTTTATTTTTATGACTTTGATGTAGTAAAAGTACTTTGACATATGATTACTTAGGGCTTTTTTGTAACAAGGTCACGAAAATCTCGAAATTATTCATTAATTAATTGTACTAAGTAAATTCTGCTACACATTTTGTTTTTATAAGAAGGTGTTAAGACAGTATTTTTAAATTATTTACCAGTATAGTAATAATACTCAACGATAGTGGTCCTAAAATACTTAATATCATTTATGAATTAAACGTACAGTTGATACCCTAAGATACCTGACCTTAAAACTGACCTTTTGATTCTGAGAGCCTTCATTTAAATGCATTTGCATTCTTTCATGCATCATTCATGCATTCTGTTCAATGTGTATCTATCAGCAGAAAAGTGTTTTAAGGAATTTCAGTTTCATGGTTGAAATTCGCATTTGTGCTTAAATAAGTATACCTTAAAAATCAAAGTTTCTTAAAACGTCATTCACTAATAATACAATCTGGAAGTCATATAAAAATTTTACGGCTTACAGGTTAAAGTTTAAGTTTGTTTAACACTTATGTACGCAGTGCCAAATGATCTGTTAGGGGTCAGGTACCTTAGGACGATTGTACATGATAAATACCATCGATATAAAAGCCATTCATATTATTATTTGTATTTCAAGCCCTTTTTATTTATTTAATCTTTTTGCATAATACAAAAATGTACAAAGAGCGGACTTAATGCCATAAGGCATTCTCTACCGGTCATTTCCCTTTTTCCACTGGGGTACGCCAGGATTTTTTAACCTGTGGTCCATGGATTCCTAAGGGGTCCATGTAATGATTGCCGGGAGTCCATGAACAGTCTACTTATCACAATACATTAATATAAAAATTGGTATCAACATGACATACCCCCGCTCGCGCTCGCCCTAAAAATCTACTTCGTCAATCTTCTTTCATTCTGTCTAGATGTGCGAAGCATCTAAGCATCCTTTTCTCTATTTTTTTCACTGCATCTTCTTCCACGCAGTAACGCTCTCTTATAGCACTGTTCCGTAATTTGTCCATTGAAGTCACTGCACCCATTCTCAAAGCTCTCATTTCTATTGCATTAGGGCGCCTTCAGACAGTGGCACTGCAACGCTTCTATAAGCGTCAGTATCAGAGGGTCGAAAGTAGCGACTTTCTGGTAAAGTACAATTTATTCAATTGTTTCTCATGTTGTAGTGTGACCAAGAATGAGACAGTACACCAAGAAAAGATACAATATATTTGCGAAAGCATTGGGAAGTAAGTGAAATTTAACTATCGGTTGATTTTAAATATTTTAATTACAACAATATATCGATAAACTTAATTACAACAAAAATACGGTTTGTTTGAAAAAACAATTTGTTTTAATCCGTAAAAATAGTTTCATTTCCTATGTGTAACAATCGCGAAAACCTAAGAACTAAATATGTTGTAATTAAGTTTATCGATATAAATGTCTCAAAATATTTCACCACCATGATATTCAATATTTTTTTAATTACTCCACTAGTTTGTTAAAAATTTCAATACAAAGATCGAACACTTACAAAAAAAATCCTTCTATCTGGCTGGATTCGAACCAACGTCTTCTAGTAAACCGTGCCAGACCCTATGCCAACTAAGTCACGGAACGAACCAGCGGACCTTACGAATTCCTCTATGTGTTTGTTGTAAATCTTTGTTTTAGTTTTTTAACGACTTTTTTTGCCGTTGCGCCATATGTGAGAAATGAGATCTGATGACAATGAAAATGTTGCAAAATTACAAATGAAACTGGTAATTCGTGGAAATCACAGCATTTTCTTCAAATAAAATATTATTTATTACGCTGTGTATACAAATAATAATGAAACTTCTTTTTTTCTCGCATATTAAACAAAAATGTTTTACATTAATTTTCGTTTTCAGAATCGTAAATTTAATAACTTTATGTCTATGTAAACCGACGTCACATTGCATATGTAAAAAAAGAATCCATCACATACTTACAAACTTGGCCTATGGAATTTACTCGCCTAAAGATAATATCAACTTTACAGTAGAAAATAAATTTGAACAACGGAAAAAACCTTACTATGGAAAAACTTTTCGAGATGGTAATTTGAATTGATATATTGTACCTGGATAAGTTTCGTTTCAAGTTTTCTATATGTTATGAATATTACAATAATAATAATTCGTTAATTTACTTAAAATACATTATGTTAAAAAGGATAAAAACAGTAAGAGTTTCGCGTTATGAATGGGCGCCAATTCTGCTAATTTTAAATCATCTTTTAGAGTGATTTTGTGCTATTAGTATTCTGCTGAAAGTTGTGGCTTGTCAATGGCGTGGCTATAACCATCGAGCTTACTGTTCAACTACCATTGCAATTTTTTTTTGGCATGGCGATTCGACAGCGTCGTGTACCTACTAATTATTTTGACGTTTCTTTCGATTACTTTTTGCCATCGAACTGCCATTGATTTCAAGGCCATTATAATGTACTATTAAACAAACACCGATATCAGGCATTTTCAACATGTGCGGTTTTTTACCTAATTTTGGTGACAAATTTTTAATTTTGTGTTTTAAGTAAATATTGGTAGGTATTAAGTATATTAAAAATTAATTCCAAAAAGAATATCTTACCGGCCCCTCAAAATGACAAGTACTTTTAACTTTTAACGAAATGGAAATGAAATTTTGTTTGATCAGCAAAATTTAAACATCGTCACCAAAATTAGGAATTTGGAGAAAAAAACACAAATTATATCAGATAAATATTTTAATACTCATATAGAGTAATTATTATTTTTGATTATATTTTTGCCGACACAGAAAATTTATAAATTAAATTAATTTTAATTTTTTTTTCAACATTATTGATTTGTAGCCTATATCAGCATTAAACAAATTCAGCACGTTTGCTCTAGAAATTAGCAGCTGTAGAGACAGTTTATTGTTGCGGTGGCCTGGCGGTGGCATGATCGGCGTGGTATATTTGTCAGATGCTAAAAAAACACTAAAACATTTCATAAATCGCCCGTCACCCTGAGACATAAGTTGACAAGTCCAATGTGCCTGTATTTTCACCAGCACCCTTACCCTCTAAAACCGCTACCGCCGACACTCGCAATTGCTCTATCTAGCAATTGCTCTAATTAATTTTAATTGTATTGGAATATAGTGAATAATTGCCTAAGAAGCCGATACTTCATTAAAATAAAACAAATTCTCGCCACGCCGATTTTACGCTGGTCAAATCCGTCGACCGCCGGGGCTGCACCGTGCACAAATCTTTACACCAACATTCAATTCTACATAATGATAATTGGAAATTCTAATGATATTTACTTTCTATTTCCAGTACAAGTGTTAGCCTGTCCTGAGCATGTACATGTGTATGTATTAAAGGTTGTAATTATCGACTTCAGTCGTATTCATAGGTTACGACAATTTAACATTTTCTTCTTTGAATTTTATTCATAGATATTGCGAGAATCCAAGTGTCCTTAATGAGAACGTGCCATATAGATCTGTGGGAATTTCTTTTAATAAAGGTATGTTGTATATGTAGCATAATTATCTAATCTGTAATTATTGCATTATCAAGCTATAAATAAGATACTATCAAACTCTGCGCACTGGCTTAAAAATAAGACGAAACAGCAACCTTAATAGAAGTTAACACATAATTGTACTACAAAAACGAATTATTTTATTGATTAAATAATATCTATAAGTATTTATAAACAGAAGAAGTAAGAAGACAGATAATCATTTACTTAGTTCGCGACTTCATTAAGGTTTCTTAATATTTCATAATTATATATTTTAAGACTTTCGTGGTTATTCACTAAATGATTATCACTAGTATCAGGTTTCTTACCACGGTATGACTTCTTTTTATTTTCCCGATATTTCATAATTGTATAACTAGGGTTTCTTCTTTAATTGTTTAATTTTATCAATATTGTCCCAACTTTCATAACATTTATTTTGCTTATCGCATATTTGGTGCTACATTGACGCTATACTGTACTTCTTGTGATGTTACAGAAAATGGAATTTTTAATGAATTGAAAATGAATTTTTAATTTTATTTCAGATATATGACGTTACTTCAATGTTGCACCATACAGGCGTTAAATTTAAATTAATTTGTCTTTTTTACATCTATCTTTAATAGAGAAATTGTAGTTAAATAAGCACAAATAGATTTTGGCGTATATATTATGAGCATGATATATGAGTGAGTGAAGTGGAGAAAAAAAAAACAAATATAGAACACTCAAAACATAAGACATAAAAATACTTAAAAACAGTATTAAAAACTGAAAACCAAAAAGTTTTACTATTTTAAAGTTATTACTATTTTTACAATAACTTCCACTGCGCTTTCAGTCTCCTTGCATGTCCGAGTTCCGAGGAAAAAATCAAGAATCGATGCATTTTTCATTTTTATAGTGGGCACCTTAGAATAATTCCACCATATAAGTGGGCACATAAAAAAACAAACAGCGTTTAATGTAGTTTCATATAGAGAGGACTTGGTTTTACGCGATACAAAACGCGATGCAAACGCGACGCTGTCGCAGCTGCAGTGATACGATTGCGTTGCAAACGCGATACTGTACCGACGCAGTTACGTTTGCGTCGATGCAACCGCTTAGGAACCGCTAGTGTCGCGATGCGATCGCGCGTTTGTATCGCTGCCAAAAGTCGCCATGTGTAACCGCTGTTAGACACCAAGTAATTGTAACATGAGCCGTAAAATCTGCACCAAGTAATTGTTCTCATCATTCAATGTATTTATTATTATCTTACAGACCGTAATACGCATGAAAAAATATGTTCATGTGGAGGAAAGTTTAATCGTAAAACAAGGAATGTAGGTATTTGGCATTCAGGGAAAAGGTACATGTGTTCCAAAGGTCTTGATGTTAACATCACAAGGTCTACCAGAACAATGGCAACGATGTTTAAGACAGGCTTTCAACGTAAGTGTTAAATTGTTATTTTATACTTTATGTACAATACCGAGTATATATAACCAGAAATAGCGACGAAATGTCAAAATGTTAATTTGTTTGTAAACTATTCTGTCAAAGCATTACGGCGACGATTGCGCTCCGATTGTCCAGCCCGAATTCGTGACAATTGACTGGTGTCGCCAATTGTTTCACTTCAAAACGACCAGTTTAAATTTGAGCTTTGCTATAATGAACGAAAATTGAAAAATTACATATTTAATAGTTAACTACCGATGAAATGTGATTCCGTTAGTTTTGTCATTAGACGTTTTGCTGTTTGGCGAAAGTAAAAACAAAATGTTCAAAAACGAGTAACGATTTTTTTACAAACCCTTTCTAACTTTTAATTCCCTTTCTAACAAGTATAACAAGTGCATTTCCTATTTACATTTCCTATGTAATTTCATACTGAAAAAAAGTAACCATAGTCGTCTTTTATTTCCTACACAACGCTGTAAGTGGATTACTTTTCAGCCTCGAGGTACAAAAAAGGCACAACACGTTTTGTCAAAATTGAGTTATATAATATATTCGGGAGTCAGAAATAAAGATCTATCTAATTTTTTGTAGAAATCAATTTAATGCTCTGTTTGGTCAGGTTCATAAAAACTCGTACGTTACAAAAATTCCCGCACCCGGAACGCTTCCGCGGCCGCCTCTGTGGGCAGATCATAATCGTTGATAAATTGAGTGAGTTCAAACGTGTGCCCGACACCGCATTAAAGAGACAAAAACTATGAATCAGCATGGATTAATTATCACATAATATTATGAGACAATTATCATAATCAACAAAAAATATGCATTTTTATAATTTTGAACCCTGATTTAAACGTAATATGTCTTTTATAGGTGTATACCCAGCTCACATCACTACACCCAAGAGTGGAAACAGTCACTACTACAGTATGGATAGTTCCATCTCTTATGCCGCATCTATACTTACATCAAGTCAAAGAGAACGTAGAAATAACTCCACAATTTATAGAGTTGACACAGTTGGTTACGGAAACAAATTGGACAAGAAGAAGCGACGTTTCAGAATCATCGCTGTTACCAAAACGAATACAGGAACATACACTGATAATACGACAAATTTAGTTAATAATAGTACAATGACATCGAACATGTTCAACCCTGTTTTAGATAGGCGGGATAAGTCTATATCTCTAGTGAAAGACAGAGCTTTGATGGTGAAATTAAGATTGAAAAGGAAAGAGACAAAATCACAAAGCGTGTCTACGGATGGCAGAGTGGTTACTTTCCGAAGTAGTACAGAAATTATTCCAAACGTACCAGGTACATGTAATCTATTTACCTTAGGTATAACTATAATATATGCGACAAATAGTCTAACTCCCGCCTGTTCGGCGTGTCTGCCTATACGTTCCTCGGAGCGCAGGGTTGTCACTAGAGATGCGCCGAGTACTTGTTTGCTACTCGGTACTCGGTGTACGCGGCCGTTTTTTTACTACTCGTACTCAGCCGAATTACTCGGTTCATGAGAAGAGTACTCGGTTAAAATAAAGCATTACAGCTATAGACATAATAAAGTAAAACTAACAACATATGTATTTAAAATAAAAAGAGATTTATTACTAAAAATTCTAGACAATTGTAACAGTTTGTAGCAATTAAGTAATTCAAAAAGAAAGTTTACATAAAAATATTTAAAATTTAATAAAGGCAAGTTATGATGTAGAAACACAAGGCTATTTGCGCGTTCAGGTAATAGACTGTTCCTTTTTTCTTCATACGCATTACCCGCCTCGGAAAATAACCGCTCGCTATACACAGTGCTTGCAGGTGCATATAAAAACACTCGTGCTAACTGTGTCAGTTTTGGATATCTTGTTTTATGCCCTGGAGCGGTATTCTGTAATCGTTGAGACTCGCTATTCGATATTCGTTATGCGGTTTTACCGACGGTGTCGATTTTGTCGACAAATGCTATTCTGTACACTACTTTAACCATAACGACAATTCGGTTCGATACATTCGTTAAGGTAAGTTTCGTTAAGATTCGATATTTTTATGGACACTTCAAGGGCACCCTGTTTACGTCGGTGTTATGTCGGTAAGTTGTCGATACGGCAACCGACAACTTTCGCTATCAGAGCCATACCGAATCATAACGATAGCGATTACAGAATACCGCTCCTGCCCACCATTGGATAGAACTCTGCTCTCGGGTAATAAACTTTCATTGACATATCGGACTAATTCTATACCAATGGGACTTTTAGGATCATCGCGTTCCGGTTGTAATAAACTAAGTAACTCGGCCAAGCACTCGGCTCGGCAAATGTTAAACCGAGTAATATTCGGTACTCGGTTGCTCGGTAAAACTTGTACTCGGCGCATCTCTAGTTATCACATTATAGTTTCATAAACCATATTACAAAGGCGCTGTATTGTATATGGTACTCGCTACTGAACTAAACAAATTCATTATAGTTATGTACACATAAATAATGAGGTTCAAGAAGGGAAGGTCCTATTTTTGCGAATTAAAATATCAAGTATGACACTACTCGAACGCTCTACCCGATTGCTTAAAATATGAACGGTACTTGGCCAATCATGAAAACTTCAATTCTATCTCTTTAGTTTTATTTATTTTGTAGCGTTTGTTTGGCTCTTGTTTGACAAAATATACTCGTAGAATAAGTATTGTATGCAATCAACCGATAATAACCTTTGTCAAATTACATACAGGTTGATAAAAAAGTCCCTGGCCATTGTTAATATTTCTCAATAATTTCTAATGCGTGGCTACCTCAAAATAGTAAATAAAAATGAGCGTTCGACGCCAAGTTGTCTAGGCGCCAGCACGTGGCACCGCGCGACGACAGACCTGCACTAACGTTATGTTCTCTGTCAAATAGATGAACTCGCGCGCTGACTCCGCCCACTGCCCAACCGTTCTTGTTGCTATAGCAACGGCGTCTGCTAATCTGGTGTCAATTTTGTTCATAATTTTTCGGAAGTATTTGAAACAAAAACCGAACATGATTTTTTTATTTTCATTATACAGTATGCTCCTTTAAAATGGTCTGTGGTTTTTTTATCAACCTGTATAGATATTTTTAAATCAGTATCGCCGATTGATATCTCAGTTATGGGCGTATGATCATGAAAGTGAAATAAGAATGAAGTGCGAGTTTGTATACATAACGATACATTTATAAATTTGAAAGAATATGTATAAATTTGACACATAAAAATATTTAAACACCGAGCGAACGCTATTATGTACCTAATTATTTAATGAATGGCACGTGCGACTCGCGTTGTAATGCACCGTGAGATTATGCGAATGTTTATGTTCACATACTTACAAGCCGCGCAGTTACGTTTGTATGGAGTTATACTACTTGTCTTATTTCGTACATACTATGTATACCACATTATTGTACCGTTTTGCTAATATGTCAATTCCATGTTTCAGATAAAACAAGATTATCTCCATCGAGATATCTTTTGGAGGTAGCCTGTTATCAATATTTTATATTATTTTAGCTTCCTAGATTGCACTTTTATACAGCTTATTGAGTGTATGGCAAGTTCTTCATTCTCGTCGAGATTATGTTTAGAAAAGTATAAGCGTTATCTAAAAATATTAATGTTATGCGCTAAATGATGATATCTAACATACATAACACAAAGTATTAAATTATACAAAATGTTATAGGTATTATAATAATTACACAAAGCGTTTTAAAATCTGTTGTCGTAGTGCCGTTGGACTTATAATAAGATAAGGCGCCTTCAAATTAGAGACCTATAGAAACGCTGCAATGGAGCGTATTAATTTTGATACAATAGCTGGAAGCGCAGTTGCAGCGCCACAATCTTGTCTTGACACTCGCACGCCATTTTTGCAGTAGGTAAGGATTAGTAAAGTACCTAAGGCATAATACGCAGCTGTCGCGCCACAGCAACGCCATGGCAGCTCTTCTATAAGCATGTAATTTGAAGTCGCCCTTTGTTTAGTCGAGTCCAAACTACATTTTATGTCAATTTCAGTCACAGAAGTATTACAACGAACTATTTTACGGAGGCGCTACCGCTGGTATGCGCTATGTGCCACATTACAATATAGATATGGACAACAACGAGGTGAAAAAACACACATAACTGAAATACTTTAATGTGATATCTAATTGTATGTAGATAGTTTGTCGTCACGCCATAACAGGGATAAATAACTTCATGTGGTATCTAATTGTATCTAGATAGCTTGTCGTCACGCCATAACAGAGATATAATTATGTACCCCTACATATGATAATATACACATGCTTCGCACAGCGGCGTGCACGACATTGTATTGTGAATACTTATAATTACACACATTACCATTATCATTGGTAACGGATGATTTACTTGCATTGGTGTCTACTAGACTATTGTAAATGACTCAATTCCTACCTTTTAACCTCTAGTACTTTATCTATATATTGGCTACAGCTATCTACTGTAGCCGCCAGTGAACCGGACCACAACTAGACATTTCTAGCCGCCGATGTTCATACAAAGTACTTGGTCTTTAGCCGCCCGTGAACGCGACCACAACTAGACACTTCTAGCCGCCGATGTTCCTGTAAAGTACCTACTGCCGCGGCCGCCAGTGAACCGGACCACAACTAGACATTTCTAGCCGTCGATGTTCATACAAAGTACTTGGCCTTTAGCCGCCAGTGAACCGGACTACAACTAGACACTTCTAGCCGCCGATGTTCATATAAAGTACCTACTTGCCGCGGCAGCCAGTGAACCGAACCACAACTAGACATTTCTAGCCGTCGATGTTCATACAAAGTACTTGGCTGGCATTTAGCCGCCAGTGAACCGGACCACAACTAGACATTTCTAGCCGTCGATGTTCATACAAAGTAGTTGGCCTTTAGCCGCCAGTAAACCGGACTGGCCTCCAACCTTATCCCCTTACAGCCAGCCTCTGCCGCCAGATCATAATTACAACATTACCACATGTTTAATTCCACGTCACAGTCGTTACTCAGTTGAGGTATCCAATCTAAAGTGGCACATCCGCTACGGCAGAGAACAAGGAATGACAATGTAACACAGTTATCAGGGGATATAAATAAATATAAAGAATCACCAGTGAATTCTTCACTCCACGTTTAGGCACTTTTCACTTTGCTCGCCTCCCTCCCCGAACGCTCACGGCATTCCCTCTCCAATTTTCTGGCCGTTAAACTTTTAACGGTCAGGAAATTGGAGAGGAGTCAAAAATGACGCCGAAGCGAAAATAAGTATTACCATTTCACAAATATACCGATACAGCTACTCACCATACACCATGTATCGCGAGGTTCGCGACATAGCTTAACGAACGGATACTCACAGATATAGAGCGTATATCCGGCGCAATAAGAAGGCTACACTCACAATAAAATCGTGATTGTAGGGGTCTCCCTCTCGTTCGTTGTGACTGTGTTCGTCCAATTCCTTATTAATTAGAAGAGGAAGATTTTTTTCTATAATACCACAAGTGACAGGACGAACGAGGTAGGTTAGGATAGGTTCAGATGGACGCACACCTGTCACGCGTCGGATTGCGTCGATGTGCGTTGACGCGCGGTGCTCGCCAGTACTTGCAATGAACGATGACGCGCGGTCATCGAACTGTAGGGCTAGCACGACAGGGCGCGACTTGAGCGAGAGTGAGATATAGCGCAAGATACTGCTATTCTCGCATAAAAATGTCACAACAGCCCTACAGGTATATTATCAGTGCTTTTAATTACGCGCGTATGTAGCGGTGACAAGCGTTTTGAAGTATTTCCTCTGAACGCAGTGGTACCTTACGTTAACGAATGTATAAAATGTATAAATATCTAGAAGCGCGATTTGAAACCGCGCGTTAAATTTTTATCATCTGTACTTAGCCTTAGGCGAGCTCATTCCTGTGCCTGCGTTTTCTTTGTAGGGAACCCTAACACAACGTGGATGGTCATCGCGAATCTCAAGTAGTGAATAGCAAAATGTTGAATTAAAATGTTATCAAAAGACAAATAATTAAGTAGATATTTTCCCAACATTATCTACATTTATTTATATAACCTAATACAACATTAAACATGACTCACTTTATCCAAAGAATTCGGTGGTTTTACTAAGATCTTGTAAAATTTTCAGGAATTCCAAGAGCTTGATGGAAAGCCATCAATGGAATTCATTACATTCGAGCAAAAAGGTAAAGTACCTCTGAAAGTATACAGACTATGTTGCAGCGAGTGATAGTAGTTAATAAATAAAATATTAAATTATCGAACGTTCGAAAAAAATATATATTCCTTGCAAAACGTGCTCTGGAATGTGTTATGGGCAGACATCGAGTATATAACCAGAAATAGAGACGAAATATGGGCCATCCATCCCTGGCAAATCATCAGGCAAATGAGCCTTATATCACTTTTAAATACCTATCAACTCTCGTATGCGCCAACAACTGACCTGTGTGTACCTCTCCGTATATTCCAAAATATCTGTATTTTTTTAAAGAAAAAGAAGAAAGAAAAAACATTATTTATTATTTATAGATTATTATATTTATTGTAATAAAGATAATATCTCTAACAATGGGGGGCTCTTCCATTCGGTGGTGTGGGAAAAACAGCAAATCATCTAATTACAAAACAAACGGAATCACATTTCATCGGTAATTAAATATTAAATATATAATTTTGCAATTTTTCGTCCATTATAGCAAAGCTCAAGTTAAAGTGGTCGGTTTGAAGTTAAACAATTGACGATACACGTCAATTGTTTCGAATTCAGGATGGCCAATCGGAGCGCAGTTGTCACAGTAATGATTTGGCAGAATAGTTATCAAACAAATTAAATGACATTTCGTCTCTGTTTCGGATTATATACTGGATGTGGGCAGAGATCGTAATAGACAGAAAAGAAAAATAAAAATAATCCTTATTCAAACATTTTTTTCCATTTCATTTTTAAATATATTTGAGAAATTGTTTAAGTTTATGTTGGTATTATAGACATACATAAATTTTAATGATTTTTTTCCGGGTAGTGAGTAATTCGTTTTTCATCGATTCTGAGAAAGTTCACTTTTTGAGTTAATACACTATTGTATTAACAGTGCGATATGCTGCCTATTCTGCTTTAAGTAAGCACGTTCACCAGTTTAGTGGAAACTAGTTTTCAAGTGTCTTGCTCGTTGTGATCAAAAAAGTGCAATTTGCTAAATAGTAAAATTTTACAAATTAAAAATTACAGTTGTAAACTACAATTACTCATACATTTATTCAATTTAGTTTTGTATTCTATACAAGCTGGATACTAAAATGTTTTCTCAAATAGAAAACTAATCTAAAAAGAAACAAAATAGATTTCTTTTATATAATAAATACTTTCATAAATATTATAATAAATAATTTAAATATGCTCGGCTGATACGGCTCATAACCTCGCACTAGGGAAACCCTGTATCACGGGTGCCATGGATACACACATAACCACAAATTATACCCGAACACAGGAGAGAAATAATTATTGGCCCTATAAATGTTTCTCCCGGCTCAGGAATTGAACCCGGAACCCCTGCCACAGGAACATGGTAACAGTCCGACCACGGAGACGCAGTTAATTCCAACATTTGTTTTTTTTTTTCAGCGCGTAAAAGGAGTCGTAAATACCGTTACATTCTGGTAAGATAAATGGAATACTTATATATACTTACTCCAGGAAAAATAAAAATTAGACAATTTGCGAAATGCATATTTGGCATATCTTTGGAGCAGAATAGAACAAAATAATCAGTCAGCTTCGTGAAGTACGTGCCATTCGTACCTTTAACTTTGCAAAATAAAAGGGTTACTTTACATTGTGAAAAAAAACCATTATTGGCTAAATTCGAAAACTTAGTAACTTCGTTTTTAGACGAAATTCTGTTTTACTCTGCGAAAAATTGAAATACAATTTGTAGACTGAGATTTGTAGACTTTTTGGTTATAATCATAGATTGTCAAATAATTATTTCTAGTAATTCCATTTTTTGTGCCTACTCAAATATTCACATTAATGGAGGTTACTAAGTTACAAATTCAGCCGACGATATCTATGTACGGTACCATGAAGTGGGGTGGCCGACTCAGATATAGGGGCTGCCTCCATCGCTCTTGGCCGTGGTTGGTTTAACAGGTGTCCCTTTACCATCCAGCTAAGCAAAGCAAGCTGCCAATATAATCGTGGCTTTTCAGCCAGACACGACTCAGGGCATGTTTTTTTAGGTTAGAAATGGAATATTGTACTGCATATTGTAATCTTTGTTTTATCATCTCCAAAATATCATGTTCTTACACGTCTTTCAGGCCCGGAATAATATAAGTAAAATGGTTAAACCCGTATGGGAGTATACCCCTGCAACCGGGGACTATCATTTGCTAATACGAAGCAGGCCCCCGAAGAAGAGGTACGTGCAGAATACTGAACTTAGTTTAAGGGCCAAGAGACTTCATTTGGAGTCTTATCCATAAGCTTTTTGGGCAAAAAATTAAATATCTTTAAGTGTAGAGGTAAAGAGATCGACCTTATTTAGAGTCTTATTCATGAACTTTTTGGGCAAAAACTTAAATACCTTTAAGTGTAGACGTATAGAGACCTCATTTAGAATTTTATTCATAAGCTTTTTGTGCAAATAATTAAATATCTTTTAGTGTAGTGGTATAGATACCTCATTTAGAGTCTTGTTCATAAGCTATTTGGGTAAAAAATGAAATATCTTTAAATATCTTTCCCTCTTTTATCTTTATGAAATTGAAAGGGAAGAAATTTTTTCTTTTTTTTAGCCCCACAATAGGGAAACACTGTATCGTGAGTGCCATGGACACTCACATAAACAACCGCAAATGGCACCCAAACTCACGAGAAAAATAAATGTAGGCTATATAAATATTTCTCCCGACTCGGGACATTTGCATGACGGTGCAGTTTGGTTACCGTTCGGCCAAGGAGGCAGTTCAAAATTAAAATTTGCTACCTTTAAAGAAAGCCTCAAGTGTTATCCTGCTCTTGGTGAAGATGTTGGATTTTAGTTTAATATCAAAGTAACCTCTCTTTGTGGTATCTGTCGGTGAAGTAGTACCTACATCTACAGTACAGACAAAATAAGAATTAACAAAACAACTACTCATAATGGCACCTTCTACGCGAATTGTCCCCTTCTATATACTGACGTCCACTAACTAAGACGCGGCATCGTGACAAGTGGACAAATAACCGTTTTAAAAGCATTACGATAGCGCTCATAATTCACAATTTAAAAACAGTTTAATTTAGTTAACGTGTCTGACATATCGGAAATTACCATAATGATGCATAGCTAAAATATCGTTACATAAACATATCCAACATAATATATATTTTTTAATGAATGGCTTGTGAGACTATATTATAATAATTGTCTCTATACTGCCAGTGTCCGTTTCATACTTGTTTCATAAACATCATGGAGTAAGGTAAACAGAAAATTTGTTCGGTAACTCAGAGGCAATATCGAATTATATAATATGAATAATAAAATATTTATAGTAATACAGCAGCCGTAACTTTAGTAGCACCGCCCCCGACTGGCCCTAATCATCTACTGCGTCAACACTACGACGTCTTCATTACTCAAACACAAAGTCTGCGGATATTGTGAAGTATACAGGATTATTCGTAAAATACTAAAAACTTCCCAGGACTATATTACTAACATTATAAACAATTTTTTACGAAACATAATAAATTTACTTTTTTATATGTATAATATGAAGTCACGGAACGCACAAGTCGTGTGTCTGATGGCAAACTACACGCCGCCTGTCCATAAGAGTTGCAGTGCAGTGCAAAGATCTGAGGGGCACTGCGCCCGTTACCCTGAAGACATTGGTTGACAGAACACAGTAAGGGCACGTTCCTAGCTAGCCTGTTCCCATATCACGACTATCAGCCGAGACTGTATCCTGGACGTTTATTTCATCGTTGAACGACTGTCGTGTCTAGCCGTTCCCACTAGATCGTGACTACAATTTATCGGTTTTACCAATCTGACATTACTGCTTGGCAGCAGAAATACGAAAATGGACGAACTCTTTCACAAGGAGCTTTACGGCTACTAAAAATAATTAAGGTTTTGTTGTGTACTACCTGACACGTTTTAGATCTATAATTGAACGTAGTTAAACAAAAAGGATCCAATGTACGTCCAGTCACTTTCGAGATATGGCAGTTTGTAGTTTAAAAGTGTTTGTCATTCTTGTTTTACTTCAAACTTATAATGTCATGTAACTCCAGAGAGATTATTTTTGTTTACCTATATGTTGGAGTTTTTTTTGCTATATGTGTTAGACTTGTGCGTTAGATAGAACCTATATGTTACACTTTAGGAATCATTTGGTACATAAAACTATTTTAATAATTTTGTGAATTCCTTTTTGCTTAACTACGTCCAATTGGTCTCATGTAAGTTCAAATGTGCAAGCGTCCGACCCTTACCCCTCGCTCCTGTTTTGCGTCGTACAGCACAGAGTTGTGACTGTCTATAGGGATCTATTTAAATATATACTTTATAAATATAAATATAAATATAAATATATACTAATTTTGAATTTGAATTTGATTTGAAAATATATACTCATTATTTATTTTTCTACGAAAGTAAAATCTGTTAGTAATGCAGTCCTGGGAGGTTGTTAGTATTTTACAAATCTTTATGATTAATGAAATCCAATATTAGGCTGAAAGTCGAGTGGTTGGGAGGACCCAACCACAACAGTCCAGCACCAATGTGAATTTTGATTCATTTGTGACGATAGTACCAACTCAACATCTGTCGACCTTCATGAAGGACGAGTTTCCGAGACCGGTTACCGGACACCCACGTTGCGTCACACGTCGCAGTCCATTACGTGTAAATAATTAATTTAGTGTTTCATTGCATTATTATGTATATTAGTCTATAAGAATTGTTTTATGAGTAGAAATAAATTAATAAAAGGAAAAATAATCCTAAAACTGGGTTTTGGTTTTTTTATGATATCTCCTAAAAAAATAATGTGTCACATAGCCCCGTTTTAGTTGATAATGATAATGTGTGTCGACCTTATGAACCTGCCTGTCTCCCTCCTTCAGTATAGGAACAATTTTGGAGGCGACAGATTCGTAATTCGGTACAGTCGCTATTTGATAGACTTTTAGCAATAGAGCTCCTTGTGAAAGAGTTCGTCCAGGGAAGTATTGCTACCTTAACTAATTCTGCAGCCCAGCAGTAACATGAGCATTACTGCGTTCCGGTTTATAAGGGTAAAGGTGCTGGTGAAATTACAGGGCACATGGGACTTGTCAACTTATGTTTCAGAGTCACGGGTGTAGTGGCAGTGCTCCTCAGATCTTTTTGATTTATACCTCCGAGTGGCACTGCAAGTGTTATAGACAGGCGTCACTTACCACCAGGCGCACGACTAAATCGTCAGGCCACGCCACTTAAAAAAAAGACCATGTATGGGGCAGATTCTTGAATTCAACAAATTAGCTATACAGCAGAAGTACAACTGCAAAAAACATAAATCATTCCAGATCAACGACGGTGAGCCCATCTCAGAGAAAAACAAGAAACTATTGGACAACAAATACAACAGTGTATTTGGCAAAGGTATTGGACAATGTTGTGTTTGCCTTTGTGTTTTTCGTTTATAAAAGGGCTGTATGAATATTAACAGAAGAAGAAATGCACCAACCAGTAAACGTGCCAGTAGAGTTACAGATCAAAACTACATAAATTTATGTAGGTATTTAAGTACCTTTGTACCATTGTGTTTCAGAAATTGGTTGAAAATAGGACAAAGCGCAAGAACTTATATGACGATAGTAGGTAAGTGTCTTTTTCTTTGTGTTGAGCAGAAGGTTGCTTTTTTATTCTACTCTACCCTTTTTTTCCTTAATATTCCTATATACAACATTATCAAACTTGCTATTTATTTTTGTTTTTCAGATTTAGTTCCACATCTCTATAGAAGCGACGAGTATGTAAATGTAAAAAGTCGAATACAAAATGACTGTTTTATTCATCACGCATAATATGTAAAATTGTTTGTGATTGCCTAGTTAATTACCAAAAAGAGTCCTCAAAAGAAACAACCGACATACGACAAACTTGTATTAAAGAACTATTACAAAAAACGATTTAATATACATCATGCATATTATATATGAAATTGTAGTGAACAAAACGCTTAACTCTTGCGCGAAATATTTCGAGTATTGGAGTAAACAGTGTGTTATGCGGTCCGATACCAATTATTTTTGAGATTTTTAAATATTTTGCATTTTTATTTAAATAAAAAGTGTACTGAGCCTCTTCTGTTCCATTACATTGTTATTTATTAATATCCTCAAAATTAAAAAAAAAACGTTCTATATTTCTAAGGTGAGCTAATTAATATTCAACGTCATCAGTTCTACTCATTTGTAAATGCAGAAGTAAGTAAACAAACTGGGTTACACTTTGTAATTTGTACAGGGTGAAAATTTGAACGAGATAAATATTTAAAGAGGCGAATGTGTAGCTGATACCCATACCGAATATGTAAAAAAACACTATTTTTAAATATTTTTCTCTATGGAAAATACTGCCTCTAACATTTTGTAATACTCTGGCGCAAGATCGAACATGCAGCGAGTGCCCACTACGTATACCGACCTCTGAGCGCGCTTTGAATGAAGGAAAAATTGAATTTAATTTTAATTTTTAAATTTAATAATTAAGTAGGAAGGTTCGACACGCGGGAGTTCAATTTCCTGTACAGCTGTTCTGTTTCATATAGTGGCCCAAATAAACTTATGTTTAGGTGCGATTCTTTTTACATACCTATTCGGATTAGATATTAGCTACTCGTTCGCCTCTTTACCGGTCACCAGGCATACTTTTTCTCATTTACCATTTACATTCAACGACAACATGAAATAGCTCAAAAGATAATTCTTTTCGGATTTTTCGTCATGGATTTTTGTCATACAAGTACTTAATTAAAAACAAAAGTTGCTGTTTCACGATGGTGTTGAGGGTTTTTATATAATATAAAAACGTAACATTGCTCCTAAATTTAATTTGTGTGTTTTACATGACTTATTTATGTAAGTCAATGGTGTTTTATGAAGACTACTGTCAAGAACAGTCAGTTTATTTCACATTCTTGTATTAACATTTTATATCACTATTGGTTATGAACACAGTGACCCCATGTTAATTAAAACAAAGACTTTTCACTTTATCTCACACTCGAACCTTCAAAATTTTCGTACCTACTGCCTAGCTGAGCAGATTCTATAACTTAATAATATGTGGAACTTAATATTTAGTAGCAGTAGATCTCCTTGTGAAAGATTTCGTCCAGGGTAGTACTGCCACTTTACTTATTTCTGCCGCCAATCAGTAATGTCAGCATTACTATGTTCCCGTTTTGAAGGGTAATAAGTATGCTGGTGAAATTAAAGGCAATGTCAATTTATGGTTCAGGATGACGGGTGCAGTGGCAGTGCCTCTGAAAATCTTTGTGTTATGTGGCATTGCAAGTGTTACGGGATAGGCGTGTAGATTACAATACAGGCGCACGACTTGTTCGTCGCGTCACTAGATATTATATAAAAAAAAAATCATTTCTATTTGGCAGATGCTAAAGGTCCACAAATAATTAAGTATACCACCAATTTATCTTACGTTTTAACTCGAGTTGTACCTAAAAATAGAACTGCACATTACGCATACAACTGTCAGTATTTGTGAATACTGTATGTTTACGTATTTTTTGACCTTGTGGCCAATTTTCGTTTCAAGTTATAATGTACCTACAGGTACCTACATTTGTTCAAAAACTGTAAACCCATTTACTACTCATACTTTGAAAATTGCATTATTTAACATTGTAGAAGCATAACTATTAAGTAATCTGTGGTAGAAAGTACAAAAGTGCGTTTTGACTTGAAATGGGACATAGTAAATATTTTACGAAAAAACATGATATTAATATTTTTAATATCATGTTTATATTATTATTAAGACGAGGAATAAAAATAAAATGGTTGTTCGTAACGGTCATCTTCACAAAGTCATAAGGACTATACGTTTCTATAATGACATTTCGGTTGGTATACATAATTTGCCATTAACGAGGTTATAAACTATAGTGAAACAAAACTATACATTAATGGTCAAATTATTAAAACTATTATAGCTTATGCGTACTTGGATGTCAAAATTCCGCGGTAGTGAACCGTTTAGTTCTTGGTTGTCTCGATCATATTTGAAATATATATTGTAAATGATAAAAGTGCACAAATGCTTATTAACAAGCAGCAACGCCTAGAGTTTCTTATTATTCTTCTCAAGGGAATCTACCTTTCAAATGAGCAGTAGAGTTTAATCAATGTGGCGATTTCAAGTGTAATTTGCTTACCAATGATATAAAGATTATTTAAGTTTGAATTTAATCTGTACTCAACAGATTTAAGATCATTTGATTAGTTTGCGAGATTCTGGCCAAGTGTGTGGCCAATATTATTTAGAAAAAGTATCGAGGTGTTATCAAAAAGTTTTCAAGTCTTATATGAAATAATAATTGCAATAAACCAAATAATGTCACGTCAAAAATTCAAACCACGAGACTGAATATAAAAGCCCTGAGGCACCCTGAAGTGCGTACAGATCTGGCGAATGCGCTGTATGCACTTTTACAATTAAGTGCTCCTAGCGCGCGAGTGGCACGCGAACAGATCGCACCACGTAATGCACGTGTGCGCTCGCGAACCTTTCGCAACAGGCGCATTCGCCACATTTGTACACATCCTAACAAAACTCTAACGTCTAATTTGGCCAGACAAGCATCCAAAAAGCCTGAGAGCGCATTTATTCGACATGAATCTCATCGCGCTCACGCCACGCGGCGTGCATCTAACTGTCATGGCAAAGTATGCTCTATTTATTTAGCTTTTACGTTTTGACTTAAATGTGCATACTGGGCGTGCAGGCGAGTCTGGCTTGTATTTGGTCTACGTGGAGACCGCGCGGTTGTATTATTCAGAGGAATTTAAACGTTGTTGCCTAGTAAATATAATTCAGATTCACCATTAATGTACGTGAAAGTGCGGTAACCGGGCGGCCGCGCTATAACTTTCGCGTCGTCGTGTAATCTGGACGCTAACTCTGTCCAGCTTTATGCAAACACCTGACATCGCTATTTTTGGATATAGGTAGTGGATAAAACTTGGCTAAATTGTTTATGTAAGGTACATCATGTCTCAGTACTGAGCACAGGTCTTCCTCTAAAGAAATTGTTTCAGGTCATTTATCACACTAGCCTCGTGTAGATAGGAAAGTTCACACATCATTGAAGTATGTACTATGACATTGTCACTGTTATCATTTACTCCATAAATATTTTCTAGTACATTAAAACAATTTTATAAACAGACGAAACCGGCTCGTCGTGTTTTGAGTGAAACATGATCTATTGTCATTTTATGTTATTACAAACGTTTGCAGATGATGTAGGTATTTAATAACTAAGTATAGCAATAGTATGGTTGTCTTCCTGCGTTCCCACCGGAAAGCGACGAGGCAAAACACTGTCAACAACCCTATCCTCCCCAGGCGAAGGATATCCATGAGGATTTACAATTATTACCTCTTTCATCATGAAGTGCACCGCGGCGGTGTGGAGCCCGAATGTAGTAACCGGTGGCCACTCAACACGACTTTTGAATCCACGCTTCCTCCTTGAAGCAAAGTGCTAAAATAAACCCGCTATGCAATAGTCAAATCATAGTGTAGCTTAGAAGTTGTTATGAAAGTAAAAAATCTAATTTTTAAAAAGTATTTGAAAAAGGAACTACAAAGATAGAAAAACTAGCATCCAAACTTGACATACAAGATACCTACTGCCTGATAAAACTTTTTTTTATGAGGCAGTGATGTGCCACCGGCATACATAAGTATTTTACTCATGTGATGTCGGACAAGAAGTTCATTTTGATCGATCTGAGCTTGTTAATAGTTAAATGTATCATCTATTCTGGACACAAGATGGACGGACGACTTGAAAAAGGTGGCCGGTAGCGGCTGCATGTGGACGGCAGAGTACCGAGAGAGTTGGTATGGTCACAGGGAGCTGATGAATATATCGGACACTACCTACCATAAAGTTCAACAGTAGTCAAGTGGCTGAGTGAAGTGGAGAATGTTGTTATGGAAATAGACTTGTAACGGTGCATCGATAGCACCATGACACTCGTGCATGAGTGTCTGTTGTAGCGACTTGTCGATGCCACTTTGTGTAATCTTCGATTACCGCCACGACTAAGCCGTTCTTTTCTTGTAATATGCTGTTTACTCTTTTTTTTTACAATATCATGTGACGGGACGAACAAGTCATGCGCCTGATGGTGAGCTACACGCCTGTCCATAGCAGTTGCAGTGCCACTCAGAGCTTTAAATCGCAAAGATACCCTTCCGACCCGGAAAACAGTAATGCTGACATTACTGCTTGAAGTAAGGTGGCAGGCGGTGGTGGTACTACCCTGGACGAACTCTTTCAGAAGAAGCTCTACTGCTATTGGAATAAGCTTCTATAAAGAAGAACCTCATGTCATACCGCAAACATTTCAGGAGGGAGCCCATTCCACACGTTGCATGTTCGAGAAAGGAACGAGCGTGGTGCACGCGTGGTTTCAATATACCAGGTGAAAAGGCGGGGTGTGACGATATCTAAATAGATTAAAATCTTTGGCTCAACTCTTTTTTATATTGAGATAGAAAGCGTACATCTATATCGAAAAGATTCATACGCGGTCCAGACCAGAAACTAAACTTGGTAAGCCAAGTTTAGTTTCTAGTTTTTATTTTTGACGACATATACATTTTTACTTCAAAATTGGGCAAAAAATGTGACGTTTCCTCATGTTCCTACTGGGTGGTCCATATGTATGTCCTTATGCTCCTACTACCGTTCTCCAACCGTTCTGAGAACTTATCAGTTCTCTTAGTAATCTGTTCAGGTTTGATCGCGGTGTTAGATGACGTAACAGATCATACGGTTCGCTTGTTTTACAACTACTATTGTCATTGATTAGTTTATCGTCGACCAGTGTTACATGTGAATTCGCAACGAGATGTCGTATTCCGTGGTTATCTGGTAATACGCGATTTTTTTTCTGTGTCTTTATTAACGAATTTAATTGTTAGGTTGGGTGATGAGTTTGGCTTTTTTTAAGAGTGCCTGAGACTACAGGAAAAATTCCAAGTTTCATTTAAGGGGAATGTTGTCAGACTACGAAAAGAGCGATAAAAGAGTTTTTCAGAAGTTTTTGTCAGAAGATTTGATTTCTTGAGTTGATTTTTCTTTAATGCCTTTACAATGGACAATTGAATATACATCATCGTCAACCTACTTGCTGGGCACGGGTCTCCACTCAGGTGAGGGCTTAAGCCATAGTCTACCTCTCTGGCCCGATGCGGGTTGGGGACTTCACAAGTTTTCCGAGTGTTGTGAACTTTCGACGTGCAAGTTTTCCTTCACCGAGAAGCTCATGGTAAATTACAAATTAAATTTCGCACATAAATTCCAATAAACTCACAGGTGCAAGCCCGGATTCGAACCAAGACGTGGGTGCTTGAGAGGTGGTAGGTCATACCATCAGGTTACCACGGCTATTGGTTGGACCTACCGCCTTGAATGTAAGCACAATTGATTTTTAATTATAGTTCGCCTAAGAAATTTGAGATTTGTGTTGTCAGATCATATGCCAAAATATGCAGGGTTAGATACAAAACCTGTTATATTTTTAATTGTATATAGTTAATTATTATTATTTAAGAAATGTCAATTTCGGGTAAGGGTGCTCGTAAAATTACAGGCACATGGGACTTGTCAACTTATGTGGCGCAATGGCAGTGCGCCTCAGATCTTTACGATTGAAAGCTCTGAGTGTCACTGCAACTATTATGGACAGGGGTGTAGTTTACCATCAGGTGCATGACTTGTTCGTCCCGTCACTTGATATTATAAAAAATATATTTATTTATTGATCTAAGCATGTGGCCTCATTTTAACGATTTTATTTCGTTTGTCATGATTCTACGCGTCCAGTGAAGGTATATAAAGGAAACCAGTCACTGTTCATATAAACTTAACCTAAAATGAAAGATGCCGAAGGTAAAAAGTTGATTGTGCTAGTCCATCGAGTGTATAACAGAAACATAGACGAAATAAGGGCCAACCATCCTTGGCAACTCATCAGGCAAATGGGCCTTAGATCGCTTTTAAATATGAACTCTCGTTTGCGTTTAAAAAGTTGTAATAATACAGCCAGCGCCAACAACTGACTGTGTGTACGTCTCCGTATATTCCAAAAAGGTTCTGTATTTATTGTAATAAAGATAATGTCTCTATGGGGGGCTGTTTCATTAAGGAACAAAAAGGAACTAACTCATAAAAAAGGGCTTGTCGGGAAGGTCAGTTTTAGACACTTCAGATTTAAATTCAACTTTATGCTACTTGCAATAAAAACAGTCCAAGTTTTAAACGCACACACACCACACCAATTCATTACATTCGTTTCAATTTGCATCCGAAGTTTTTTTTTTATTAATTTAATTTCTTTATTTAGGGATATAAATAATGTAACTTGGAAGCGTGGGACTTTTAACAAGTACCCAATATATATGCTTTTAAAAAAATGCTTATGATTGTACTTTTGATTGTTTGATTGTATTTGTATTGTATGTGTGTTGAGCCCTTGCTAATCAGTTGGATCTAATACTTCATAAACTCTTGCAGACGTGGGCACAATAACACAAAATTTTATTGCAATCGGATAAAACTTTGGACTTAATAATGACTGATCTTAATAATGAATGATCGGACTTAATAATGGAATGCATACAGTCCAAACAAACAAACACACATTTCTGTAGGTGCGAATTAAAGAACCATATGTGCCAATTAGTAATTTTTGCTACAGGGCGTTGTAAAGAGAATGGGTCTCTTAATTACGTATTCAAAATGAATCCTAACATCAAATAAAATTTGTAAATAAACAACACAAGACGATAGGACTTAATTACCTCTTACCACAGATTTATTTTTATATTTGTTAACAGCAATATGCATGATTCAGTGATTGTATACCTCTGGAATACCTCGTTATTGTACACAGCAACGCTATGATCCTTTATTGAAAAGCGATCCCATTCCCATCACATTTTTCATAGTGAACAATATGGGTTTACGAGTGGTAGATAGACTACCGTGCGGGGATAGCGCCACTAAAACACATCTTTGACACTTGGGAATGAGCATAACGTTATTGGCGTTTTCTGTGACCGCTCAAAAGCATTTGATTATGTGGACCATATTATTCTTGTTAGCTAAGCTGGAATATTACGGAGTAAATGGCAAGGCGTTGGAACTTGTCTAGTCTTTGTTATAGTTCTTTGGTTTCTCCGGTAAAAATGGGTGTTCCGTAGGACTCAATATAAATGACAACACATCCTCGATTGTTAAAACCGAACACATCCTCGATTTTTAAAACCGACAGACATGACGTTAATTATGACAATATTAATGATACCCTCTCAAAGATGATTTATTGACTTAATGCTATCAATTTATTGCTCAATGTCAAGAAGACAGAGTGTGTTAAATTTGAATTACCTAATGTAAAATAGACTAGTCCAATCATAGAAATAAATGGATAAAAGTTAGACCATGTTAATAAAGCTGTCTTTTTGGGAGTGACCTTAGATAGTAAACTTCAATGGTTTCCACATATATCTTCCTTGGCCAGCAGATTAAGCTCCACACATAACGCAGTCCTTAGAATAGGTGAGCTTACCGATATTGATACTGCTAAGTTAGTCTAGTTACTTCCATAGTAGGTATAATATCCTACGAGGTTCCCGAGTGAGGTGAAGCGGCAGATGTACAAACCACATTTTGTGTTGCAGAAATGAGCGATTGGTTCTGTGTACTGTTTAGATTCTCGGGATTTCAGAGAAAAGTTTAAGGAGACTGGTATCATGACTGCGGCATCACAGTACCTACATTTACTCAAATATTTTGAATACGTGATAACGTTACGTCCATTTCTATGATATACAAAATATTCGATATTTATACTGGATTACATACGTTGCCGATAACACATGCATATACTATATACATATTATGCTATCGTATTGTGCATCGTTGACTGGCACCTAAATTGAATAATCTATGTTTATTGAAGTGTAAGATGCTTTCGTTTATACTATAATCTCCCTATTGTCATTTCCAGTCTGCTATTACTATTTTACTGCACTGATGTGACACCAAAAGACCAACCGCGACCTTTCCCTGATGGCTTCATGTTCGGAGTATCAACAGCTGCGTACCAAATTGAGGGGGCCTGGAATGAGGATGGTATTAATAATAATTCTTTATGATTGAATGAATTAATGAATTTGTGGCGATTGGAGCTTAAACTAATATGTGACATAGGTCACTTCACTACTCCTCTACATCCAGGGGATGGGTTACCGTTTTCACCAAAACTGGGAATTATAAATAAATGTTATTTGATAATCCACACCCGCATTGATGTTGCGATAGTTATCAACTTATCATATCCAAGTTTTATATCTTAACATGTTCAGCGACGTTTATGAATTATTTTTAAAGTATTAATTTTTAGCCGACTTGAAAAAAAGAGGTGATTCTTAATTTGACGGCATTGTTTCTTTGTTAATCGATTTCAATAAAACTTGACATGTAGATGTAATTCCAATGATAGTAAAATGTTATGTATGTATGTATGACCTAGATCTGATCTTATGATGGAAATGACAGACAGATGAGAGGAAGTCTTCAGCAGTATGCAGCAGCTAATATTAGGCTCGTATTATTCGTTTTGACGAGGACTTCCTTAATATGCGTGAAATGGAGGTCAAATGTGCACTTATATATTATAAAAAAAAATTATCATTGAGAAGACCACGGTAACGTATATAGCGAAAGCGGAGCTAACTTTTGAGAACGGGTTTTTTTAAATAAAAAGTTAATAAAGAAAATGAACACTTGCTCCTGACCGCTATCTAGCATAGAGCAAAGATAGGATCAACGATGGAAAGAGCAACTTAATTATTCATGAAAAACTTAAATTTATTCCCTGCGTTACAGTAATGCCCTCGTATCCACTGCCTTACAATAATTCGCACACTTAGTGCGAATGATGAAAAATGAAAACTTTAGGAGAGAATCTGCATCGAGCCAAACACGGCTTCGTACGTTTGCTTATTTATTTATTTGGAACACCAACAGATTACACATAAAAAAAAGATAAAACGATATGAATATGTCATAGGGCTTAGTTGTTGTTCATATAAGCCAATTACAGGTACACAATTATAAGGATCCATATACCTTTAGATGCCCCAGATACTAAAAAAAAATCATGATAATAAAATTAGAACTTTAAATACTAATTCATAATTAATGTACTGAAATTTAAGGTAAATAATTGATTATGAGATCTGAATAAATAGTTGATTGATGTTAATATGACCGTGCAATTGTATAATTAATATTTCTGTGAAAGATAAAATAAAATAGCAATGAAAATAAAATATTATGCTATAGGAATACGTAATTCACATTTAAATTTATAGAAAGAATCATTAAAAATGTCGAGCAGTTTTAGATTTTCACGACGTTTCAAAATATTTACGTCCTGTTTTAAATTCAAATTTGGTTTAAATTAAGGTTATGTTTTAAAATTGAATTAAAAAATTACCTTAATGCAGCCAGCCGTGAAAATCTAAAACATGCTTCTGAATTTTTTTTCGAAATGGCGCTTACGCTCTTTCTACACACACGAGTCATGTAGATGCGTTATCGGAGTTTTACCGGTGTTTTGCCTAAACCGGTCACGAGGCAAAATTATTTTTATTAGATAAGTATATCTTACAAGCCCAGTAGTAATCTCCCAGTGGTTATGCAACCTCAGGAAGATTACTAATCAAATATCTTTGAAGATTTTTATGAACCTTTTCCAATATGTTGGTTTACTTACAAAAAAAAATATGTAGGCAGTTTTCCTCACAGAACATTTGATTTCAGAAGAAGAAGCGTGCTATAACGTCGAATAGCTAAAATCATCTCGCTATACACCGTAACAATTCGATTTCAGGTAAAGGTGCATCAATATGGGACACACTCACTCACATGGACCCGTCTCCAATTAAAGATCACAGCACCGGAGACGTCGCAGTGGATTCATATCATCTTTACAAACACGATATCGAAATCATGAAAGAACTTGGCGTACATTTCTATCGGTTCTCTATATCCTGGCCAAGAATTTTGCCGGATGGTTTCATTCATAACATCAATGAAGCTGGTTTAAAATATTACGACAATCTCATTGATGAAATTGTTAGAGCTGGTATCACACCTTTCGTCACTATATATCACTGGGATTTACCTGAAGTTTTGCAACGACTTGGAGGATGGGCGAATCCGCATATAGTGAACTGGTTTGCTGATTACGCTAAGATTGTATACGACAGATACGCCAATAAAGTTCCGTACTGGATAACTATAAATGAACCTAAACAGATTTGTTATGAAGGATATGGCTCGGACGCGAAAGCTCCTATGCTAAATTTGAGTGGAATAGCTGAGTATTTATGTGCTAAAAATGTACTTTTAGCTCACGCTAAAGCATATAGGCTTTATGATGATAAGTATAGGAAAGTTCATAATGGGAGTGTTGGGATTTCTATCAGCTGTTCTTGGTATGAACCGGCGACTGATACAAATGAACAGGACATCCAGGCTGCGCAGGATGCGCGACAGTTTGATGTAAGTATTTTGTTCATACTCACTTGCCACACTAGCATACCAGTATGCTGGGTAGACATGGGTATATTAGTTTGTAACTGGCTGTCCTTAGCGAAATAACTGACATTTCCATAAAAAAAATAATAATTCAAAGAGTATTATTAGAGCGGTCAGAGGTGCAAAACATTTTATTTTTGTAAATAATAATGAAATATATTATTATTTGATCAACAGATACGTTAGACGTATTTATGTCATCATTTGTCATCATCTTTATACACATATAATATAATATAAGAATAAGCATTGATAAAACAATAAAATTATAAAATTACAAACACAAAAGAAATAACTAGATGAACACACTGCGCTAGATAACATAGATACATCCTACTGCCAGACATAGGTCTCTTCTTGAGAGCCGGATTTACATTTGTGTGACATGTCGGTTTCGGCCAGTACACATGTCATTCCCAGTTCCGTATTTTGTATTGCTATCGGTATACGCTACTACGGGTTAAATCCAGAAAATTGGCAGCGGTTTGTGTTGGATCACAGACATATATCTAGATATGTCTGTGTGTTGGATTATAGAGGCGTTTACGTCCTGGTGGTTAGGTGGTGGTGGTGGTGATTAGGAAATTATATCAGAAATAATCAACCCGATTTTATGTTCTGGTTGATTATTTCTGATATAATTAAGTAGCTAATGTCATTACTTTCCTTCGGATTTCCTCGTTTAGATTCTTAAATACAGTATGTAACATTTTCTTTTTATTACTAAATTTACACAGCGGTGGAACGTGTAGATATGGGTTCGTACAGTATAGTTAAATAATAAACTTTTTAAACAAAAGGTTTCGTATCGATACTTCAGATAATACGTTGGTGTCTACGGGTATCAATATAAAAATTAAATAAGGCGAACCAGTTTTGTTTTAAATCAAATATATTTTGTTTTATAAACTACATTTTTTTGTCTTTAAAGAATGAGACAGATTTTTACTCTCAGACGATTGTGGATAATTCCCGTTTTTGAAGAAGCCTCTTGTTAGATATTCTAAAGTAGATTATTAAAGACTAATGTGATGGTTTATATAGACATACAGGGTTATTTGTAAAATACGAACAACCTCGCAGGATTATTTTATTAAGTAACATCATAAACAACAACTTTTATACCATGACGTTTTACAAAACATAATAAATTTATCAAAAATAATGTCCGACCATTAATCATAACACATTGTTTCAGTGGGGTTTATATGCCCATCCGATTTTTTCCTACAACGGTGACTTTCCACACGAAGTGAAGAAGAATATTTACCACAAAAGTGCTGAGCAAGGTTTCCCGAAATCTCGCCTCCCGCGATTATCAGCTGAAGACGTGAGCAATATCAAAGGGTCCTCAGATTTCTTCGGAATGAATAGTTATACGACGAAATTGATTTACAGAGATGCTTCTTTAGAGGGAATGTATCCAACACCTTCATACATGGATGATATTAGTGCCGTGTTTGTAAAGGACCCAACGTGGCCACAGGCGAAATCATCTTGGTTACAAGTAGGTATTGAGTACCCCAATGGTTACTTACACAAGTGTTTTATACCTATCTGAAATGTTATGAGCTGTTTGTATAAAATCCTACGTCCAAATTAGCTATCTAAGTATCTTCGAGACATTATTTTGAGAATTATTATCGAGCGATTAACACCTGGAGCTTCTGGGTATATTAATGGACAACAAAAAAAGTGTATTGGTAAAGTACTGTACATTATATTGATCCTCCTTTTCATACAATAGCATGAATGAACCGTATTCAATTTAAAAATTGAGAATAACGCAGCGATAGATAGTTTAGATGGAAATGGTTTTTGATTTCACGGTAATGGTCCAGGAACCCAGTAACGAACAGCGTAAGGCAAGGCTCCCGATACTCGTGATATCGATATGGTCATTATTTGTTATATTTTAAAATTTGCAGATAGTTAAAATAGATTTAAAAAGCAACACTCTCAATAGTTTGACCGATATTAAGTAAATAATTGGCAGCTCTATGTCGGAAATGCGAGTTATCAATGTTAACGGGCTGTTTTCACATTATACGCGATTAGCCTACAAAATCTGGTACAATCCTCAGCTGGACGATACATTCATAAATGCCATGTAGGTACCAAAAACTAATTATTATTAAAGTAATTATTTTCACGCTTCAGTCAGTTCCCTGGGGTTTCTACAAGTTGATTAAAGAAGTGTCAAAACTTTACGACCGACCACCAATATTTATAACAGAAAACGGATGGTCCTCAGGCCTTGGATTGCTAGACGAAGAGAGAATAAATTATTTTAAACGTTATATGAACGCCATGTTGAACGCTATTGACGAGGGTTGTCAGGTAAAAGCTTATAGCGTTTGGAGTTTGATGGATAATTTCGAATGGATGAACGGGTATACGTGAGTACAGCCTTTTTATACCTTTATACTTTCATTCATTAGATATTAATGATAATGGTAATAATAATTTATTATAATTACACCTTCCAATGTTGGAATCTTGTCTTACTAAAGAAGTGTAACTCCTGCCAATTCGGCTCTTATTTTCCTATACACTTCGCTCGCAGCGTAGGGTTGTCATATCATCACTTTAATTATACATACAGCCACGGGTAGACTTTCTTAAAAGTATTTTTGTGATGGCACAAATATTATTAAGAAAGACTACTCGTCTTACAGAAAATTAATTCCATTTTATTGTGTCTTCGTTCGTGTTAACCGTTTCAAACGGAGTATTGAAGGAACCGTTAATAATTTATGTTTTTGGGGGTGCAGTGGCAGTACCCGTCTTTTTGTTCTGTTATGGATAGACGTGTAGCTTGGGTACCACTAGGCGGACGACTTTGTCTATTCTTCTTATTATATTTCTTTGTCTATTGATAAACAATAACTCATATAAACTAATAACTCATCTCATGAATCTGGCTAACTTCGTGTTTAAAAAAATTTGTTTTTTCAAACAAACCGACGTTTCGGGCCCTTTACAGGTCCCACGGTCACGGTTGACTGAGGTGGTACAGTCTTCAACCAGTTATGTCCAATATTAATGCAAACCACCCTATTTTTTCACTATAGTTACAATAGTTATTAATTAAATACCTTATTTTTAATTTTACAAAGAAAACATTCCAATTTACGCTACATTAAGTTTTACAAATTATTTTATTGAATGAATTTTTATTAAGTTTAATTTATTATTAATTATTAATAGAAATTAGAATAAACTAAAACATATTAATTAGTACTGCAGTCTTATGTCTGTTTGGGATTTTTCATTAGAGGAAATCTGGATCCCAAACTGGTGGTACGGAGAAACCATCTTCCCTGTTGAAATTAGGATGTTTTTTAATTTCAATGGCCTCTCGCAGCATCCTGGGTAGATAACGGACTTCTTTTGCAAGGACCTGGGGTTTGTCAAACTTCATCGAATGTGTAGGTTTATCCATGACATGCTCGCATGTCGCAACATCCTGTAAAGGGCCCGAAACGTCGGTTTGTTTGAAAAAACAAATATACGCGATTTAAATCCGGAAAAATAGTTTCATTTCCTATGTGTAACAATCGCGAAAACCTAAGAACTTTAATGTCTTTACTTACAGTGAAAAATTCGGACTTTATGAAGTAAATTTCGGCACATTAGAGCGATATCCTAGAAAGTCTGCGTACTTTTATAAAGAAGTTATACGAACCAACTCTTTGGATCTTTACTATGAACCAGAAAACTTAACAGAAGCCGGACATTCTGCGAGAAGCAGAACTACAGCAGACGACGATAACGAATTAATTTAATAATGAATTACTTTTTCACAAATGAGTTTTACATGTACCTAATTAAGTATTCCGTGGAGCAATTGACGCGGTGAATTCGACAATGGAAATGAAAAACATCGATTCGAAAGTATTGTTTATTGTGTGATGGATTTTTTTACTTATACCTTGACTGAGGGGACTGCCTAACGATACGCCTCCAATCTTAAACGCTAAGTATAAAAGAGACTTTATTCTGTCTTTAATGAAGACGGAGTAAAATGGCTTGAAGGGCTGCCAGCTTTCATAAATTTTTAAATAGTTATGTAGTTGTTGCCGATAGTTTTATCGATAGATTGTTAAAGAAGATAAACATTTGCGAAAAATGACTGAATTGCGAATATTACGACGTTCTAATGATCACTAATTGCGTTATTGCATTATTTATTATTATTTTGACAGTTGACCTACTAGTATCGAGGTTAATTTTTATTCGTATACATTTTAACAAGAATAGCCGGATTTGATTGTGTATACTTAATTAAAATGAAAATCTTTCTCTTTTTTCATTTTTCATTAAAATAGTTCTAAATACTGCATATGTGTGCATTAACTTACAAAAAATTGACAATTCAAATTAATTGTGCTTAATAATTGGATGAATAATGGAAAGAGGATGATTCAAATGAAACAAGTTCGGCTATTTATTCTATAAGCGTGACCAATATTCAGTCGATAGTCGATAGAATACTTATCGACTGCAATCACTAACTGTTCGCAAGCGGGCAACACTTTGGCGCGATGAACTGTCATTTTACTTCGTCTTCAAGAAAGAGACTATATACGAACATTATCATGCACTAGCAATAGTAACTAAAGTATTTTATTTATATTTTATCATTGACATAGTTAAGTAAAATGAGTAAAACTAAACCAAGATCATTAAAATAAAAAACTTTTATAATAGAACTTGCCGTGTTTTTCTGTCCATTGACATCAAATGAGACTGTATACCGTAAAACTGTGTCAATTGAAAAGAAACGGCGATTTCTTATCTGTGTCAAAATTGTTTTGTTTATGTGTCATCTTTGCCGTTATTTGTCGCGATTTTCATCAGTTTTCATGTGAAAATGTGCGATTTAAATGATAATCCGATTAAGTTAAGTGTAAAATGGAATGGGAAGGAGTTCGATATCCCAGAGTTTTCGCCATCAGACTCCGTGGCGATGTTAAAAGTTGCAATCGAAAATGCAACTGGTGTTCGACCCGAGAGGCAAAAACTTCTTAACGTGAAATTTCAAGGTAATTGTGATATTTTCTACTTGATTACTGAATCACATCTCTTAATTCGCAGTTGCCAATGTATCTACTACATTTAACCGGCAATTATGCACGAAAATGTTAAAAAATATGCTTGAAATATTCATGTATGTAACCCAAAATGTAACACTTTCAAGTTATGAACCAAAATTCGCAGAAGCGGTGCGTTCGGTGCCCTAAATTCTGCTGATGATAGATGTCTGACTAAATGTTGTTTACAATTTGACTTTAAATATAGGACTTTAAATACCCTAATTCAGAATAGTTGCAACAATCTTACTTTCTGTAGTCAGCTTAGCACAAACAATTTGTCATAATTTTACAGTCGTCCCTGCAAGGCATTCCTTCACTTCTCATATTCAAACATAAACCATTGTGATGTATTTTTTTTTTTAATTATGTTGCTGACCTTGGATTCAAATGAAATCTTCAGGCGAAATATTAGAGATAAACATAATAATAATAACGCTCACACTCAACATAGCCCCGCACTAGGGAAACCCTGTGTCGCGGAGGCCATGGACATACACATAGACAACCACAAATTACACCCAAACTCACGAGAGAAATAAATGTAGGCCATACAAATATTTCTCCCGGTCCGGGAATCGAACCTGGGATCTCTGCGTGGCAGTCCGGCTCGGTAACCGTTCGGCCACGGTGGCAGTTGATAGAAAGTAATATCCACACCAGCAAGTAATACCATGGTAATATATATATCATGGTATATATCCAGTAACGACCGCATACTGGAAGACGCAATGTGGTCAGACCACACACAAGGTGGACTCATGACCTGGTGAAGGTTGCACAAAAAGTCTTTGTCGCGTTCTTTGAGGGAGGGTTATTCAGCAGTGGATGTTTTAAGAAAAATAATCTTAACTCTAACTTTATTTATAATATGGAAAAGCTGAAATTTCCTAGTTTTCCATGTAACAAGTAATATAAGAGTTATGTTTTTTTTTCTTAAAAAAAAAATGACTTTTAATCGCTCTCCTATCATATTTTCCATATACATTTTAGAAGTTTTACCTTTCCAGCATTTATATGATTATTACTTTTATGCATTGACCTACCAACAAATGGACGTCAGGTTTAATACATAAACCACAAAAAATGTCCAAAGTTAACCTATACAAACATGTAATGAAATATAAAAAAAAAAACTAAAACATTAATTTAAATTGTAATGTCATTGCAGTACTGCTTAATTTTGCTTGCAACAAATTAAGGGCCCAAAAACACCATCTACAGGAAATTTAACAAAATGCACCATGTTCAGCTTCAACTGAAAATTACTTGAACACAAGAGTAATGGAGCAGCCTTTATTGTAAATATTAATTAACTTTTATAAGCAGGGTGGCCAGGATAGTGACATCCAAAAAAAAAATTTGGTGCATTGAGGGGTATCCGAATCACCCCCATGTATGTTCCATGACTTTTCATAGTTTTCGAGTTATGATTTTTTTAAATCGATCCTTTTAAGTTTTCAACCGGATCAGCTCCAAAATTTTTTTTTCTATTTGTACAATTTTTCGGGTTGTTTATTGCAACTGAACCATTTCGCTTTCAAGTAATTTTGATGCTTTTCACGAAGACAAAATTAGCTTTTATTTATTGTAATATTCCTAAAAAAAATACATTTGTCATTATGAAAATTCGAGGTAACGTTATTACGGGCAAATATATTTTCTGACTTCTGATAGGTAATCCCAAACCGTAAAACGACTACAACAATATTTTGTTAGTTATATAGTATAGTAATAGTAGCTAACGTTTAATAAAAAATCATTTTAAAAATAAGATTAAACTCAAAGCGACTCTATAGTTTGTTTGTCCTAAATATTTCAATTGCTTGTTGTTCAAACAATTGAAAATGACCAGGTACTAACTGGGTGATAAATCTGCAATAGATTTCTCATAGATAGCGCCACGACTAAAAAGTCGTTGAAAGACCAAGTACAAAGACACGACGCAAGCACATAGAAAAATTCGTGAGGTCCGTTGGTTCGTTCCGGGGCTTAGTTGGTATAGCGTCTGGCACGGTATGCAAGAAGACGTTGGTTCGAATCCGACTGGATCGAAGGAATTTTTTCTGAGTGTTCGATCTTTTTTATTAATAATTTATAACAAATGACCAAGAAGTTTGTATAAGCTTCTTGAAATTGATATAATGGGATCATTTTCATCTTTTGCGCATGCAATGTGTAGAAAAAGGACAGTTAGTTATTTAATTATTTTCTTTGCTTTTGTAATTTATATTTAAGATTCTTTTAAATATAAATTAAATACTATACAACTGTACAAAATAACACTTTTAAATGATAAACAAGTTTTTTTTTTAACGCACACATACAACATAGCCCCGCACTAGGGAAACCCTGTGTCGCAGGTGCCATGGACACACACATAGACAACCACAAATTACACCCAACTTACACCCAAATTACAAGAGGAATAAATGTAGACCATACACATATTTCTCCCGGCCTGGGAATCGAACCCAGGTCCTCTGCATGGCAGTCCGGCATGGCAACCTTTCGGCCACGAAGGCAGTTGATTAGTTATTGTTATTTAGTACTGCATGATTGACAATCGCGCTATCAGTCGAACCAACGAAAACTGTTGCGCGATTGACTCAGAATGCTGAGATATATCAGTGCGGACACTTTTCAGCGCGAACCCGACGTCCATTTGTTGGTAGGTCAATGCGTTTATGTATTATTTTCTTAAGCTGAATAATTTGATATTAAAAACGCGCAATTGACAAAATTTGAGTTAGCATAGTGTTAACTGCTGGTGATAAAATAGTAATAAATAGTATTAACTTACCAATAAAACAAAAGTATTTATTCTTCTATTAAGCTATAAATTAATACTGACATAAATCTTAAAAAATTTAATGTTTCAGGCAAAGTAGCAATGGACAACTGCACTCTATCTGAACTTAACCTTAAGCCAAATCTCAAAATTATGATGATGGGCTCTCTAGAAGAGGCTATTGCTGGAGCTGTGACGAAACCTGACTGTGGGGATGAGGTTGTTAACGACTTGGATATTGAGGAGGAGGAAGTCGATGTGGAGAACCAAGAGGTCAGTTCTAATCCTTATTACGTAGGGCACTCAATAAGTTTTGAGATGCTCGAAATTTAAAAATGGAACGCTCCCGTATTATATGTTTTTGAAAAGCAAATTTATTTAAAAATAGATCACCAAAAGCAATGTAGCTAAATTTAAAAAAAAAATTACATTGTTAGTCATTTTACTACAACGCTTCCCGCGCTTTTTCTTTGCAATAATGGATCTTAACCGTGAACATTTGCGTGCTATGATCTTCTATGCGTTATTATTCTAAGTGTATATCGTATTAAACAGACATCTCAAGAATGTTTACATTTAGTTAAGTACCTACCTAAATAAATGGACTATAAACACTTTTGATGTGTGTATTTATATTTATTGCGATTTTTTTGTGAAATAACTCCGTTAGTTTTGTTATTTATTTATTTAATTAATTTATGATTATGAATACAAAGACCGAACACACAGAAACATTTCGTCGACCCGGTGGGACTTGAACCCCCGTTCATGCTGCACCGTAGCATTGCTCTAACCATCTGAGCCACGGGTACAGTTACCGAGTCGTCGAAATTCTCTTATGTGCTTTTGTTATAGATCTTTGTACCGACTTTTTCGGCATTCGTCGCCGCTAGTGACATCTACTGAGAGATTTTTTTAATAATCTCACCGCAGCCGATACCTTTACACATATCACAACTGACGCAGAAATCGCTTTTCGATTAATTGTATTTATTGAAATTGGGCAGTAGTAATTAGTAAGTGGTATTTAACTAAGATGAAATATTTATAACAATTACAGATTTACCTAGCGAAGATAAACAAACGAGTCCGTGATTACAAGATCAATATGCTGAATGAACCTCGTGAAGGAAAGAAGCTTCTTGTCTTAGATATTGACTACACATTGTTTGATCACAGATCTGTCGCTGAAACTGGTATGAGTTTTTGGTATATACTTTCATAACATTGTACAACAAACCAAATACTGTCGTAATTTAAAAAAGATAGAATTGAAATAACACGATTTAAAATTTAAAAAATCTGAATGAATCTTAATGGGATTTTTTTGTTTATAAATAATGTGACCATACGTCCCGCTTTCAAGCTTCATGTCCCGCTGTCCCCAAATTGTCCTGTGTTGTGAAAACAGAACATATAACAAGAAATTTTAAAAAATGGCGCGAAAGCGAACAATATAGAGGCCAACGACCAGACTAGCCCTTTTTTAAATTTTTGGTCATCAAGGGTTTTTAGTTCTTTTTTCTAATTTTTTTATCATTAAACACTTCATAACTATCATAAACGTGTGTTTTATTTTTAAAACAATAATAAATTTACAGGCGTCCCGCTCTGAGCGAAAAAATAATGGTCACGTCATTTATACATAATAATTAGTTGTCCACTTATAAACGAGAATATAAATTTATTGGTTGCATCATCCACCTATCAACAAATAGGTCAATGGGTTCCATTCAGTAATTTTTAGAACTTTCAAATCGTTTTTTCTCAATTTCATTTTTTTTATGACAACAGTATTTGGTTTACTGCGCGACATGTAACGTTTTCCAATACAGGATAAAGTAAAATTAAACTTGAAAATGACTTCGATCCGGTTGAACTCGAACCAGCTGCTTCGCCATAGCATGGTTGTCGCTCTCCCAACTGAGCTACGAAACCAGCAGACCTTACGAATTTCTCTAGGTGCTTGTTGCATATATTTGTTTTTTTTTGTTTTAAACGACTTATGCCGTAGCGCCATCTGTGAAATCTATGAAATAAAATTAGAAAGAAATTCTTACTATATTGAAACTAAATGTGGATGTCATTTACTTTCTTTCATGAATTTGCACATTTCATTCAATTTATGGTTCAGTTCATTCATTGGAAGTTTCACAGTTATGAACTTATCACTTTTTCCAGGCTATGAACTAATGCGTCCATACCTCCACGAGTTTCTGACGTCTGCATATGAAGACTATGACATAGTAATCTGGTCGGCAACAGGCATGAAGTGGATTGAGGAGAAAATGAGGTTACTCGGCGTGTCATCGCACCAGGACTATAAAATCATGTTCTATTTGGACTATTTGGCTATGATCACTGTTCATACTGCTAAATATGGAACTATTGATGTAAGTATTATCATGCATCATCAATGTAAGTATTAGTATGCCGCCTCGATAAGCTATTATATCCACATTTAGCTGTCAAATTCGAGTGATTTTCAAATTGTATCACAATGGCGAGCACCGTGACGTCACATTTTTGCCTGCTATTCTTTTATTTTGTTTACGATTAGCGCCATCTACCCATATTACGAAACGTTAAATTTTAAATTAGTTTGTAACACACAATGCCATCTATTGACACGTATGTTTGTCAAAGTTCAGTAAACAAATTTTAGCTCATGATCAATATTTGAATGACATTACAAGGAAAAAACAACTTCTTACATATATATATATATATATATATATATTATAATAAATATATAAATAAATATAAAGAGGAATTAATTGATATCCACGGCCATGTATATAATATAAACCACTTCCAGGCTATTGATCGGCGCCATCTAAATATAAGACGGAATTTCGACCCATAAAACAGCTGCTTTCTGTGGCTGCGTCAAATACAACGCGTTCAAAATATGGAATGACATACCATATACAATACAAGAAACTAACTATACAAGAAATCTTACATCAATTCACTCTTTTAAATTCGCACTTAACAAAATCTTTCTACAGAATATTTTGACGCGTGTCTAATACAAATATCAAAAGTTCATAAATTACCCTTAATTTCTTTTACACCACCTGTCCACAAAATATTTTCCCTGCTATAAATACTTTGTTTTCTAGTTATATATAAACCACACATAAACTCCACGTATTTTTTACATTCCTACACACACACTTCTAAGCAAAACACACATTCATTTACAATTATTATACAACCACACAACTCCTTATTCACTCATTTACATCTTTCACCTTTATTTATTTGCTTTCCACGTTTTATTGCTTATATAATAACTTATTCACCTATACAATTATTATTATAACTACATACCTTACATTCGAACTCCGTGTTGATTCTCTATTCTGAGTTACTTCTTTTTTACCGGCTCACTTTAGGACCTGGCAGAATCATCAGCGTCGTAGTTCGTCTTAACTGCGGCATAATGCTGAAACGGGCCCTTTTTGCTGGTACAGTACACTCAACTCTACACCTGATGCAATATAACACTCCAGGCCATACCCGCAAACCTAGACTAGCCTTTTTCTTTATGATTACCATTATACCTGTCAAAGTTTCTTTGTAATGTACTGTGATTCAGCAAATAAACAAGAAATCTATCTATCTTTCAGAGTTACGATCTGATTATGGAGGCTAACAATTCTCTTGAGTTATAAGTACATGGTATTCTTCAGCCAATGTCTATGCTACAGTCCTGGGTCCCTACTCTGCTAATTTTAAATCATTTAAGTTGTGTGCCGATCAATTGTCAATGGCAGGAATTATACGTTTGGCATTCTGCTAAAAGTTAAGTGGCTTGCCAGTGGTTAGCCTTCTAACCATCGAGTATATAACCAGAAATAGAGACGAAACGTCATTTAATTTATTTGAAAACTATTCTGCCAAATCATCACTGTGACAACAGCGCTCCGATTGGTCAGCCCGAATGCGAAACAATTGACGGGTGTCGTCAATTGTTTCACTTCAAAACGACCAATTTAACTTGAGCTTATTATATTATTAGATTATAGCATAATGAATATTTAATTATCGATGAAATGTAAATCCGTTTATCGTCAGAACGGTATCGGTTTCATGCACACAGCATGCCGGACACAACAACACACCAGCCGACACGTCAGATTGACTAGAGACTAATATAAATCTAACCATATTAAATATACGAAGCCGATACCATTCTGACGCGACACGACACGACACATCAGACAAATGTAAATCCGGCTTTAGCCATAGACGAAAAATGGAGTTTCACTTTTATTTTAGTAGCTAAACGCAGGCCACACCCGCGAACTAAGCTAACTTAACTTAGCTCACGTAGTTGCATGCAAATCTAAGAAAAGTCGTAGGAAGTAATTACTATGGATTCGTATGGGGGCTAAGGGCGACATATTTTACATAGCTAGCGGAATCGTCGGGTTAGTTTAGTTAACTCAGGGTTAGCTTCGTTCGCGGTGTGGCCTACGCATTATACACCTTCATTGCAACAACTTAGTCGACATGCTTAGTCCTAAAATATAACTATAAACAATACTCTTCTCTGTTTTCCAGGTAAAACCACTAGGTGTAATTTGGGGTAAATTTCCCCAATACAGTTCAAAGAACACGATAATGTTCGACGATGTGCGTCGAAACTTTATTATGAATCCTAAAAGCGGGTTAAAAATCCGACCATTCAGACAAGCCCATTTAAATAGAGACAGAGATAGGGAATTATTGCACCTTTCAACTTACCTACGTGATATTGCTCAATACTGCGATGATTTCGATACATTGAACCATAAGAAATGGGAAAAATACAAGCCAGATAAGAAAATACAATCGGCTGGCAGCAAACGGAAAGCCGAGGACAGTGCCCCGTCAACTCCGAAGGAATGACGAAAAAAGTAAATTGATAGACCGACATTGATTGTGAGATATTATTAATTAGTTGCAACAGTGAACATTAAACACCATATTGCACATGTACTATGGCCACACAATGCGGTAGACAGTATGTAAATTTTCGATATTGCTAGTTTAACGCGCACGGATGATAGAAAGTTAAATTTTCTATGGGAAACTTTGACAGTTTATGTATGTCTGATAATGCCTACCACTATATACTTCCTAATGTACATGATGCCCTAAGATGCCTGACCCTCCCTAACCGTTTATTTCTCTTTGAGCAGATCAGTGTGAAGAAAGATGTTAAACAAACTTAATTTTTGAGGTGAGTCACCGGAAGAAAAGCGGGAAAAACTGTTTTACTAGATCAAACGGTTTATGTATTTAGTATTAAAGAACGGTCTTATAAAGATATACGCTTACGGTTTTGGTTTTTCAACTGAATTCACATTTATCCAAAAACTTGAAAATTGCCCAACGGTTTAACGACACGCCGCGCCGCCCACTGCCCCGTCAGTCGCCACCGGGTGCTTGTCAACATCGGATCTGTGTCAAATTTTCTCCGCCTGTTCTCATTTTTCCATACAAATTTTAAGTGCGCGAATTTCGGAACACGAGAGGCGGGTCCCCACACATCAGCTCCTAAAATGTAGGTTAGCATTAAAATACCTCGCGTTAACCCGTGAGCCGTAAAATGCATTTTGGTATGACATCACTATTGCATCATTAGTGAATAACGTTTTAAGAAACTTTAAAGTAATTTGATTTTAATTACGTTACATAAATTCAAATTTCAACCAAACAGCTGGGATTTCTTTACACTTTTCTGTTGAATGCGTCAGAAGGCTCTCAGAACCAAAAAGTCGGCTAAGGGGTCAGGTATCTTCCAGCATCGACTGTCCAAAATTGGTTTAATTTTTAGAATAAAAGTGTAAAAAACAAATTGCAGTCATACATATAATGAATTATTACGTCTTAACGCAAGGGTAAGGCCAGACGCGCGTAATTTTGTGAGTGTGATAATTTTGTTTGTGCCTCAATAAAACGTGTTTTTGAGTCGCGTAGTTTACATTCGATTGAAATTCGGTTGGGGCGCCAGAAGAACTGTATGTTATTCTAGTATAGTATAGTAACTGAATAGTATTATTTTGTTGCATTTAAGCGTTTGTACAGGGTGTTTGTGTCATACAGTATAATAGAGCAAGAAACGTGTCTACTCGCGCGCATAGAAAGAGCATACAAAGCGACCGCTTCCCTCACCCCTTCCTCCACTCACGTCAGTACGTCGCATGGTGCGACCGAAATTCAGCCATAATTATGCGCGTGAGTCGGCAGACAGCTCATTTTGCTTCGTCGTGTGACACAAACCCTTCGTCTCGCCTCATCATGTGCCACACGAAGACACAAAATGAGTTGTCTGCCGACACACGCGCCTAATTACGACCGAATTACGGTCGCACTATATGATATTTTTGTACGGGCGGAGGGAGTAGTGAGGAAAACATTTCTTGGGATGAGGTAGCGGCTTACAAATCTTTGAACTTTCATATAGTATGTGAAACTGCCCATATTTTAATCTTTTCTATATGAGTGGATGGGTACATCTATTCTTTTTCTTTTTTACCATTACCTTCTAATGCTTCATAAATGAACAATATGTTTCATGGATCCAATGACATAAACACCCTTTAAAAGCAATTGAATGAAATACGTTTGTGTGGCGCTTCAACCGAATTTCAGTCAAAAAACGCGACTCATAAAGTTACGTACGTCTGGTCTTACCCTTAAACTTGCTTTTTAGTTTACAAATACTGTTGCAACAAACGGTCGGTCATTGCGAATCGCCTTATCGCTCCTAAAGACTGCGAAATGATAGACTTTATGCTGGTACTCTCTAACTTTGGTGCGTGAACTATGATATTGATGTATTCTGTGACGCTTTTTGTTTAAATTAAATAACTGTAAGACAGATGTCCCATTTTCATTTCATGGTTAGTAAAAAACACTAACACTATTACCTCATATAGTTGAAGTTATATAGTTAGAGGCAACCTAAATTACTAAATGTAACATGAGAGTCAGGAATATAACGAGTGGGACAACAACATCTGTCTTCTCGTTCGTGAACGAGAAACGCGATCTTTTTAATGAGATTTCGTCACATTATAGTCATAGTGTCCTTTTTTCCTAAAAGTAAGTGTAAAATTCACTTTATCCTTTTTTGTCTCTCGCTCCCTCGGCTCGAAATTTTCAGAAATTTGGTTTAGCTCCTGGTACAATATCCACGTTGAAAATTGTAAATTTTCACTAAACATTTCGCACATGAAACCAAATATTGTCGTAACTCAAAAATGGTGAAATTGAGAAAACATAATTTGTAATTTCGAAAAAATTCTGAATGGAACTAATAAATTTATATTCTCGTTTGTGAGTGGATAACTAAAGATTATATACAAGTATAAATAAAAATATTAACAAGATGAGAGACATCTTCTGTTTTCATTATCAGTTTAAAAAACAAGTTGAATTCATATATTTTTAAGTTAATAACATTTTTTATACCTACTATATTAATCGGAATCCAGAGTTTCAAAGTGGCTACCGTAAAAATGTCGGGAAGTAAAAGTATTTAAAAAAAAATTATTAAGATCTGGCAGTATGGCCAATTATACGCCTTAACTTGTCTCCTGAACAATTATAATACTTAATGTCGAAAAACCGTCTCATTCAACTTAAGGTGTACTTTTAAAAGATTTTAGGCGTATTTCAGCTTCAATTAAATATGTATTTTTAACATCTAGTAAAAGTTGTTTTGAATGAAATGTTTACGTTAATAGAGATTTTTATTGGGGACATTACAGTTAACACACAAAATCTCCATAGCACTTTGGTAAGGTTAGTAAGTACAGAGTAAACCCAAGCCAGTGTGTAAATAATTCAGAACGTTAGGTTTAAAATAACCTAAATTTAATTTCGCCTGCATTATCCTGCTATGAAAAAATTCGTCTTGTGTTGGTTTATATAGCACCAGAGAACTTAAAACCAATTAAATGCGATACGGATGGTATCTGCTAATATAGATCAAGTATCGTTGGTCTTTCATTCAAAAACGCGAAAGTCAATTAACAAAATGTACTCTGGTTACTCAATACTTTTTAATAATGTAGAGTCAATAGTATAGTACTAACTTAATAAGATAATAATTAAATATTTAGAGTTGAAAACTACCGAAGCTAAACAGTTTAAACTAAAACTAGTTTCTACGTAGGTTACGTTACTCCAAAAATTATCTGCCGCAAAAATAAAAAGCGAGATTTTTTAGTCCCATTTTGTACCTACCGTGAGATATCACCTTTTTTGGTACTTTTTAGCTCTATACCTACATTAAATGTTTTTATTGTTATTTATGAAAAATTGAGTGTGTCTTAGAGTAAGTGCTATTTTAGAACAGAATATAGAAAGTAGAATATATAAGTATATTAGTTTATCGTGCCTGGCACCTAGTTTTAATTGTAGTTTGACATTGTAAAGATTCTGTCGCCTTTTACTCTACCAATTTTTTTTATATAGGACTAAATCTAGTGTTGTCATTTTCCAGCTAGTAAGTAGTCATTCGAGTGAAATTCAGACTGTGAAATAGCAGTTGAAATGCAGCTGGGAAAATGTTTTGAAGCAGTCGCGCCAACAGCTATTGCACCCAGCGTGCTGTCGTGCGAACTACATCCAAACTGCTTTCTGACGTATCTGCAAAATACATCTCGTATGGCTCACCCTTGATAGTGCAGTGTACTATTGTTTGATAGTACGTTGCTTTTACCAAGAGCTTACAGCATATTACCTATAAAAAGAGAATATGATACCTCCATACAAATGTAGCAGCGCAGTTTGTCTATGTTCGCGCCCGCTTCGTGCCGTGTACGGACGTGCGTATTCCCATAATTATGCGATGTACTCGCATAGCGCTAGGCGTCACACGCGCCATTCTTTATGCGAGTGTCTGGTCTGTACTAAGGTGGTTGCGAATATCAGCATCCGTATCTACGAATAATTCGCATAAATTAAAATATCCGCATCAGCATCGCATTCATCGATGCTGATATTCATTGCGGATGTTAGAGTCGTGACATAACCTAAAAGGCACGCTGGAATAATTTACAAACCTTCCAAAAAAGACTAGACCGAAAAAATTGCTCAGCGTTGTTTTTAAAATATAACTTTGATAAAATACGAGAACGTTTCATTCACCATTCTGGTTCGTTCGTAATCGTTCTGGAATTTTATCTTTATGTTATTTAGCTAGACAGATTGGCTGTTCTTTCTTTCTGAATGTCACAAAATCATTGAAATATATTTTATTACAATACCTCCCAAAAAAATAGAAAGCTTTTTAATTTTTTTTTATATTCAGTAAGAATACAAACTTCGCGTTTTTTTAATAGGTACATAAAATCAGCTTCCGCTGATGTGTAAAAGCCTGCCAACAACAAGCCTGGTACACGGTGCGCGGCGGGCGTGCACGCATAAGCCGCGCTGCTGCGTATGAACCTTACCATACTTGTCTTATTATGTACTACATAATATGCTTACAGTTGTCACCGCGAAATATTCGTATACAAAATGTTACTTCTCGTGACCACTTGCTGTACCATTTGCCATACAAAATTGACAAGTATTTTAGGCTGTCGCTAGCAAGAACTGTCTCTGTAAACTCATGGTAGCGGCACAGATCGATCATAAGTAACACTGCACAGAAAGTAGCGCCACAACTCGTATTACGGAACAACTAGTTTGAACAATAAATTGCGAATTAGGTCCATTTTCAGTAAAACGCGGCCAGGATCAACATCTTTGGAATACTGTACTCTATAAACGTAATGTAGCAAGTTTTACAGCTACTATAGCTCAGAAGATTCCACGTGAGACCAACGGGCTTAGGATTACCACAAGTACGCAAAAGTCAAGAGTATAGAGAAACCTTTTTCTAATCTATCGACTTTATCACTATTACAGCTGCATAAGTGCCCAATGGTGACACTGGCGCCAATAGAGAGCGTTCCTTATTTCAGCCTGACCACACTCGAGTTATTTGAAATTCAACTTTTAAGGCAAAGTGAAATAATCATTTATTCCATAGGTAAAATAACTTTACACTTGAAAGCTACTGCTCGTTCACTGTGCTGACTTCCCTGAGAAGAACGGGCAAGAAACTAGGGTTCTTTTCAAATGAACTTTATGGAATACACTTTGAATCAAATTGTTGTCTTTCCACACATCTTTATCTAATACTTTAATTTTGTAATATGACCTTTCAATTAGATATATTTTTAATTTATTCCGATAAAAAGTCGGTATTTAGACGGCCCTAGTCGCAAAGGCTAGATTTAGTCGGTCGGTCGTTCAAAAGTTACAAGGGTGTTTTACATTACTAAATCACGACTTTTTTTAGTACAATCGAATCTAAGCTATTACAGGAGCTGCGGTTTTCGAGATTCAAACATGGTGCCACCGGAATATAAGCTTATTTCTGTGTAAACAGTAAAACAATGTTAGATCTTCAAAACGGCATAACATCTAAATTTTTACGACTAAAACCGACTAAATCATGACTTTTTTGTGCAATCAGGTATAAATTAGGTATTCTGGTCTCGAGGCTAAAGAGTG